GGCGACTTTCTCTCCCTCCCTCTTTTTTCTTCTTTTTCTTTTAGTCATCGACAACATCTTTTCTTCGCGCACCTGTAATTTCAGCCACTAACAAGCTCGGTCCAAAACAGCCGCAGCCCAGACATATTAGGCAGATGTCAGGAAACCCAGAGGAAGTGATAAGCACACTGAGGGGGCGGGGACCAGACACAGGAAGATGGGATATCACAAATTTCTAGACAACATTTTTTTTTTTCATTGTTGAAGTATTTATGTCACATGTATGGGCCCCAGGGGTTTGGCAATTTTACACTCCGAGATGGTTTACATATTTTGAGTCTTGATAAGCGTCCCACTGCTGCTCTGGTGGAATTCCCCTGGTGTTGCTCACTGTCAGGAACGGCCCATGGCACGCTTTGGAGTGAGAGAGTGTTTAGAGGTATCATTTGGAGTCAATTAAAGCTTTACTAGAATCAGACAAAGTTCAGCCGTGCTAATGTTGTGTAAGAAGTTGGCGCTGGAATCTGATTGGGCCACAAAAAACAAAACAAAATCTGCTTTGAAGAGATTCATGTTTACTGGAAATGATTTGTTGAAAGTGTAACCTCGAAGATGCAAAAAAAAAAGAAGAAAAAAACGTCGTCAAGTTTCACGTCTTTGAAAACATCTCTCAATGATGTCACTGAACTAAAGCTTTTGATAAACGCACTGTAAAAAGATTGTTAGGGTTTTGCTCCTACACTATACTTTGCCCAGATTGACTATTTCTATTTTTACAAATGTCAGTCAAGTTTATCTGTATAGAACAGTTTATACATGGCAACTCGAAGTGCTTAGCAAAACAGGATACAAGGCAGTAAAATCATAAATAATCACAGTACAATAAAAATAGTGAAGTTCAAATCCTTCAGTTGTTTACACAGCTAAACAGAACTGTCTTTAACCAGGATTTGAACATTGTCAGAGAAGAAGCCTGCCCCACATTTTCAAGAAGACTCTTCCAGTTTGTAGTTGTGTAATTCTGCCTTCCCATGTTTAGTTCTGACTCTGGGCACCAACAGGAGGCCGGTCCCTGTGTTCCTCAAAGTCCTAGTTCATATGGCACTAATATGCCTCGGATGTACTTTGGTGCAAGGCCATGGAAAGACACAAGCAATAATTGTCTGATCATTCCTTGCGAAGTTTACTGAACAAACTTAAAACAAGCTTCATATTGGCCGTGTTAAATTCACTTATAAACGTTTATTGGCCGCCATGCTCTGGTCACACTTGCCGTTGCCACCTGCCCTGGTGACACCGTGTTTAGTTCTGCTTGGCTGCTGTCTCTATGCGGTTGCTCTGTTAGCTCTGGTCTGACCGCGACAGACTGGCATTGGGACAGTCCTCTGCCTGCACACAGACAAGGGCCTCTGCTGCCATACACGCTGCCTGGCAACACACATTTGTTGCTACTGGATTTCTTGATTAACTTTTTTCTAGTGTCAAAGGCCCTTCCTACATATTCTTAATCTTACATAAAACGACTTTCAAAATAGAATAATTAAACATTCAAATTGCTTTTTTGTGACATTTTGTGGTATTTCTTCTGGCTCCTAATGTCTTAGTAAAGTGGTTTTTATGTTTGGCACTCTCCTCCTTGTGACTCAGCCCTCTCCATTAGCACACCACTGTTACATATTGTTCTGTAGCCCGAGCACCGGCACATGTGATATGCATTTAGTTCCAAATATAGACCGCAATGGAGACGTGTGATACAGATCTGACGCAGAGGTTCCCCCGAGTTCAGGCCCAATCTCATGTAAAACATTGAGGAAAAGGGTGTTTGTCAGTGGAATGCACACATGCTTTGTAAAATTGCCTCATAAACAAGAATACAGTTATGGTCTGCCGTCTTGAAAAATGCTTTCCATGCTTTGAGTTCTGAAGTTTGACCACAGTGTGAAGTCCCAGTATACTTGGTGCTGATGACCCGAGTGGTGCTGTCTGGCCTCTGCTCCACACTCCTCTCCTCACACACTTGTGACGCACACGCCACAGTCCGCCTCAGAGCTGACTGCAGCCGGGCGCATGGCCAGCGCCTCAGACCCCCTCAGCTGCAGGAGCAGAGACGGTCCTCGTGTGTCCCTTTGGGAAGCAGCTTTCAGAGACCTGAGGACAAACCTCAAACCCTGAGGAGGGCAGCTGGACTGAGGAGGCTTTGTTCTGGCCTGACTCTGGTCCAGAGGCGCTGGCTGAACAGAACTCACATTGTGCACTTTTTTCCATGAGTAAACTCAGACTGTCAACACAGCCTCCTCTGCCCCAAACGGCCACTCTGGTTCAGGGGAAAGACTGTGCTCCTTGTACCTCAAACTCACCAGAAGAAACCATCATTTACAATCCACTTAGAATTCTTCTCTGGACTCGGTGAGATTCCAGAAAAATGCTTTGTTTACAAAGAGTGCATAATTCTGTGCTGATGGAGCCACTTCCTGATTGCACCTGTGTGTGACTGTGTGTGAGGTCGAAGGTCATGCATGTTTACTGTCCTATTGCAGAGCGCCAACAGTACATGTGTGCGAATCCACACACACATTTATCAAACATAACAAATCAGGCCTTTGTTTGAGCTGCAGGACAGCCGCCAGTGTCTTATTAAGATTCATGATAACTGACTCACTAATTGCAGGCGGTTTGAGTGAGCACGTAAGTGCTGGAACATAATGCATTTTCTGCTGACTTTCTCTGTCCCTCAGTTTATTGTGTTTTCAGAGAAGAGGAGGAGAAAATTATATTAATTGTACCAACTGGAGCTGGCCCTTTTGCACAGATGGATACAATCGTATACATTTAAATGACAATGCAGCGTTCGCAGCTGCTTTTCTCAGCGCACTCTAACCCCTGCCATTATTAGCAGTGAAAGCCTAATCAACCCCATACACAATGCACAGAAAGAGTTTCTCAGTTCGCAGCATTGTGTGGGATGGTCCCAGGACTCTTGTATAGCTTTAACCACCGTGATGTTTTCATATGCAAAACCATGTTCAACTGAGCTGCCCCAGCAGACTACAATTAGGCAGAACAGTGACCAATGAGCACTTCGACCTTTATCTACAACCAAGGAATACGGCCAAAACCATTCAAGAGGCCTTTAACTTAGGCTTTCCCTTCATGTGATCACTCTGCTTCACTACAGTCCATCAATGAGAACTCTGTGGTCCTGCTCACAGTTGCAAGTTGATGAATAGTAAGTTATTCATGTCTCATATATTTTACCCAAATATATATGAGTCATGGTTCAGACCCTCTGGAATCTAGTCTCTTACTCTACAAACATGTATTTGTGATTGTGGCACAACACTTGTTAATGTAGCTAGTGAGAAAATATCTGTCATTCCGCCAACTCAAGCTTTGTCACATGTGAATGAATAAGGGCATAGAATAGAATAACTTCAGTCTGAGGGAAGTTTGACTTGGACATGATGTCATACTTCATACTTCATCACTCAGAACAGTCTGAATCGGATCAAAACAGTTTTATAATGTGGGTTGTGGGCAAATCTCCTGCACAAGTGTGGTGAACTAAAGTGGCCTTCTTACTAAAATGTTTGGACACCCCTGTATTGCAGTGACTTGACTCTTTCTGGTTCCTCAATTGTTTAATCTACATTTTAAAACCTGAGGACTCTGGTAAGGGCATTAAGAAAACTGTGGTTTCTTGAAAATCTACCAAAGCCTAAATCACATCATGCAACCTCAGCCCGCACTGACTCTCCTCTAAATCCAATCATTCAAAGATCCACATTATAATCGGCTTCATCCACCGTAATTAAACGCTTCATTGATGAGAGAAATTAAAATGTAATTCATTACCATTCATCAACCCCCCACCCCCCACTGACAAAATACCGTTCCAGCGTCTGAATAATGACTTACTGCAAAGCCACACAAAATTACAGTGTTCTTACAAAATCTATACATTGCTCTGGCACTCGGAGGAAAATAAACACTGGACTTTGCTTTGGGGAAATCCAATATTTCTAAGGTGGCTACTGTTCTCTTACAATGCGGGCATAGAGGGGCGCACCACTTTACTTTTCCTGACCGCGCGCCAAAATACACCAACGCAAGCCCCGTGCCCAGACCCCAGCCCCAGCAATAGCACTCTCCCTCCCCAACAAGAGCTATCAGGCCTATTATATGGCTCTGTCAAATGAATGGGTAAACATCCAATGGTATGCTAACTGCTGGAGGAGGAGATGGAGAAGAAAGCTGGAGTCTGGCTGCTATTAATGGCTGGTGTGAGAAGAAGAAAAGCTGTTTTTGGAGTGGGAGGCGGTCAGCGTGGCCGCTCAGACAGGATGTGCAGAGGGGGCGACTTGTGGTGTCTACTGTATGTGTGTGTGTCGTGTGTGTGTGTGGAGCTGGAGTCTCGCAGGATGCCGTAAAGCTGTCACAGGCACAAAAACGGGCCGCTGATGACATTGTGGTTTGTTTTGGATGGTATTATTATGAATGATGTATTTTTAGTGATGTGTGATTGGTGTATGAATCTGGCTGCTTTTACACATGCAGAGAAAAATGGATTCATTCAACAGTTTTCTTCCTGTTCCTGAGATTTTTCTGAATATAGGCTATGGACTCTGACTTGAGATTTTTACAGCACTTTAATTGATTGATTGATATTGGATGCAAGCATGCTGGGAAATGCAGTTTTTGTGTACTGATGCCGTTATTGGAAATATTGTTGGCTGAACTACTGATATCAGTTAAATAAGTATTCAAAAAGAGAATGTTTTATTTATGGATTTTGACAGATTAGTGCCATTTAATGATGACTTGACATGAACAGCGTACATATAGCTACTTTAACTTACCGCCCGAGTATATTTGTGGAATGGTCACTTCTCTTCACTGGCATAATTGGGGGATGGGGGGATGTGGGAGCACGTCTGCATGTTGTGTACGATAAACAATGTTCTTAATCCCTTTTGTAAAATAATGTAAAATATGTCATTCATAAATGTATCCTGCTCCTCCAGACGCCCTGCGATGCTCGGACGTGACCTGCGCCCCCCCAGCAGCCTCCTCCTGCCCCCCAGACTCTGTGCTGACCCAGAGCTTCACGCCCCCTGCTGGCTGCTGTCCTTCCATCCTTCCTCAGTGCACCTGCGACTTCAGGACCTGCCAGAAGCCCGTGTGTCCCGCCGGCCAGAGGGCAGAGCTGACGGGCCAGGCCAGCGGGCAGCCCGGGGACTGCTGCGACCTCTATGAGTGTCAGAAAGGTAATACCGCCGCTGTGTACGGACGTAGAAAACTGTTAAGGGGCGTTCACACCGGACTTAACTTCGGCGTCAAAAGCGTCAGGTTTCCATTGAAAGTGAATGGTGAAGCGCGTCAGGTGAAGCCGAGAGCCCCGGCGTCACTTGACGCGCGTCAAAAGCTTCAAGAGTCGCGCGTACTACGCGCTCACTTGAAGCTTTTGACGCGCGAAACGCTCGCGTATCACAACAATCCCTCTGACGCCGAAGCTGAGCAAAGCTGAGCTTTTGAAGCTTTGACGCGGGCTTCAACCAATCAGTAGACGAGGAGCAGCAGCAGCAGCAGAGGGTCTGTCTCTGTCATGAAGAGAAGTCATGTATCTGCTGCTGTTTTATTGTCATTATTGTTATTAGTAATATTATTTGTATGAGTAGTAAAATTCTGAGTAACAAAAATCATTGTACACATGCTGTGTAGTAAACGTAGTTTATTTAATATAAGAACAGGCTGACGATGAGTCTGGCTCAGAGCAAGGCAGCTCCGGGCGAACGAGAGCCGGGGAGAGGCGGGGAGAGGCAGGGAGAGGCGAGCGAGAACCGGGGAGAGGCAGGGAGAGGCAGGGAGAGGCGAGCGAGAACTGGGGAGAGGCAGGGGGAGGCAGGGAGAGGCGAGAGCGAGGCGGGGAGAGGCGAGCTCCGGGGTTTGAGAACTCAGACTGGGCGAGTGACATGCGGAAGTACCGCTGAAAGCGAAACTCCTCCGTACGCAGCTCCTGGAGTAACTGACGGAACTCAAGTCAAGCCTCTCAAGTCTGTGGTGAACCCAGAACATGTTTTGTTGAAGCCCTACAACAACGTTATTTTGCTTTATATAACAAATAAAGGCTCGCTGCTCATTGAAAAATCCACCGCTGTCCTGACTACAGGCAACAGAGAAGCTCTTTCCACCGGCGTCAGGCGCGTCACTCGCGTCAAAAGCTTCAAGCATCAAAATGACAAAACTATCCCGGCGTCAGTTGAAGTGCGTCAAAAGCTTTTTGAAGCTTTTGGTCTGAACGCGCCTTTAAACTGCAAATGAAAGGATGGTTGCTTTTCAAATTGTGAAAATGGTGTAAAATGTTTTGAATGCGAGCAGTAGTTAGACCCGCCCCCACAGGTTTCTGATTGGACAGAAGTAATTATTACTGATGATACTTATGCATTATTGATTTAGACAACACTACAGGATAATCTGGTTCCAAAATTAAACACATCTTGCTCATGTTATTTGTCCCAACAGAAAGTAAAATGTAAAACACCACATTTTCATCAGTCTTGTGAGTCACTATTTGAGGGTGGTCCTCTCTTTTTCACTTCTGTCTGAAAAAGCTGATCGGTAGATATGATAAACACCAACTGTATCAAGATTGTTGGATTTCAATACAGTTTTTTTGTTTTCAAATATACTTCAATTACACACACAGATGCACGTACAGAGCCTATACTGCATATGCTCGTACAACACAGCCCCAACAGTAAAAACGTTTTGATCACATAATTTTTTTGGTTTGACGTTTTAAATGTCCGTGCTTTTCTCCCCCTTTGAAAGTTGGGTTCCTCAGCTTTAATAAACGAGGATAAAGACTGGGATCATCCGTCCTGCCATGCATCAAATCTCTACCCCAGCCGCTAGAAAAACAGAAGAAACATCTGTGCATTGCTAGAGTAACAGTAACCGGTCCTAGCAACAACATTATCAGAGCAAAAAAATCTTCCACCAATTTATATGTTTATGTTTATGCAATGATGAAAGGAAGTTATGACAATAGAGAATATAATGAGAGCATTTTGTGGAGCCGAGATAAGGACTATGAAATCTGAAGCAATCATTCAGTTTAATTACAATGATTATTATGATAAGATTTGCTTCATATGTCGTAAAAATGGCTTTGAAAGAACGGTATTTGCAATTACTGAATGCCCTGCTTGAAAAAGTGTATTTATGTCTGTTAGTTTCATTATATGCGATTGCTATTGCTATTGCTAAGAAATTGCCATTTTTTGTAGAAATAATGCATTAGTGTAGAAAGCACACTCCTATAGTGGGAGTTTACATAAAGGCAGTGTGAAAAAGGCCATCATTTTAAGCTAAAAAAAGAAAAAAAACGCTGTGATCACAATTTTTCCCAGTTTGACGTTATGAAAGCCGCTAGAAAAACAGAAGAAACATTGTAATCATGTTGCAAGAGTTGTATTCATTTTTATTTCAAATTAACATTTCATGCTAATTCACTATTTTAAAAGTGGTTGAGTGAACGCTTCTTTGGCCTCTCTTATCCGTACACTCTCTGACCCTACACCTCTCTCCCGCTACTCTCATCTTTCTCTTTCCTCCACATACTGTACTTCTGTACTCTTTTACTTTTGTAGATATTTTTATGGAATCCTACATTGATTTTAAAGGGCTTTTACATGTAGGCATGCAAGTTTAGTATTCTAATTATGGGGAGCATCTCTATTATGGAATAAGTTTAGGTGACGGAGAGCTTTTGGATAGCCGGACTATTATTTGAGGTTGATCCAGTTTTGCAATTTAAGTTCTGCCAAATCTATAGTAGATTAGAAGGATGTCTGTATTGGACGTTACATACAATCTTTTTAGCTACATTTGCAAATTATAATCACTTAAATCCAGATTCTTATTTTCAGGTCCAGATCCGTCACTATATGCTACTGTCACTTTAACCTGCGCTGTTAAACGTCCATTGTGTGTACTTGTATAGTGGAAATGTTATCCATGTTTTTGAATGCATTCCTTTCATATCTGTTTTTTAACTATCATAACTTGTTTGCATAATGAGCCAAAGCCAATTCCTAGTTTGTGATGTCCAGTTACTCACCATGGTAACAAAACACAAATTCTGATTCTGATATTACAACATAGATAAGAGCTCTTTTGAAGTCTCCTTTTGCTGCTTATATAGAAACTAAAACACACCTACAGTATACAGCCAAACGGTGTATCACGGAGGCTTCCAGTCAGAGACGTCAGAGGGCCGGGAGGGGACCATCACTCTGTTGACTCTACGCTCCTGACAAATATTCCGTGTTTTACCAACAGAACAAATTCCCATTCTGGACACTCCGCGCGTATAAATGAGTGCTGTGTCCTGGAATTAATGGACTTAACGAGGCTACTGAGCAGAAAAGTGCTTAGCCTTCACTTTTGCTGAACAGAAGTGCAGTGTCAAAAGGCTGCCAGTCTGCTCACACGTCCTATAGAGAGCAGGTTCAACAGTTCATAGATGGGAATGCTTTTTATGTGTCCCATCCTGCTGTCGGACGGGGTAATGCGCAGGGGCAGGCCGGCAGACGCGGGGGCCTCGGGATCAGTGTTTTGATAACAAGTGTCTGCTGCTCTTTGGGTCCGGGGCTTGATGTCTTTTGTGTGGGGCTACGGTCGTCCCGTTAGAGCTGCATGACTGCGCTCCTCTAGACTAGGACAGAGATGGGGACACGCACCAGGGGCCCCTCCGGTTCACCTCTCCGGTCACCGCCGCTGTTCGAAATCATTTCGTAGACTTAATGGCACATATAGTGTTTGTATCCGGTTGGAACTGGCTGACTGGGTTTCCACGGCACACTTGGTACTGACTTATATAGGCAGGGTCAGACGGTGCAGGGAGTCGACTGTCTGGGTGACTTGCTCTGAAATGACCAAATGAGTTTTTAGTTAAGTACTATGTGCCATAAGCATTTCTGATCCCAGCAGGAAGAATATTCAGAATAGTTGTCATTTCAATTGACGGTAAAATAAGTGGCACTTTTAATACGTGAAACCTGTCTATTAGGGCAGTGCCAAAAATTGAAAGATACATAAAATGCATTATCAACTTTTGTAGTCGATATACACCAATCATGGGGCGGAGGAGGCTATGCACTCACTCAGAGAACTATAGTTACATAGGTAACTGTAGTTCCGAAACAGTCAAAGACGTTCGTCAATCACACTATTTGATATGCACATTTTTACTTACTATAAACTACCAATAATGTACTAACTGTAATCCAAAATCAAGATTAGGGTAAGAAATGTCTCCAACCTTGTAGCTTAGTGTTTTGATTGCATTTAGGAAAGGTTCAATCAAGGTAAGATATTCTTTTTTTGACCATAAACGCGTAATCTTTTCATTCTTTCCCATTTTGCGTTGAACATTCAAGATTTGTAATCAGTGGGTTACTTTCTTATCATGGATCTTTACCTTTGTTTCAGAGCGAGGGAATAGAATAAATATGCTTAAATTATATAAGCAATTGGATTAGATCAATTGTGAAAACAAATGTATCAACCCCCTGTTATGTTCAAATCCAAATGTAGTGTTTTTAATATTTTCATCTTCTCCTATAGACACAGCTACAGCATGTATGAAATGAAAGGATTTATTTAAAAGTGCCATGACCCTTTCCTTTGATGCCTCCTCTGATAATTCACATTTTCAACTTCTGTTTTTCAACTTTACCCTAAACAGAATCCCCTTGACCTCGTTTTTTAAGACTGGTTAGAGTTAAGATTCTGGTCAAAAATATAATTAGTCCAAAAGTGACTTCATTGTACACCCCCAGAAAACTCCCAGTTAGTTGGTGGTAGCTCTTGTTAGCATTAATCAAAAATAAATGTGGGATCTATTGTTGGTGCATGCTCCGATTTACAACAAACTGGTTTTGTTCACCAATGTTTTTCTTGGTATCGGCCAATGCAGCTTTTTCCAATTCTCCCCCTTTTACTTGACCACCTTCATGTCCTGCTTTTAGAGAGAAAGACATCACACAGCACCAGTGGAGTCTGCACCACAAGTTGATTTAGGGATTACTATTGGCTAACGGCGGAAATCACAAGGGATTGTTGCCTCATGTGACTTCCTACTGCTGCTTTGAGCTTTAACCAGGTCAATCGCTACAAAAAAGGCTCCAAACAACAAAGAACAAGAACTTCAGCAGCAGGAAGCACAGTTCTTTTTATGTATTCTTTCAGCAGTTATTTCACATTAACAGTTTGGACAAATTTTCAAACTTTTTTTTTTACCATTACAATAACTATGTGCACCTGTTCTTTTTATTTAAAAGTAAAGATGGATAAACATGAAAGAGGTTAATACAATCAAAATAACGGCCGCTAGTCATCATACGGTATCACTGATGTTCTTGTCCAATATTTCAAAAAGTATATAAAAAGTATATATCTCCATAGATATATCATCAATAAACTTATATCTCAGTGAAAAAGTGATTCTGTCCGTTAGAGCTACCCAATATTGGAAAAACAAGCGCGAAATGTGATGGTGGTGTAGAGGACTGAGATAATGCTTTATATATATTGTGATTTTTTATTTTACCTGCAAACAAATGTATATGCATGAAGTGAAGGCATTATTATTTTTCTAAATAGAATATACTTTATTTGCATTGAAGGTTAAATACATTGTTATTTCAGTCACAAACGGTGTGAGTATAAGTTCATATAAGCTAAAGGACTGAGGTCATTTGATTGTTTTGATTTGGGTAAAATCGACAGAGTGAGTGTTCCCGTTTAAGGTTTTCCATAGACTGTCTTTGACTTTTCTTCCATGCGTCTGCTTCTCTACTGAAGCCAAAGTCCCACGTTTCAGAATGTTTTGGAAACTTGCATTTATGGCTAAATCCGGCATATTTACATGTTGATTAATGCGCACTGTCCTATTGTTGAAAAAATAAATAAAAGAAAAAGTTATTTAAAAATGAATAAATACTAAGGTTTTTTTCACTGCTGTCATTTTCACTGCTCCGGCCAATGAGAAAGCAGGTTTTTGTCGGTGCACAATTTAAGATTATGTGATATTGGTCAAAGTAATAACAAGCATATGCACAAAAACACATGATTTTCACCGATTAATAACTCCAAAGTTATCATGCATCATTGCAATATCGATATTACACGATATTTTTTGCAATGTATCGTGCAGCCCTACTTTCCACTGGTGTCTTCTGTAACTTCCTTTTATACTTGCAACTAAAAGGCCAGGAAGTACATTTGGATTTGCTTTTGCTCCTCGCTCTCTCAGCCCACCTGCTTTGTATTAGAGCGTTGAGTTTGTCGGGTCAGACCTATTTTTTTCCCCTTTTTTTTTTTTATTCTTTGTCTTGCCCCCGACAGTATGGCGTACAGCTGTAACTTCCACTCTCATTTATAGAAACCGCTGGCCCCACATCTGTCTGCATCTGTGCAATGCATCTACCGCGCGGAGCCTGTAGACGGCCTTACATAACCACATTACCTCATGGTCGTGATGCCGGTGTGTTTGACGATTCCCCTCATGTGGGTTCGGATCACACAATCAAACCACGGCGCATTTCGATACTGAATTTAGTCTTAAAAGTGGCGACGCCGAGATGCCGTAATGTTTCCTTCTGCTTTGGTCACAAAGATATATTATTATCTGCTTTATGTGCACGTCTGTATTATGTCATGTCTCTCCTTGGTTACTCTAGCTTATTGGTTGACATTTGAGACGCTATGTTTATAAATCTGCCTCTAATTTTGCAATCTATCAATTGTTTTTTGAACCTTCTCTAGAGTTATATATGCTGAGAAATGAGCGTCAAATACTTGTTGTTAATTTGTATAATGAAATGATAACAGAACAGCTAAGTAAGAGGGGCCTCTTTAGTTAACCAGACTAGTCCAGGGGCCGACATCACGGACTTAAACTGTCTTGACTGGCATCGGGCTGTTCAGACCTTTAAAATGATCTATAACGGAGCTGAAGTTGGCTGAATGACAAATGTTTACTGTCTCACCAGCTCAAAAGTCAACGACTAACTGGGCTTTAGAACAAGCTACAACATGTGTGTATTGGTTGAGCTGAAGTTGGATAGATGACACAGTGAGTTGTCACATGTGTTTATGATCTCAAAGACTACTTTGGGTTTGCAAGGCAGAGGGCCACAGAGAAGGACACAGAGGGCCGCAACTGGTCCCTGGGCCTGAGTTTGAGCATGCAGCGTTATCAGGCTGACGTCTTTCTAACCGACACAGTGGTCTGTCGATGGTTTAGGTTTTCTTTGCTGACGGACCCCTGCATCAGAAAACCTAGAAAATAAATAATCCTGGAGCTCTCTAGACACAACCGTGATCAACAGTTAATGCCCCATCCTGACCACTTACAGCCACTAGGTCAAATACTTAAAAATATTGACCTAAAAAGTTGCGTAATGCCCCTTTAATCTCTAAACACATTTAGGTTGAGGCAAAGTAACATTTCTACTCAACTGAAATGTGATACTATTAAACAGACTTGATACCAAAGTTGACACGAAAATGTTTTATTTTATCAAAATGGAGCAAAACTCCTCAGAGAATCTCACATTTTATAATTTTATTGTGATATTTTCTGAATACTTTCTAAAACCAGTATCTCATTTCTGACTGTATTTTTTGGCCTATAATAAATTCAGGTCAATTGTCTTCAAAGCTGGAGGACCTAACTTTTTATACAAATAAAAAAAAATTACAATGAAACTGTAAAAACAGTTTTGGTTCTATCACTAGTTCTGTATTTTTGACCTCTTTAACATCTTTAGATCAGTTTTTTCAGACGATTTCTAATACTTTGAAAATTGCATATTGTGGTCTGATTTTCCCATACCCCTCTCCCATCTCTGTGTGGAGTGCCCAAAAAATAACAATTGTAAACCGCTTTGTGACTCTGGTCTGTGAAAGGCGGTATATAAATAAAGATTACTTACTTACTTACTTATACCATTTTACTTTAAAAGAAAAAAAAAAATAGAAGCTTGCCAGAAAATATTCACAAAGATGGACAGATTTGAGTCTGAGTGACACAAGCGGCACATCTTGATAGAATAGAATCAATGTCTTTTAAGAAGGGCCCAGATGGCATGAAAGGCTGCAGGAAAGTGAGTGGTCCAAAATAAGCCAGACAGCGGGGCACTGTCCTATGAATAATACATTGAGTTTCAGTTTGACTCCTTCAATTTAAGAGCAGTCTGTACCTGCCACCAGCCTGCTGAGCCTCTGTCTGCTAGCTCCTGTTTTCTTTGACTCTGCCCCACAGTCCTCCTCATGAGTTCCACTGCCCTCATCTGACATATGCATTTCATTTTCATTCATTCATTTATTCGAGCAGAATTGGGTACATTCATAAGTATTTTATAATATTTGCGATCCTTTGAGAAAGCATTACATTGGTGACGACTTGGAGCAATTTTCACCCACAGTAACTCTGAAAATGGACAAACTAGAAACTTACTTCAACAACAATATATATCTGCTTAATTTTAACAAAAAAAAGACCAACGTGAGGGTGTTTAGCAGTAGTTCACCTGTCAGGAGGATAATCGTTGATAAACCAAATTGGTTTTGAAGTTTGGTGAAACTTTTACTTTTTTCACTTTGCAAAAAAAGGCCTTTGCATTCCAACAAACCAGTAACTGGGGACATTCCTGGCTAACCATGGCTTCCAGCTGCTCTCTGGCCAATCACTGTCAGTTTTTTTTCACTGTTTTAACTAAATATCTCGACCTGAAAAGAACTAGGGCCAAGAGGGACTGAAAAGGACTTGGTACTGCGGGTAGAGGCGGGCAGAGGCGGGCAGAGGTGGGCAGAGGTGGGCAGAGGTGGGCAGAGGTGGGCAGAGGTGGGCAGAGGCGGGCAGAGGCGGGCAGAGGCGAGCAGAGGCGAGCAGAGGCGGGCAGAGGCGGGCAGAGGCGGGCAGAGGCGGGCAGAGGCGGGTGTGTGTTTTTAACCCTAACCTTAATATGTTTGCACACTTCTGTCTTTTTGCACAATCTGAGTGATTCTATCTATGCCAAATGTAAAATATACATTTTTCCATTGTGAGATTAATAAAGTTTATATTATATCTTATCTTATCTTATCGTAGAGCTGGATAGAGGTGAGTAGAGCTGAGTAGAGTAGAGTAGGACCAAGTAGGGCTGGTGGAAACGGTATACACATGACGTATGCCATCTGACCCCAGGTCCTTGCACCATTTGTTTCATGTAAACACTTGAATCAGTGACACAACGGCTGTTTATGAATCTATAATTTATTGTTTATCGCGGGGACTTTTTGTGTTGCTCAAGTTTGTGATTACAACAACCGCACAGCCTTCAAGTGCTAATCCCAACCACCTGGAATATTCATCTTTGTTGTGCTTCTTTCCCCCAGTTACCCCAAAGTGCGTGCACAACGGGAAGGAGTTCTCGGAGGGCGACGTGTACCGGATGGACCCCTGCTGGCTGTGTCAGTGTCGCGGAGGCATCTCGTTCTGCTCCAAAGCCGAATGTGCCGAACTGGACTGTGACAACTTCTATGTCCCTGAGGGGGAGTGCTGTCCCGTCTGCATCGGTAACCACACACAAGGCATATAGGGTCCACATCAGTTTATATACAGGTGCAACTCGGGGGAAAAAAAAAATATTGTTCAAAACTACTATTTCTGTAGGGCCAAGAGCGACTAAAAAGGGCCTGGTACTGGTTAGAAAGGGCAGGTGAAAAACGCTCTCAAACAGGGGAGAAGAGCTGAGGCAGGTAGAGTAGAGGAGAGTAGAGGAGAGACGAGGAGAGTAGAGGTGGGTAGAGGTGGGTAGAGGTGGGTAGATGTGGGTAGAGGTGAGTAGAGGTGGGTAGAGGTGAGTAGAGGTGGGTAGAGGTGGGTAGAGGTGGGTAGAGGTGGGTAGAGGTGAGTAGAGGTGGGTAGAGGTGGGTAGAGGTGGGTAGAGGTGGGTAGAGGTGGGTAGAGGTGGGTAGAGGTGGGTAGAGGTGAGTAGAGGTGGGTAGAGGTGGGTAGAGTAGGGTAGAGTAGGGTAGAGGTGGGTAGAGTTGGGTAGAGTTGGGTAGAGGTGGGTAGAGGTGGGTAGAGGTGGGTAGAGGTGGGCAGAGGTGGGCAGAGGTGGGCAGAGGTGGGCAGAGGTGGGCAGAGGTGGGCAGAGGTGGGTAGAGGTGGGTAGAGGTGGGTAGAGGTGGGTAGAGGTGGGCAGAGGTGGGTAGAGTTGGGCAGAGTTGGGTAGAGTTGGGTAGAGTTGGGTAGAGGTGGGTAGAGGTGGGTAGAGGTGGGTAGAGGTGGGCAGAGGTGGGTAGAGGTGGGTAGAGGTGGGCAGAACCTAAATGTGAAACTTTGTAGCCATGTGATTTTTTTGTGTTTTTTTGTTTTTGTTTTGATAAATTCAAGATGACAAATGAATGACAACACAAGGCAAGTTTGTACAAGGCACAACACTATTTCCCACTGGCTAGGGGTTGCGTGGATCGGTTTATTGTTGTATACTTGTTTTCTATTTTAGAATTGTAACGTTGGCATGAAACTTCTATTCTGTCCCTGAGCGTAAGTCTCCATCCCCCAGTTCTCAAAAGCCTCTTCTGCCCCTTTACCATCCATGACAGCTTGTACTGTAGTCTTTTGTGACAGCAGTAAGTCCGCTTTGATGGTAAAGCTCCTGTAAAGCTTCCCGTAATCTCCTGGGCTGCCTTGCATGAGCTGCACATTTGAGATCCTCCCAGATTTATGACGATACTTTGCAGCAGTTAGATTGAAAAAAAAAAACGAAAAAGTGAAGAGTAAAATTGAACAAAAAAACATTTTCTAATTTCATCCAGAGATTGAGAAATTGGTCGCTTAAATCGCCACAAAATACACGCACCAGGGAAGAACCACTCACCTATTCATACACACATTCTTGCACCACTCTACGTCTGGTATCCGACCTTCAATCAATCTAGGCACGGCAAGTTTATTTGTATTGCACAGTTCATACACAATGCACCTAAAACATTCAAATCATGCACACGAATGACCACAAATGTCCAAACCTCCTCTGAAAAGCCACTATGTTATTCTCGCATCTGCTGTAAAGTAATTTATGACTTTCGTATTTAAAATGAGCCGTGTAGAAATCTTATTGTTTCCTGGAAAATATCATTACGTGCAATTTGTTGAGGCTCTGAAAATAATAAAAGAAAAGCAGGGCTGAGCATATGGCGTCCATATTACAGTAGAAATAGCTTCGAGGCCTCGGTTCAGTTTACGTGGATCTTTAAAGAATAGAAAGAAGGAGAAAAAAGCGTGTAAGAGGAAGAAACACAGCGGATCATGTCAGGTCAGTGTCAGTGGAGGCACAGTCCACCTGGAATATGAAGACTTTGTTATCTATGGAATGCTTTTATCTCCTTCATATGGCTGCTTTTTACTCGCTGCTTTTGACGTGAAATGTGCAGCTTCAAATGCGGTTTTGGCACAAACAGTTTTGGGCTCAGAATTATTGTGAGTTATGAAGTAAATCACGCTGATGTTAAGATTAAATTAATTGCGTTTATTTGGATGTTTATGGGAATTGAGTGTGATGGTGTTTGGCATTATGTCACCTTTAAACTGTGTATGACAAGTTTGCTACAGATTGTACATTATAGAGCCACATGTCTCCACAGTCACATTACTGACCTGTCTCTTTACTTCACTCCAATACCTCATGCTTCTGACACGTACAGGTGTATACATACAACTATATATATTTCTTGCACTAGAATATACAGTACTTTATACTTGCTTCTTAATTATGCTAAAGATAGAGAATTTATACTTAATATGCTAAAGCCCCAAATGTTGTACTTAATTGCCTAGAATGAGTCTGTGTGTGTGTGTGAATGGTTGGTGGTGATCGGAGGGGCCGATGGCACATACTGGTTGCCTCGCTTCTGACAGTGTGCCCCAGGGCAGTTGTGGCTACAGTAGTAGTTTATCACCACTGTGTTTGTAGTGAATGAATAATGACATGTGAAGCATCTTTGAGTGTCCAAAAAAGCACTATATAAAACTGATGCGTTATTATTATTATTATTATTAATTCTTGCTAGAGATTTTGTACTTGCTTCATTTATCTTATGCCGTGCCTCTCGTACAACCGGTAATGCAACACTGAAATTTCCCCACTGTGGGACATAAAAAGGATCCCTTAATCTTAATCTACTTGTAGCAGATCCCGCTTTTAGCATTTTAATCATTTTGGACACACCAACTGAGAACACTAAATAATATGTAACAGCAGTCAAGTAGTGGAGGGCTGGTGCCAAAGTAAATCAGAAATATGACCCAAAAACCTTCCCGGATTCAAAAGTATAATAAAGCATGTAGTTTAATGAAATGTTCTGTCAAAAAGAGTAGATTTTATGCTGTAAATCATGGCCAGATGCTGTGGATGCCGGGCAGTCAAAACAGAACGGGCAAACAGGACGTCTGTGCGGAGATCTCTATGCTAACATACATATTATATACATATACACATAACACGCGTGTACTCGTGTAGCAATGAGAGAAAGTGCTGCTTGTGGTACTTAATGCAGTACTTCGACCTGTATGTGGTGTTACTGTGATGGAAGTGTGGTGGTAGACTAGTGATTAGAAGGGCACTGTAAGCTGGTACTTTATGTAGTACTTATTCTGGTCTAAAGGTATTCTGTAGTACCTTTAGAATGGTCCTAGTACATATAGCTGGAGAAGTTTTATTTTTTTTTCATTAATACATCTAGAGTCTAATAACTTATTTTTATAACAAATCACACCACAACGTTCTGTCTTGAGAACATGTTTAATTATACTGAGAGCTGATTGGCCAAGAGAAGGTTGGTACGCTGATTTTCACTGAGAAAGTTGATCTAAAGATATGTCTGAAAGCAAAAATACATGTATGTGAAAATCAGTGATAGACCCAGTGGTGTGGGTGAGAGTGTGGGCTATAGCTACATAGATTGTCTTACATAATTTATTCTGTGCCGTTTGAAACAAGGTTGATTTTAAGGTTCGGGCGGCACGGTGGCTGAGTGGATAGCACTCTCGCCTCTCAGCAAGAAGGTCCTGGGTTCGAATCCCGGTCGGACCAGGGTCTTTCTGAGTGGAGTTTGCATGTTCTCCCCGTGTCTGCGTAGGTTTCCGGGTACTCCGGTTTCCCCTACCACTAAAAATATGTCCAATAGTTCTGGCATATGCCTCCTGTACTGGCGACCCCGCTCCCATCTCTGTGTGGAGTGAGAGACAAATGCCCAAAATTAACAATTGTAAACCGCTTTGAGACTCTGATCTGCAGTGAAAAGGCGGTATATAAATAAAAACTTACTTACTTACTTAAGGTTATGTCCCCTTTAAAGAAGTGAGAGTGGTGATTTTAGTGCATAAATCAGTTCACACATGAGCTTTTCTGCTTGTCTTTTCTGTCCTAACCACACTGTCTGTCTCTCCTTCAGACGTGGAATTACTGTCTACGGACAGCACAATGGCGAGCTGCTGGGTGAATAATAAGCTGCGAACTCACGAGGAGAAGTGGAAAGAGGACGACTGCACCTTCTGCCAGTGTGTGGACGGAGAACCCCACTGCACCGCGATGGCCTGCAAACAGAGCTGCCAGAACCCCGTCAAGATCCCGGGAGAGTGCTGTCCGTTCTGTGAAGGTCAGTGTTGTCACATTACTTCAGAACAGTTATGTTAGTTACTGATTAAGCAGCACACAAACCACACAATACTGGGGTCGTCACTCTAACCAAATCGGACTCTCTGAAAAGTTACAGATCAAGGGGGTAGATCACGGCTCAATGAAGCTGGAAAAGTAGATCTTGGTTTGTTAAAGTGTGAAAACTGATCAAAGCTTATAATCGCAGAGCATTGGGCTGCAGCAGTATAAAATCTCTTTCTTAATAAGGAAGTCTAAAAATCTCTTTAGCATGATAAAGATATGTAAGGTTTTCATGTCAAGTCATAATTAAATGGCCCTAATCTGTCAAAAGGCATTAAGAAACCATACTTTTTCAACTTCTTTCATTAATAACAATATTTCAGAGATATTTGAATTTCAACATTAGTTTTACAGCCCCTTAATCTTATTATTGTTTTCATTTCGATGTCCTGCCTCCACCGTTTTAACAATCAAAAAGTCCATGATCCGGGTTGCCAGAACTCACCGCGTCGAGCTATTCTCACTGGTAAAGTAACACGAAATAAAAAAAAGGTCTTGTTTTAATTCTCTAATCATTAATGAAAAAACAAGGAGGAAAGCCAGGACTTCTATCTTTGTGAAAAAGGTGTTGGTTATAGATTTGTTGTTGACAAAACCCTTTATTCAGATATTATGGTCCCAGCTGGATTTGTCTGCATATCTGGCAACCTCAGACAGGGAGAGTGCAGTACCACTTTTGGCCAGATTTTTGCAAAGTCGACTACCATAGCATCTTTCCGCCGTATTCACATTATGTTTCATAATTGTAATTGTAACTCATCATGATCATACTCTAGAGTAGACTATACAGACACTAAAAGCAACGGCAAAATACCGGCATTAATTCTCAAAATGCACCCGTTTGCGGTATTGTGTGGAGGAGAGCAGCGTTCTCATTACCGTGGAGCATACTTGGCGCTGTGGGGTTCTTTGTGCTCCTTTATTACCTTTGGCCACCGAAATGAGACCCACCTGTGAGCTCGAGTCTGTGGCCTGCCTCTCAACGCGGGAGACGACGTAATTGCAGTGGATCCCTTTTTGTGCGTAATTAGCTACAGCTTGTCGGGCTGCGAACGTGGCGAGGATCAGGCCACGCTTGATGTGTGCGTGTAATGGGCAATTTCATATCTCCGGGCAATTTGAGCGCGCACTTCTAAAACAAACATGAAAATAAGGTAGTAAATGCTTCAACATAATTTTTTTCTCCATCTTGATTCAAGTACTTTTTGTCTAGAACTATTTTTATTTTTAATTTAAAGGAGATATTTTGCTAAATCGACTCTAGACATATTTATCTTACCATGTTTCAACATTATTTCTCATCAAAAACAGTTTTTAGGTCCATCCATACTCATATCAGCAACTTCTAACACTGCCCCTTCTGTCTAAAGCAGGCATGTCAAAACTCAGGCCCGCGGGCCAACTGAGGCCGTCTGTGCCGTTTAATCTGGCGCTTTGCTGCTAACACAAAGTAGCCATTGAGGCATTTTCATTCATCTTCCAACCAACTTCAGCTCCACCTTTACAGTCCTATAGCTTGTTGTGTACCTCAGACCCTCTGGAATGAATGAATGAATGAATGAATACTTTATTTTGAGCCATGGCAGACAAGAACAAAGAACAACAATACATATACAGTATGTTTTTTTTATTAACAAAAAGTCAGCTCAAAAAGGAGTGGGAAGAAGTAAGGAGAAGTTAAGAATCTCTTTTGTTTTATACTGACATTTGTTTATGATTGTGGCACGACATTCCACATAATGCAGCTGTGGCGTGAATCAATAACGACGTATCATAAACTATTTTAAATCCCAGAATACAATCCATCCAGTTTTCAAGTCTGATGAACTAAACTGGCTAAAAGGTTTGGACACCCCTGGTCTAAAAGCTTCTGTCTCAGTCCTGTAACAAAAAAAAGGTTTTGGTATATCCTCATGTGTAATGATGTTCTTCACAATCACATGGCTGTCTTTGCATAATTTTCAACTATGGAAAAAGACCAAAGACATATTATAATCCTTCCTCTGGTGGAAGCGTAAGGAGTTACAGGCGGCAAGCATTTTTTACAATTCAAACTTGTTCCACAGTATACATTATTTCATTTCCTAAAAGACGAAATGACAAAGTTAATAGTTAAATGACCTTAACTAATGCATAATAATACAAGACTTTACAACTGAAAGGCAAAAACTTCAAAGTCAGTTTAATAATAATAATAATACCACTGCATGTGCTTCATAGTGATTCCTGCTCTGGAGTGGACATAGCTAAAGTTTGCCTTCAGTACACTGGACACTTATCTCCCAGCTATATGTGATTAATGTGAGTCTTTTTGACACTGGGGTCTAATCCCTCTCACTGCGAAACCCAGCCTGCTGTAATTGCCCTACATTTACCGGTAATTACTGTTTGCCCCAAAATAAGAGTAGTGTGAATAGGTAGCTATTAGACTTGGCTCAGAAAGCAGCATGAGGTAGCACACCTGAGGCCCAAAAGAACAAGTCTGTGGTTTAAGAGCCAACTGACAGTGCTGCTCTTTTCTTTTTTCATTTTATTTTGAAGGAGAGTGGAATGAGATTTGATAAAATATGCAGATTTTGTATTCTTTTTTTGTCTCTAAACACAAAACAATCACTTAGACAAGCAAACAATCGATAAACAATATAACAATATTAGAGGTGTATTTGAATTAATTAACAGCATTTTTAGCGCTGTTTTCTTGTAGCTCTCAGTCCTTCTCTTGCCGTCTGCACGTCTGCATTTCACACGGCTTTTGACAGCTGCAGCAGCGCTCGGACGTAGAACCAACAGGTTTGATATCTCTGTGATCGCACTTAGGGGGTTGGAAAAGTGTCTGAAGTATGTGGTGAGGGGTTTTACAGCCTTTTCTTATTGCTTGTTATTTTTTTTAAACCCGCGATAAACAAGGTACCACTGTATATTGTATCAAATCATGTAAAATTAAAGGTCCCCTTTATCTAGATACATATTGACAGTCCTGGACAGATACCCAGCCCTAAACTACAACAGTAGAATAAAACAATATTTATAGATATGCGCAAATATACATAACCATGATTACATGCATTTACATTAGAAAGCAAGAAAGCAAACAAGTAAAAATTCACAAAAAATGACAAGCAACAAATAATAAGTGAAACTAATGATAATCAAGTACAAAATAAATAAAAATTAAAGAGATAGGAAGTGGGGGCGGTCAATCCTAAGAAGGACTACTCAGTGATTTTCAATGGTCAATAAAGGAAACCTCACTTTAGTTCAAACTTTTCTTTATTACCTCTCTGATTTCTCCGATCTCTAACCACATTCCTCCCTCTCTCAGAGCCGTCCTATGAGACTGTGAGTCCTCTGCTGTGTCCGCCGCTGGAGAACTGCACTCTGTCGGGTACCGAGTGTCCCTACGGCTTCCTGACCGACGAGAACGGGTGCCTCCTCTGCCAGTGTCTGAGCAGTAAGTTCACCTGTGGGGGCGGTGGCATGTTTCAGGGCTGGACTTGCAGGAACATATTTGCGACATGATGGATTTGGGTTTACTTGAACCGCTAACCTTATTTGTTTGCTCAGGAATTGTGTCAGTTGGAAAAAAAAGTGAGTTCATATACAGTAAAAATAATGCATAGTTGTTTAGTCGAGCTTGAAGCCCGGATATGGTGCAAATGGACTATTATTTACTTGCCATTCATACAGATGTTTAATTTACCATATTTTAGAGATTATCAATGACTTTTTCACTTATTGTCAGTGTTTGTGTGAAGCCATGTACGTATTGTCAAATAAGGTTTTTATTTTTATCTTTTCAATTTTGAATTCTGAGCCTGATAAGAAGTTTCCATCCCCAAATTCTCAATAGCCTGTTTTGACCCTTCAAGATTAATAACATTTTGCCGTTTTTTTGTGGTGGTTGTGGATGAGGTGGTAAAGCTGACCATTCTTCTTGGCAAAAAGTCTCCAGTAACTTCCTGGGCTGCCTTGCATGCGCATTTGAGATCTCCTCAAAACGGCTCAATTATGGTATAATAAAAAAAATATATATATATTTCAAGCACACAATGAAAAAGTGTACACAATGCACAATAAAAAAACAGAAGTCATAAAACTTTTTTTTTAATACTTCAGGTTTTGTTGTGGGTTTTTTGGCTTGACATTTTGCTGTAGTACAAATGTAGCTGATGTTTACATGAAGACTAAAGCTGATTTTTAGAAGTTGCTCCAAGAAGTACGAGGAGGAAAGAGAGCGATGCCTTCAGCACAGAGCGAGTGGAGGGAGAGAAGTGTAGGGTCGGAGAGTGTTTTGGTGTGTGTGTGTGTGTGTCTTGATTGATTGATTGATTCGGTATTTCTTTCAGATGACTCCTGTCCTGACATAGCCACGTACTGCTCCTTACAATGCCCCATGGGATATGAGCGGGACGACTTTGGCTGTGAGGTGTGCGAATGCCACGTCCCGGTGCCCAAGTGCCGGCCTCTCACTTGCACCAAGACGTGTCCCTATGGTTACGTGTAAGTATTTAAGCATAATAATCGCTCTTTTCTGGATGCATCAGATTCACATTATTTTCATTTGCTATTTGCAGTAAAACCACATAGGAATACATTTGCAAAAGTCCCCAGTGGGCACAAGACAAGTTTATAATAAATCAAGGATAAAAGTAAACCTTGAGTGTAAAGAAGCTAGTACTGCTTAATTTTGAGAGGTGATCCGGGCACGTGGACCATCAACAGAGACGAAGGGGCCTTTATCTTGACTCACATTTGGGGATCACATTTGCAGAGACCACAGCGCGGCAGGGTGTGGTCACTCTGTCAGACTGACCAAATCCGGTAACAACGTCACACCACCACATGTCACCTATGACCAAGGCAGAAGTCTACTGTCGAAACGTTTCAATTTCAATCAGAATGTTTTTGTTATAGATCCCTAAATTACAGCAGCTGTCATCTCTTGGAGGATTTGATTAGTTTTGGAAGTGAGTGTCGCGGCACGGTGGCTGAGTGGATAGCACTCTCGCCTCTCAGCAAGAAGGTCCTGGGTTTGAATCCCGGTCGGACCAGGGCCTTTCTGAGTGGAGTTTGCATGTTCTCCCCGTGTCTGCGTAGGTTTCCTCCAGGTACTCTGGTTTCCCCTACCACTAAAAATATGTCCAATAGTTCTAGCATGTGCCTCCTGTACTGGCGACCCCGCTCCCATCTCTGTGTGGAGTGAGAGACAAATGCCCAAAATTAACAATTGTAAACCGCTTTGAGACTCAATTCTGCAGTGAAAAGGCGGTATATAAATAAAAACTTACTTACTCACTTACTTACTTACTTACCAACAACAAATCAGAGAATCTCAAAAACCATTTAAACACAGGAAATGAAAAAACATACACTGAATACGAGCCATTGGTCCATAGGGAGTCCATAAATGTCCATAGATGTCCTGGATCGTCACTGTCCTTAGAGCCTTCTGCATTAGCATTAAATTAGAAAAACATTGGGGAGGCCCACATTAAGACAGGGATGAGCTCCCACGGGCTGTAGAATGAGGACTGTGCGGTGTGGGACTGAGGAGGCTCCCAAGTGAGGACATCCACTCTTTGTCTTATCAAAATCATCTGATAACGGTTTGGCACTTGGCAGCTGCTTCTACCTCACTGTGGCACCTGGAGTTCCCAGAGTTAATTTGTCACTCTGGTTTGCATAGTGTTCAAAGGGAATGCTGTCTGTAAGTGTAAATGATAACAGATCAAAGAATGTGGGGAGAAAGGCACATACGTCTGAACGCGCTCTCACACGGCAGAAGGGCACAGTTCAAGTGGCTGAATGTTGCACAAACTGGAGCCTTGTGTCTATTTTCATTTGGACTAAATGAGCTAGAACATCAAAAGTTCCTCTGTGGTGGTCACTTTAAAGTTGACCATCTGTCCCCCTGCATCTTTAAAAGCTCCGGCGAACCAATCAGACATCTGGAAACCTTCTGAGTAGTCCCTTGACACTTTTCTTGTTTTGAAGTCGTTATTATACGTTCTTTTTTGAAGAAAGTCCTGGATACAGTGTAGCTCTACTGTACTGCAGAGGTTACCAGTTGAATGAACGTTTTCTGGTATCAGTCAGCCAACTACTGTATAAGCTTTTCTGCTTCCACTAAGCACTGTCGCATACCTGCTGGTGTTTAGCTAGAAATGACGAATTAATATTTATCATTATGTTCATTTAAATATGTTTTGTTTGTAAGTAAAAAAATAAAGAAAGCAGAAAAGAGCCATAACCATCTGACAACACACAAAGCTTCTCCACCTGTCACTTCCACTACAGTTAATGTTTAAAATTAACTTTTATATAAAACATATAACTATCACTCAGCAGGGATTTTTCCGTGATTTTCTTGCTCTAAAAGCACTTTAAGTCTATCACAAATGTTCACATGCATGTAGTTTTGGCCTCTGTCACATCTTTTGATTAGATACCAGCCCTAGCTCAACCAATCACCTTACAATATGTCCAATTTTGGGAGCTCAAGCCCTTTGAACATTCTAATCTAGCCTTCAGCCCTTGTTTTTAACCCTTTCTGTGTTTTCTAACAAGATTAGACACAACATTCATGGACATCGGTTAACTCCCTATGGACCAGTACATATGTGATCTATATTCTTTGTGTGTTAACCGTTGATTCTCTGATATGTGTGGAAAATTTCAACGGTTTTGTTAAGTCCTCTGAGATAATTCTGTTATTTAGGCCAATACAAGAATACATTGAATTGAATTGAATTGAACATGTCTAATTTGTTCACAAAATGTCACGTGAGTCTCTTTCTGAGTCTCTTTCTGTTGGGGCAGACGAATCTATGTATGAAACCCAAAAAAGTTAGGTTCTCCCACTTCAACCACAGTACCTCAATTCCACTCAAAATTCTCGAAGTGAAGACTGTACAGAAACGCACTACACAAAGTGGAGTTTTAGAATGATTGTGTTTCTCATCCGTGAAGGCCCAGGGCTCAGCTTGGGTCCGGTGTGTCTGTGCACCGTGCCAGAAGACTGAGGCTGAGGAGGGGGGAAAGAGCAGGAAGTTCTGGGTTTATCCTCCATAAGCAGCTGTTTAGGTCGGAGCTGTTAGAAGTCCAAATCCTCAGAGAGTTTGCCAGCTTTACAATGGAGAGCTGTCTCTTCTCACTGGACCCCTACACGCTGCCTGCACAGACAAAGGCACAAAAGAACTGTGTGTTTACTCTGCTTCTATTGATGACATCCGCCGTGAACTGAACCCGCGAAAGCAAATAATGTCAGCGATTGAGACTGCTCTTAAATTAAAAAGCACTGTTTCATTTCCATCGCTAATTTCACACTCACCCGTTCTTACATTTTCATTCAAAAAGAAATAATACACACTATTTTCAGCCGTTTGAATATAATGAGACTCTTATGTATGCTTTCAAGTATGATTTGGTATCTTAAAGTAGAACATATGGTGAAACAAGTCTGCATGTTATCAGCCTCCCTTATCCTTAAACCAGCTGAGAAATCACCAAAACTAATTTATGAGCTCTAATTTTGTTTTAAAAGACAGAAAAGTGCTCTGAGTGTGATGTCATAGCGGTACAATGACATCCTACTATAACAGGACTGATGACGCGTTCATGTGGCCTCGGATACTTGGAAGTTCTGTTTTCCCAAACAGAAAAATTGTAGTGAATTCTGCTTAACGCCTGTGCTATCCTCGTGACAAACTCACACACCGCAGTGAATAGAGAATACACCAAAAAAATGTTTTTTTGACTGATACATTTGACCTAAATGTATTGCATTTTTATTCTACTTTTATTCATTGTGGTGGGTCATTTTTACCCAAGGGTAGCACAGGAGTTAAGTTGGAAACTGGGTCAATGGTAAATCGAGTTTTGATGTGACGAAAGAAAAGAGACAAATGGTGATGATGTGTATGAATGTATGAAGCAAAAGATTTAAAGATTTAAGTGTAGAATAGAATCCAGTGACATTTCTGCACTGTGCGAGGGTGCGACTCCAGGTCTGTCCTTGATGAGGGAACATTGTTGCAACATGAAGAAAATCTCAAAAAGGTCAATTTAGCATAATCTGTCTCCTTTAATATATTTCTATATTATAAACAAACACACGTTCATTGACACGTTTGATCTCCTAAAGCCCCCGACGAGTCCTGATCCACTTTGTTTCCCCCCACACAAACATTTCTGAGAGCACAGTTTTCAATTCAGCACAGATGGTAGTTTTTTTTTCTTTTCTGAATGTGTTGTAATCAAATCACAGATGTCCTTTTAGCTTTAGTGGCCTCAGTTTACATACAACAGATTCAAAGTTTCCTTTGTAAAATTCTGAAGGGACTTTGTCATGAGGCCTCTTGTTGTTTTTGCAGATGACACTTGTATGTTTTTAGAGTGTTGGTGTAACCACATGCTGGAGTCATGCAAAGGTCCCCCATGTGGGACTATGTATAGTACACATGTATGTAAGTAAACATTAACTTACCTTACCTTCCCTCACTTACAGTATAATAGAGCTGAATGGAAGGTCTGCAAAACAACTCCAACAAAGTTTTAGCTTTTTTTTAGCTTTCGCTATTGTGGAGATAAAATACTTTGTTACAAATCATGTTTTATTTTTGAGCCAGCACACAAACACAACATTTATTATCAGCCTTTAAGGACATTGATCATCCTGCTCCTTATGGACCAATTATCTATGTGTGTTTTTATTGCTTTTCCTGTGTTCCAACTGTTGTTGGTGAATCAACAACTTTGTAAAGTCCTCCTTGACGACTGTTTTTGTGATTTATTTCATTCATAAATGTCTTGAATTGAATCAAATTGGAGGTTTTGGAAGTTGGTCTCTTTCTACACTGGCACAACACTCTTTCCAATAGATGGATCTTTAAAGGCGTCTTAAACAGCAATGGAATGTGCATTATCATTGTTCAAAACACTGTTATAGAACAATGGAAAGTCCATAAAAACCCGTTTATTCTGTGCACACTCAAATGTACTGTATATATATTCATTTATCAGACACCAGTATTACGATTTAACCAGTCACAGTGAAATCATCAGCTATTATCTTTTGTGCTTCAGTCGGGATATGTTCCAGCTCATTCACTGCAGGAATTAGACCATAGACTTGGATGGATTGGACACGCACTCAAAGTGGTGTCAGCTCCATGGATAGAACATACGCTAAGGTCTTCTTTCTGTTACCTGCGTCCTCTTATGTAACCGTGTTTTTACAGATGTTCAAACCGCAGCTGCTATAGACTCTTTCATAAAACGTATTGTTCCCAGACACAACATGATTTACGTTAACCCCAGGTCCCGTACCCCTCTGTGTCTCCCCCCCACTCTCTCTCTCTCTGAGCTCAGACCGCTCATGCCATTCCACACAGCATCTTCAAACACGGCTTCGTTCTCAGGTCACCGCTCTCTTTGTTATTTGTACAGTGGGGCTCCAGTCGATCCCTCACGCTCTCGTTTCTATGGCCACTGTTTGGACAAGTTCACATGCGATTGCCGCGGCTCTTCCAATAGTCCCGCCGCAGCTCCCTCGTCTATCCCGAGCTCCTTTTGCCTTCGCGACCACGGCTAATCATTGCAGTTGCGCATGCGTTAGCCGGTATCAACCCCATTAACGAGTGCATTGAAAAGTCCACAGAGGCTAAACTAGACTGGTCCAAAAAAAATTGTGAAAGGAAGGGTGCTCTTTAGGATCAATATACACAATAAGAAGAACAATCAGAGTCACTCAAAAACCTGATGGTATTGGAGTGCCTCTGTTATTATTATAATCATATCATGAACTGTAACTATTTATTTGAGTTCTTGAAAAAAATATTTTTCATGTGACCAAATAATTTTTTTTTTTTTACGATTTAGTTGTATGTATATTAGGTATTTTTTGTAATGCCTAATTTAGACCTACTGACTATTTGAATTTGTTGCGTCCAATCAAAAAAACAGCTCTCCATCTTTACAATTGGAAATGTAGCTGAACTCTGAATCTTTTTATGGTTTCTGCAACCATTTGGTGGATCACTTTTCGAGTCACTATATCTACTTGAAGCTTGGACCTGCTATCTAAATCTATTTCTTTGCGGCATCTCACTTGATTTTCGGCACTTTTACCATCAAACTACATCTCAACCAATTGGTAAAGGCCGATAATAAAATCAAATAAAAATAGGGATTAAAAAAATATTATTGCTCCGACATCTTTGAAAATCCCCCCCAAAAAATACATTGCTTTCTTTTAGGAGCAAACATTAGAGGATTAATAGTATGAATTGAAAATCATATCAGAGGCCACACAACAGAAAAAACGATGTTGCCTGGTCTATTGAAAGAAGATTTATTCTACTCTATTCACCAAATTGCTTCACTTATTGAACCGACTTTTGGATTTCCTTTCAGTTTGTTCTCTAATCAGCTCTGAAAGGGTCTGAGGATGTTCTTGCGTGGCTGCCAGAGGGCTTTGTGCACGTTATGGACAGTAAACGGGTGAATTGGAAGCACCTGAACAGGCTTACGGTCTCTTCTCTCTACAGTAGGTATGAAACGGCAGGGATCTCACGTGTTGCCCTTTTATTTGGCCCTCTTCAAAGGAACCTAATACAGAGAGAGAGAGGGAAAGCAGCTCCAGATGTCGATTATTCCCGGCTTGAGGATCTGGCCTTCGCTGCACCACAACACCATCATGTCCCTTTCAGACTTTGTGTGTACATAGTAACGCCATTGTTCGCCCCATGACTGATCCGTATCTGTGTGTGTGTTTGTTTTCTTTCAATGCCATCTCTGCAGGAGGAACAAGCACGGGTGTGAGATGTGCCGCTGCGTCAAGTGTCCTCCGTTCACCTGTGACCAGCACTGTCCTGAGGGTTACCGGCAGAACAAGAAGGGCTGCTCCGTCTGCATGTGTAAAGGTACTAGTACTAGTTTGAGTCCAGATTGTATTGTTATGAGAGGGGTGGGGGGAAAAAACGCTCCTCAAAGGGCCGCTGTGGCTGTAGGTTTTCGTTCTAACCTGAGCAGGAGCAAGACCAGGCTCCACCCATTTCCTCAGGTGAGTCCAGTTTGAACCTGAAGATTTGAGGAATTGTGTGGAGTCTGCTTTGATCCTTCTCACTTTGGAACTAAAACCGGACATTTGAGGACCGGTTTTTGTTAAGATAAAATAATCCTTTTTTTTTCGCACTGTGGGCAAATTTCAATGTCATTGTTTGCGCTCTTTACAGCAGAATAAAGGGAGGAAATAAAAGCTCTCAGATTGTAACAGGATCCATTTATTAAGATAAGATAATAAAATAAACTCTGGAGCTATAATTACACTTCCCACCTCTGAGCGATGATTTTGTCTCTGGATCGTCCTATGTTGCTGTCTTTCAACCAATGGCATGTTAATACTACAACTCCCAGGGCAGTCAATTTGACGGCTTTTAGTTTTGGAAGTATATTAAGGCACTAACATGTCATGAATTAACTTTGGTGCGAGGCCATGGAGAGACTTGTACTTTTCATGATCTTTTTTAATGGCCAAAATAAAGGCGTAATATTTCTTCACTCTCGGAGCAGAGACCTGAGACCAGACTTGGTTTTAGCTCCAGCTTTAGTTGTGAACTACAAAAGCCACTGATTGCAATCAGTTGGGCCCCTCGGCCTTTTTAGACAAATTTCAATTCTATGTTTCGTCATATTTCAGTCTTCTTCCAAATCTTAATTCTCTTTGATGTTTGACATACATTTTATTCCTGAAGTTGTCCAAAAATATTCCCATTATACAATATGTAGCAATAATTTGTGTTTGAAATATTTTCCAAGCCTCAGTCATTGAACTAATGCAGATTGCAAAGGGATTTTGGTCACTTTGGTTTGCTTTATGCTTCGTATTTGGATGTTTGAATTGAAAGAAAATACAATGTCTGCATCAGGCTTCAAATGCCCTCTTTATGCTTCATCTCTCATGTACTTTTGATCCCAACCCACTCTTTTGGAACCACATGGTCGAGCCTTAAAGTCAATCTCAGGTCTTAACCACTGCGGCCCATAAATTGTAATCTCATTCTATAATTACACAGCTTCAAATAAGAGCTTTTTATTCTCCTCGTCCCTTATGGCTACAGCCGGTTAGGAGATCCCAGTGTCCATGGCGCAAGTCCTGGGAATAGGATACACAAGCATAAAATTAGGCATAAATCATCACCTTCTGTGTATAAGAGCTTCTTTGTGTTTGGTGCGAAGGGAAATGATGGAAGCAGATAGCAGAAGCTGTGTGACCTCTCTCTGCTCCTCGGCACACACACTTTCATACCTCATCCTGGGTCCTGTCGAGCCTGAGCTGCGTGTGCTACTGCAATTAGCTCACCCCAAAACCCCACAAGGTTAAAGGCATGCGGGCCCTGCCACATTTTTATGAGAAATGTTTATTTAGATGCCAATTTGGATGCATTATAAATATTCCCAGGCTAAAATACACTTTACTGTTTTCACATGACAGCATCTGGCGCCTTCATCTCAGCAAACAGAACCAGCAGCTTTTGCAAATATCCCTGTGTTTACCTGCGTTACAAGATCGGGCCGTCTGTGGAATGCTAAATTTATGGGGAAAGGGAAAGTTTTCATGTGTGTATGTGTTTTTGTGGTCTAAATAAAACGAGACCAAGAGGAGAGTTATATCTCAGTTTGAACTCTGGAACATTGGGTTCTTGAAAAGACATCTTTGATTTTTAAGTAAATATTGTGCATTTCTTGTTCGACATGATAAAAATCCAACTTTGGGTTAACTTTACAAAGGTACTATTCTTTTTGGCCACTTTTAAGTGAACAAACAGTGACTAGTAGTAGTAGTAGTAGTATACACCTGCACCTGCCAATCATCTCATAGTCCAAAATCTCAAACAACAAATGATCTACAACTATTTAGATGAAGACAATGTCTAGCTGGGGCTCAGTTGGTAGAGCATTGGCCTCAGAGCCTGAAGATTGTGGGTTCAAGCCCACCACGAGACCTACTTCACGACTCCCACTGATGACTGCTGCCATTGTGTCCTTGGGCAAGACACTTAATCCCACTTTGCCTGAATCCCCCACTGAATGATCAAAGCTCCTGTGGACTCACTACCTGCAGGAGGATCAGTGAGGGGCTGGTGCTCTGTGGATGGATGGATGGACAATGTCTATCTTATACATCATCAAAAAACTCATGAGATTAACTAAATTACAGGATTTTTTAAATTTTATTTATGCCTCTCTTGCAAGGAAATATTCCTTGCATGGCGCCGTAAAGATGGCGCCGTGGCAAGAGCTCTGGTGTGTGTCGTCTGGTGCACACTGGGGTAGTCTTGCACAGTTTTTCCAATGTGGTTTTACTGCAAATGGCAAATAAATGAATCTGAATCTGAATCTCTTGGGAAAGTGGGTGTTATTAACTTTGTGGGAAAGATTTTGGGTGCAATTTGATGTGAAACAGACACAAGGTAGAACCCCGATACTTTATAAGAAATAAAATAATCAGTAACAGAAATAAATAAAAGAAAAAATGTGTAATAAATATGTAGGGAGACCTGGTCTTTGTATAGAAAGTGCTCTGGATTCTGATGACTGCGTTCCTTCTTAAAGCCAGTAGCCAGATGTCTTGAGGAAACTCATATCTCGACTCCCTTTAGGCAAGGCAAGGCATGTTTATTTGTATAGCACAATTCATACACAAGGCAACTCAAAGTGCTGAACAAGATAGCATTAAAATCATAAATAATCACAGAACGTTAAAAAGAAAGATAAAAATATAAAATCCCTCAGTCGTATGCACAGCTAAACAGCACAGTTTTTAACTTGGTTTTAAACATAGTCAGAGAGGAGGCCTGTCTCACATCTTCAGGAAGATTGTTCCAGATTTTAGCAGCATGAATCTGAAAAGCAGCCTCCCCATGTTTAGTTCTGACTCTGGGCACTAACAGGAGTCCAGTCCCTGTGCTCCTCAGAGTCCGGGCTGGTTCATATGGGACTAACATGTCACTAATATATTTTGGTGCGAGGCCATGGAGAGACTTGTACACAAGCAAAGCTGTTTTAAAGTCTATTCTCTGAGCCACAGGAAGCCAGTGCAGAGACCTGAGGACCGGACTAATATGGTCGTACTTCCTGGTTCTAGTCAGGACTCGAGCTGCTGCATTTTGAATGTACTGCAGCTGTTTTTTACATACGTTATTTGTTGTGTCTTTTAGAAACTGAAGCGGTTGCAGTCACCACGGCAACAGTCCCAATGCCCAGCTTCTGCCTGACCTCTAACGGACACCGGTACGAGGAGGGGGACAGCTGGCACGACGGCTGCAGGGACTGTTACTGCCACTCGGGGAGAGAGATGTGCGTGCTCATCTCCTGCCCGGTGCCCAACTGTGCCAACCCAGTGGTCAGGCTGGACCAGTGCTGCCCCACCTGCGAGGGTAAGATGGATAGATACTTTCTTGATCCTTGTTGGAGAAATTCAAGTGTCCGGTAGAAGTTCATATTAAGCAGCAAAGGTGGGCCATCCGCTGGGGGTGGAGCAGGACGGGTCACAGCAGCAGAGGTGGTGTAGCCTCTGGGTGGAGCAGGACGGTCACAAGGTGGAGCCCCTTGGTTCGGACCATTTTCTCTGCTCTGGTCCAAATTAAAATGCTCTGTTAGTATTTTTCAAAAAGTTAGCCTTCCTCCAGTGGATTTTTTGTCTAATCCGCTTGTTTTGGACCATGAATCCTCTCTGCTCTGATCTGGACCAGTGTAAAACCATGAACGCCGTACTGCAGCAACATCTCATCTTGCTCCCGTTTCCAGCACATTCGAAAGTTCACTTCTAAACTGGCCTTCAAAAACAATAAATGCGTTTAAAATGTGTTCAAAAAAATAAAAGTGTTGTCTAGAACTAAGTGATAGTGATTTAAAATATGTCAGATATTATACAACACTAGCACATGTTTTGATAAATAAGTATTGATTTGTTTAAAACTTGGATACAGTACGATACATGAAAGAATAATTAAAACGGCAAAATCCACACACGCACACACACGGACAAGACACAACCCCACACCTCTTCCCCATTACTCTCTTTGTGCGACATCAACAACAACAACACAACTCTCAAGGGGGTTTTTCTCTCCCAGTGCAGGTTTTTGTTACGGACGGCACAGATTATGAAAAGAGTCATTGTTTTACCCATAATCTTACATACAGTAGTCTTCAGTAATAGATAGATATTATAGAGTTGTAACCAAGTCAATAATCACATAATAGCTTTTTTTTGGAATCACACTCCAGAAATTCCATGAAAAGGTTTTTGGACTCATACGGTAATAATAGTTGCAAAAATGCTACATAGAAAGTGTATATTTTGTATTTTTATTTTGACACTGTTTCAAATGTATGAAGTATTATTGAAGAAAATGACATGAGTACAAAAATAACAGTGTTTTCACAGTCCGTCCTTCAAGTATCTTTTTGGTGGACTCTAGACGCATCAAAGCGACCTTCAAAATGTTATTATTTGGCTTTTGTGATCTAAACTATTGCTCACAAAATACAACATAACCAGGCACTTTTACACATATTTTGACCTTCAGCTTTACAGTAAGATAAGTTGAGTTGAATGTTTATTATATATTATTTATAAATATGAATTATCAAACGTGAATGCGTAGAACTTTCCAGCAAATAATTCATTTACAATTACTTATTATAATATTGCACATCATTCAAACTTGAAAAAGAGTGGGAGGAAGAGAAAATCGTATTCATTTCGACCCCTGGGAAAAAAACTTAATGGATCTCACAATGGAGAAATGTGCACGTAATCGTAACCCAAAATTACGCAGTATTTTTCTATTTTTTTACAGCATGTGTCTTGTGTACACATGCTGTATACTATACTGTAAAACTTTAAAAGAGAAGTATGTAAAAATCTGGCTAAAAGTGGTACTGCGGTCTCTCCCACTCTCCCTGACTCAGGTTGCCAGATATGCAGACAAATCCAGCTGGTAACATAATATCTGAATAGACAACAGTGGTCTATTCAGATATTATGTTATCTGATTATGTTATCTGTTGTTGTTGTTCTCAACAACAAATCTATAATCAACCCCTTTTTTCACAAAGGCCTCGATAGAAATCCTTGTTTTATCTATTGTTTTGTTGTTAATAATTTGAGAATCATAACACAACTTATTTTTGTTCTGAGATGTTGCTTTACCAGTGGGATCTCGGACTTTCTGATTGGTAAAACGATGCAGGGCGGGGCATCAAAATGAAAACAATAACAAGATTTACAGGCTGTAAAACTCATTATGAAATTTAAATATCTCGGCTGAACTTCTTTTATCAGTTATAAAAGTATTTTCGAAAAGAGCATGTTTTACAAACGCCTTTTGAGACATTAGGGCCATTTAATGATGATAATAAGCACAAACTTATTCCAACAAGAGATCACCGAATGAGTGAGGGGGTTAAAACGTCTTGATGTTCTGAACACATTCATAGCTCCAGAGAAGTGACAGCTTAAGTATTTGGCAGTGAGAGAAAGCCTTTAACCTGACAACGTTACACAGACTGCAGTTGGGGAAAGAGGAAACTTTTTGCAGATGTCCCACTCTCGCACAAGGATGTTTTCAGATAAATTAGGAACTACACTGCCTGGAGCTTGTTTGAACAGATAAAGGTCTTCTGTCTCTTGTAACCTATGACGCGGCCCTATCCACTTAAAAGGACATCTGATTTTATTCTGCCGTCCGCGGTTTGAGTATTTCTGTGTCGCGTCACACATTGCGGTCGCCATTCGGTACAAGAGAAATGTTCTGTTTCGATGTACTTCTGCTGCGTGGGATAGAGCTGCCTCTTTCAAAGCCTGCTGATAATTATACATATTCCTATCTCCATATTCTAGACTTTTGATTCGATTCCATATATATATTTATAAATTATACGATTTTGTTCAGTAAAATAGACCCTCTAACGATTTGGTAGATCACCTTTTGAGTCAATATATCTACTTTTTATCATTATATCTACTTTGAGCAAGCTTGGAACTGAAATCTATCTCACTTGGTTACAGGCACTTTTACCATCAAACTGCAATCACAACCATTTGGTAAAGAAAAAAATATATATATGTAAAACAAATTTGTTGTGTATTTTTGTTAGTGCTACATTTTCCAGAAAGAAATCTAAAATAAAATCCAAAAAAGAACAACTCACCGGTACATTGCTTCCATCAATGAGTGAATGTTCTTCTTATCAATGCACTCTACTTTTGACCCAAAATACAACAATATTTATGCGGTTATATTTTATTATTGAAGATTAAAATATGTTTTCAAACAAAAATCATTATAAATAATTTCTTACATAATTGTGGGGGTAAAAAAAATTACATAAAAAAACACCAATAACTTTATGAAATGAAATGATCTAGAAAATTAATTTAATAATGCTTAATATTTCTCTGACAGTATATATATTTTTAGTACCCCCCTAGCATAGAATAATAGTGGTAAAGGTGACTTGGTTTTTGTATTTACACTATTAAAGCAACAGTTTGGCACGCAACATCCCGGAGCTGGCACGTCACCTGCAGGACTGTGTGAATCAGAAGGTTAAAATACTTGTTAGAACATAAACAAATGGGAGAAAAGACAGAGATCCAAAACCCATACATTCTAATAGTTTTTTAAAATCCTGTGCTGTTATGGGAGACAACAGGTGGCTGGCAGCGCTCAATAATCCACCCCGTGTCACGTCTGTCTGTACATCAAAAGTTATTATAAAATGCCTGGCTTTCCTTTCTCACACGACTGCCTCTCGCTCTCGTCTTGTCGCAGATGAATCGGGCAGCGGTCAGGCCGAGGGCATGGACATGGTGGTATGCAGGGCGCCTGGAGGGGAGTTCTACGTGGAGGGGGAGACCTGGGACCTGGATGAGTGCACGCGCTGCACCTGTCGACGGGGACGAGTCCTGTGCGATACCGAGGAGTGTCCGCCGGCCCTGTGCCACTCACCCAGCCGCAACAAGGACACCTGCTGCCACGTGTGCCCGGGTAAGTACCGTGCATGTTCTGTGGTATATAATCTACAGCGGGGGGCTCCAACCTGTGGCTCGGGAGCTACCGTTAGCTCACCACCCCACTTCCCAAAATAATCAAGAAATAAACACATGATCTTAAATGATTCACTTTTGAGTCTTTTCATATCTATTTTATCTATAAATCCTTCTATTATTCTGTTACTGGGTCATCTCTGGGTCCAGTCTGGGATCTCTCCGGGTCCTCTCTGGTCCTCCTCGGTGTCCTCTCCAGGTCCTCTGGGTCTACTCTGGGTTCTCTCTGGGGCTTCTCTATGGGGCTTTTCTATGGAGCTCCTCTGGTTCTTCTCTGTGGGGCTCCTCTGGGTTTTCTCTGGGTCCTCTCTTGGGCTCCTCTGTGGGGCATCTCTGGGAACAGCCTGGAGTTGATTGGAAAGTGCTCAGAGCATGTGGTTTTGGAAGATCCTGTGTGTAGCTCTCAGACGGGGAAGTTTTATGTCGGGCTCATAAAGAAACCAGCCAAGACCGGTTGAAATCTTTTGAAGCAAGCAAATAAACAGGAGGAAATTTGCAAAAGGAATGGTTATTATTTTGATTATTTTGTGTGTAGTGATTGTACAAGTGAAACACGGAATATCGTTTAAAAGATAATTTTTATTTCTGTAATTTGAATGCGAAATTAATTTGTGATTTTTAAAAGGAGTGAGCCATAATTCAGATTAGTTTTATTGATTCATGAATTATTGTGTACATACATTCCACAAAAAGTGATAATGGATACAAATATAAACACAGTACAAAATAAATAGTTTCAAAATGATCAAACTTTATAATTCATATTTTTGTCAAATACTGTAGTCCCTCCCTGCAAAAAGTAACTGAACCAGTTTTGTTCAAAAAACAATATCCAAACTCATGTCGAAGAACTTATTTTTAAGTGATCGCACGTCAGCAGTCGTGAGTTCAGATGGTTATTTAAGTGTATGAAGTCTGTGGTGAGAATCAGCACCTCCAAATCCGAGGCCATGGTGCTCGACCGGAAAAAGGTGCCTTGCCCTCTCCAGGTGGGTGGAGAGGTCCTTCCTCAAGTGGAGAAGTTCAAGTATCTCGGGGTCTTGTTCACGAGTGAGGGAAGAATGGAGCGTGAGATTGACAGGCGGATCGGTGCAGCGTGCGCAGTGATGCGGTCGCTGTATCGGACCGTCGTGGTGAAGAGGGAGCTGAGCCGAAAGGGAAAGCTCTCGATTTACCGGTCAATCTTCGTTCCCTCCCTCACCTATGGTCATGAGCTTTGGGTAATGACCGAAAGAACGAGATCGCGGATACAAGCGGTCGAAATGAGCTTCCTCCGCAGAGTGGCTGGGCGCTCCCTTAGAGATAGGGTGAGGAGCTCAGTCACACGGGAGGAGCTCGGAGTAGAGCCGCTGCTATTCCACGTCGAGAGGAACCAGTTGAGGTGGCTCGGGCATCTGTTCCGGATGCCTCCTGGACGCCTCCCTGGGGAGGTGTTCCGGGCACGTCCCACCGGGACGAGGCCCCGGGGAAGACCTAGGACACGCTGGAGGGACTATGTCTCTCAGCTGGCCTGGGAACGCCTTGGGGTCCCGCCGGACGAGTTGGAGGAAGTGTGTGTGGATAGGGAAGTCTGGGCGTCTCTGCTTAGACTGCTGCCCCCGTGACCCGGCAACGGATAAAGCGGAAGAAAATGGATGGAAGGAAGTCTGTGGTGAGGGGTTTTATAGCCTTTAAAAATAGAACTGCCATGTCGTTGTTTTTTTCTTATTTGCAGGTCTTTTTATAATGTAACCCCCAGAATTTGACTAGATAAGTTCAAATTCTGGGGTACTTAATCTAAAGGGAACTTTGGGGCAGATGAAGAGCTGAAGGGAATTCTGGCCTGAAATACCCAACAACTTGCATCAGTTTACAAAGTATTGTTTAGAGTGCCACAAAAACAATCTTGCAACTCCCTACTTTGTTCTGGGAAGATACTTTGTCACAACTGCCTTTGCAAAGCCCACACATTCTTTATTTTTCTTCTCTCTGTTCTCAAACACAATCATGGGCTACAGTACATAGGGAGCACTGCCGAGCTTGAGGCCCACAAATCAGCAATGCATGACTGCACCAGAGGCCGCTCCTGGAGAATGCCACTGCACCTTATCTTTGAATCTCCCTCTCCACAAAAGCAGATTGACAGTGGTCCTTTGATATAGGCTTGAGCTTGGTCACCAGGAATGTGGGAATAATACACATCTTCCTGACAGCCCTATGATCTATGTGTGTAGCAGGCAGTACGCACGTTTAGCCTCCAGCCAGGCTTTGGTCTTTACTGCTCCATGGCCTGATCCAGATGTATGACTAATCAACAAGATAAAGCCCTGATGAAGACCTGATTAATGTTAACCCTTGGTGTCGATAAATACCTGATCAACTATAAACCCATATGTGGAACCGCCGTTTGCATTGGACGCACTGTAAATTTCTCCTTTGTGAGATCAATAAAGTATATCTTATCTTAAAGCCTCTAATTTCCTTATCTGAAGCCACCCCAAAGGGCCGTTCACTTTTATGACATGTTCCACATCAATGCTAATGTCAGGTGGCTGCTAAAAGTTCACGTTTTCCTTGAAGCCCCATACTTGTTCTATTTGAGGTCTAATGCCCTGAACTTGTGTGTCCCTGTGTGCAGAGAGCCCTTTGCTGCCTGTGAACAGGAGCCAGCAGGAGTACTGCATCACCAGTGAGGGAGACGTGCTTCTGGCTGGAGACTCGTGGAGGGCCAATGCCTGCACCAGCTGCACCTGCAACAACGGCACCATTGAGTGCTTCTCCCAGCGCTGCCCTGCAGCCAGCTGCAGAGTGCCCGTGCTGCGGAAGGGCCAGTGTTGCCCACACTGTCTGGGTACGTGGGCCTGACGGGTCACAGCTCAATGTTCACTGTACGCATGATGTAAAAGCTCCAGAATGGGCCCAGACAAGAGTTCAAACACTGGAGGCTGTTTGATATGAGTGAGAGATCATGTCAAACTGTGGTCCTTCAGTTACTTCTATGTTTGTCCATTAGACCTAGCCAACCTGGCGCTGCATACGCAAACACAGCCATTCCCAACAACATTCCATGTGACAAACACACAGTTGGTTGTGAGTGAAAGCACTCCCCCGGGCATCCGCACATTCACACGTGTTTCCTGTCCCCTCTCTCGGAGCAGTACAGGAAGGCAAAGTCCACTGTCAGCTTTTCCCAAAAAGGAACACCGCTATTGTTGGCTCTGATAGGGGGTCCCAGGCCTTTGTTCTTGCGACAGGAACTTTTATGTAATGTTTATTCAGTGAAAGTTTATGCACTCAGTGTGCATGAGTGACAATATGTGTTCTTTCATACTGTATATTCTGTGTGTGGCAGAAATGACCACGTCAGTCCCAGTGATGATGTCGACCAGTGCTCCTAAGAAAGCCATCACAGCTGGAGTGGACAAAGGCGTGTGGATTAGCACTGTCACAATGCCTCCAGTTATCACTCAAACAGGTATGGCCCTTTCATAACAGACATCTCATAGTTATTCATTCATTAAAGCTCTATTGACACATGAACATCGTGAGCAGAAACATGAACTCTCAGGAGAAATCCTTGCTGATTAATTCATGTCAGTGTCTTCCAGCTCTTTGAGCAGTTTGACAAATAGGAGGGACGGGGATCCAAACAAGGAGATTTATTTTCATTTGCATCATCGTATCTCTCATTTCACAGATGAGCCTCGCCGGGGAGAGAACTTCCCGAGCCAAGCCGAGATCGCCCTCATTTACCAGTCAGCAGCCTGGATTCTGGCCGGTCTGCTGCTGGCCATCATCATCTTCATCTTTGTGGCACTGCTGATCAATCGCAAGAAGAAGTGGGTGCAGATGTCTTGCTACAGCGCACCGAAAAAGGTGCGATGCGTTTTCTCTCCATTCTTGTCAGCTACAGGAATAACAAGACAGACATTCACAGAAACACACATTATGTCAGCAGAAGGAAATGGTCTGAGTGCATCTCTTTACAGAAATATTTTATTATTGTCTGTATGCAATAAAAAAGTAACAAAATTGCTAACAATCACAAACTGTCTTGCAGACCGTAATACTGAAGAAACACGTCAACAAAAACTCTGTCGTCTACATGGAGCCTTCCAAGGAGAGTAAATTTCAAAATGTGAAGAATGACTGTGGCTTAATCCACTTCTCCCCCGACCTGAGCTCCTCCTGTCCGGACAAGATGACCATCCCCAGAGCCAAGCTGAGCATGGTCAACGACTGGAGCCGCTAGGGCCCTGGCAGCAGCTCTCACCAGCTTTGTGAGAGACTCAGTCCAGATGGTGTGGATTTCAACCTAAACTCTGGCAGTTGGGTTGAGTGAACAGAAAGACGGGACAATCTCTGGTCGCTTCCACACCTGCCTCTTTTCAAATGACAGCAACCAGAAAAAAAGACAAAACGATAGAACTGTCATGGCGTTTGAAACTGAAAACATAATCAAAGCTTTAGGACTTAAACGTGTGTATAGGACGCTGCACAGTGAGCAGCAGTGGACATGATCGATTTCATGGGCAGTGATGCCAAAGGAGTTGATGATCCTTTTGGATTCAACTGCTTTAGAATGTGTTCTTATCATTACATGTTTTGTATATTTCTACAGTATTTGTACTTGTGCTGTTCTTGGCCTTCTCTTCTATTATTCCGAGTGTCTCCATGGGGCAAGAGTGAAAATGGCAGTCTAAACATTTACCCATACCTAATTTAGGGCTGACTCGTATTGTAGCCATGATCAACACATCACGTAGTACAAAAGGCACACATTAAAAAATATAAAATCGTATTTTGTTAAAAAAAATTGTGCAAGAATTATCACTTCTATTTGGTCGTCTGCTGAGCTACAGTTCAGTCAACGTTTGCCATGTGATGCCTTCATTTGATTGCCTTTATTATACATTTCTGTCCAAGCCATTTTAGAACATTGTCAAATTCTTGCAGTTTTTCTACAGTGTAATTGTGAAAATGAGTAGTCTGTTGGTAAATGTGTTGGTACACATTTCAGTGTGTTAGTGGCATAGCACTTTTCTTGTAGGTGTTTTGTTTGGAAGCCCTTAGCTGGATTCTTGGAGGGATAAAGTCCTAATCAGGGATTTGAGAGCATATAAAGCACATGAACATGTTAAACCACTGCAGACCAGTCTGCTCCAAACAGGAAAGGACAAGGCTTTGGATTCCACGCCTCATTGTTTGCCAGTTTCTATCATTTCTTTGAACGTTTGGTGGGCAACCAGTTCTTATTGAAGTGTAGTTGATTTGTGTCTTTTTGATCCATGACTATTTGCTTTAAAATAGAGGCAACAGTAAGAGCTTCTTGTAAAAAAGTAGTTTAAAGTAGTAGACAACAGAGTACCTTATTTATTTTTTCACATAGCTTTATTTATTAATACTTAACTATAGTTTGTTTTCTTTGAAAAATGACCTTTGGTAGCCAAAGCTGTTGTACATTTTAGACTTTTTCTTTTCTATCCGCTTTCTTCTATCCAACTTTATTTATTTGTGTTGCTTGGTAAACCATGTAAATACTGTGGCCTTGATGAACTGTATGTTTACACTAATTTTGACCAATAAATGTGTGAACCAAAGGACCACAAGTGTGATGCTTTACAACATGTCCTTGTGGGAGGATCTGCCAGTCAAACATCTGGATTGGGCTGGAATTAATTAGTCTTCTCCAAACTGCAAGTCAGATCATTTACAAGAGCTTTTCTCTTTAGAGTTGTGCTGTGGTTTATGGATAGTGAAGACTGCTTTGTCTCAGGGTTGAATGACACTTCAATAACATGACATTGTTGTGCAGCATTTCAATGCATGCCCAAGGTTGAGGTGAGGAAGCACCTGCGGAAGGATCCATAAAGCAAACATCCATGATGGTTCCCAGGCCTTCAGACAATAGTGTGCGCAACACAAATGATTCTTAGGGACTTGTGCGGATGTTTTAAGGCGTCTCTAGGGTTAAGTTTTTACATGACAAATAATCACAGTTGTGGATAGTTCAGGAGCCCATTAACATTAATGGCATTTTAAAACATTCACAGGAAAAGATTGTATACATCCTCTCTCCATTCACATTAGTACAAATATAAAAACTTCTAACAAAATACTCAATTTTCAGTTCTTTTGAGGAAAGTCTTCAAGTCTTGACGGGGGACTGATACAAAAAAGTTTCCATATACGTGGCACAGTCCCACCATGGGTCTCACACTTGGTTCTTGTGTTGATCTCTCCTTGAGCCTCTTTTACTCACAAACTTTAACAGCGTGATGTTTCCTCCATCAACGAAGCTCCACCAGCGCTAAAGAAGGATCTTGTAATAGTCGTCTTTGTAGCTGTAGAGAACCACCACAGCCACCCTGTGACAGAGCAATAACGCAGCATAAATATAAAACATTTCAGCACTCCCACCACATACAGTTCCTGTCCTAATGCTGCCAGTTAAACATAAGACTAGCTAATACACTGCAGACGAGGGGCTTTATTAGGATTTGAATCAGGACTACGGGGCCAGTTAGAGGCCAGTGACGTGTTCAGTGTAGCCTCAATGACACATCAGCGAAGACTTCACTCTCAAAAGGCAAATCAGGCACAGGGAGACAGCAAATGAAAGCCATGAGAAACCATAAACAAGCAGGCTTTCCATGTCATTACAACTAATTCACGAAGCCCACTCTGCTCATGCATGTGTTCTTCTGTTCCTAAGCACAACAACAAACAGACGCCTCGGCCCCTCTCTGATCTTAGAGCAGCAGTCGGAGTGCTACCAGTCAATCAGTGCTCAGAGCTACTTGCCATGAGCCCAAACAAGGAAAATCTTTCTCCAGATTTCACCTCAGGAAATGGGATCAGCGCTGGATTTGGCTTGGAGCGAGTCTGTAGTTATGGGTCTAACGGCTCTCTTTGATGGCTGAGTGTCACAGATACACCTGGTCTGGGAGAATTCACGAGGGTTTTTTAATATACTTTTCATGAATTTGAGCACTGAACTTTTATGAATACAGGACAGTGGGAGGCAGAAGGGGCACTGGTGGGGTTTCGGGCCTGCTGAGACCATTCTAGTAGCTTGGAAAAAGTCTGTGCAGCATTAGTTTCCTGCCATTTGATCACTTTTAGAAATCATTCATAGGAGAAATATACGCCTGAAAACTGTGGGAGCTTCAGGCTGGAGGACCTGGGAACATGCTTCACTCTGTCAGGAAGCAGATGAGCCGACCGGTCAGCATAAACATTATTTAATTTTAAAAATGACATACTTCTTAATGATTTTCAAATGGTGAAGCTCTTCACAGATGGACTTGAGGTAGCGCTGCTTCGGGAGGCGGGAGAGGAGAGTCTTCACGCTGCCGTTGAACTGCTCTTCGTTGTCGAACTGTAGAGTTAAACAAAAATAAGTCCATCGCAAAATGCACTAGTCCCAAAAAAAGTGCGGAATCAGTGTCAGAATGCGTTCAGACATCCAGCAGTGAGCGAACTTTCTTTGTCAGAGGTCATAACAAAATACTGTTGTCATTGTCGTGGCGTTAACTATGGCCGCGCCGCTCTACAGCAAAGGTATTTGGAGCCGATGAATAGGAGTCTTATGTCCAGCGGAGCAGTATATTTGTGCATGTCATAAGGAGCAGAGCTGTGAAGCCACAAAGCCCAAGTGGGTTTATGGATTTTCTTGTTCCTTGTGTGACTTGGAGCAATTTGCCGTATTCAAAACAGACCTTTCCTGCACGCCTGGTTTTACACACTGCGTATTGTCATGCTTTTCTACGTGTTCATGACCAGTGTAGGTGGCCAGAGCAGTTACTGAGTGAAGACCATGGCTTATATAATCCTGGTGTTGAGGGCATTTTCACCTTTCCTTATGGGCCTTACCACAATATAATTAAACGTTTTTTAAGAGGGAACCGACACTTTCTTTATGAGTGATTTTCTCAGGAGCTTGGAATGTGATACAAACACCTTCTCAGAGCTCTTTTTGTGAACTATAAGGCTTGTGCAAAACGTGAGAGCTTTCCTCAAGTGAGTGGGCTGTGGAAAAGGTCCAGGGTGTTCCCCCAGTCTGCTCCTCGTCAGCCAGAGCTGCGAGGAAGCGAGCGGGATCCCCTTTTCCTGTCTCAAGGCCTGACCTCACTGCCAGTTCTTTCCACTTCCCGCTGTAGCGCCCACTATTCATTCAAATATAGAACGTATTATTGACTCCACAAAATGCTAATCAAACGTCCCAACAAACCTCAAGAGACAGGAAGTTGATCAGAGTTTCCCTCTGCAGGTCCACCTGGAAGATAGCACAAGCAAAACACAGAGTGAACGTAGTCTCAGGGAAAACAATGTTGTTGACGAGTTTATTAAGACTTGAAACAGTTTTTCCCTTATAAGCAAAAACATAATTGAATGTTAAACGCGTTTACTCAAAACAAAGTATGGCGGAAGACAAATGAACAGCAATAAAATCAAAATGAAAAGGGAAATTGAACGACTTTAACTAACCCTACACTTTAGACCTCTACAAAAGTTATAAATGGTTATAGCTAAAAGTGAAGATGGAGTAGAGTTGAAGGACAGAATACATGATTTACTGGTCCTTAGGATATGGACGTCTGGGCGTTGATGAAGAATCAAATCTTTAGTTATTGACACTATAACCCTGTTGGTCGTGGCGTCAGTCGATCGTGCCAATTCGCTTGTTTGTGCTTCAGAGCAAGAAGGTCTTTGATTCTCTCCATGTCTGTGTAGGGTTCCTCCAGGTGCTCCGATTTACCCTACCACTAAAAACACGTAGTGAAGGTTTGAATGTGACGAGTGAGTGAAGGGATGGTAATGGTCGGAAGCTTTGATGCACCAGTGTGTTTGGCGCTTTGCTCGTCAACACTGTGGAGAGATCGGGAACTTCTGGTACAAAAGAATTGTAAAGCGCTTTGTGTGATCCTTTGTCTGTGAAATTTGTTTTATAGATAAAGATGACAACTTTAGTCACATTGTTGAGTATGAATCCAGGGTGAGAGTCGGCAGCTTTGGCTACAGTTTTTACATCTTTAATAGGGGCAGTTAGGAGCATCGATTGGAGTGAATAAATAATGCCATGTAAACAGTCGCAGCGTGTCAACAAAAGTACTTTACAAGAGTGATGCATTATTCTGAACTAAGTAAGCAGCAGTATTGGGCAGTCAGTTGAAAAGTGGATTGTTGGAGCAGTGGGGCCTTGAATCCAACACTCAAACATGACAACTCACTCAAAACAAAGTCTGTTATGCAAAATAGGTCTCCTTTAAGTCTTGGCCAATTCCATTATAAAGCTGCTCCCAGAGATGTTTGCTGTTTTAGCCATCAGAAGCCCTTTCCTCCCCTTGTGATTTCACACATGAGCTGAAAAGATAAGGCGACCGTGCAGAGAAAAAAAGGGTGCGGGGCTTTGACATTGATAAAGGGGTAAACAAACAACTTACCGCGAGGACCTCAATGTCACTGCTCTTGTTTTGTAAATTGCTGCCAAGATTCTGTAATCTGGTTTGGATCTGGCGAGAGATAAAAAAGAAAAACATGACCAACCAGGATAACTGTTCCCATGACCAAACATAAAGCAAGAATGCTAATTATCATCTAAATGGATTCATAAGAACGTTGTTGATTTTGGAAGTCGCGTAGAAAAGGATAAATATGAACCAGGCTCTTTAGTGGTGTTGTATGGAGACATGATAAATATACCTGGGTCTCGTAACGTCGCCGAGCGCTTGAAGAAACTTTCTCTGGGCTGATCACGTTCACATTCATATTCACAGTGGTGCTGCTTCCGTGCTGCTCTGACGATCCTAGGGGGAAAAAAACAAGCCTGTGAAATAGGGCTGTTGTAATAAATTGGACGGATACTACTTTATGCCACTCCATTACCATAAAACAAGAAAATCCCATTAAACCAGGTTTTAAAAAGAAGGTATAACATGCTTCCGTCTGGTACATCTGGTAATCTATGAATATGTTAAAATGGCACTAGTGAAAACTGGATAACTCGCCTAATCATATTTACCACAATTGCGAGATACATATAAATCCGGGCGTGCCACTTGAGGCCAACAGAACTATTATTCAGTTTACGCAGTCATGTAAGCTCATAAACTATATATATGACTGAGACAAGGCCAGCAGATGCATTTAAGGCAACTTTAACTTGCATCCAGACGGTGATTCGGATCATCTCCAAAATCAATCACTTGTTCACTGGGTCATTTTCTGAAAATTTGATCCAAACCCTCCAAGGACCTTTTGAGTTATGTTGATCAGAGACAAACACCAGGTGGAGGTAACTACAGTTACAAAGTTTGAGTATTAGGGCAAATTTACAAGAGGTGTGTGTGATTACCCTCCGCTCCAGGTCGGGGTCAGGTATGTGCAGTAATTGAGAAAATGCAATTGATAAAGGAGATTCGATTCTACCCTCTTATCTTGTAAAAAAGCTGCACGTTGGATTCTTTCTGAAATTGTAGGTGCACCGCAGCAGAACAAATGGCACTAATTTGTTTTAGTACTCTTTCTGGACATCTTACTGTCAATCATGCCGGGTTCTAGCCGGGTTTTGGGTTGGGAAAAGTTAAGAGTTTGTGCCAAATCCCCTCACCAAAGGCCTCGCTTTGTCACTGATCAAATTGGAAAACAGCGCCTGCAGCAAATCAACCATGAATCAGATTTAGAAAAGAAAATTGGCAAACAACGCAAATAAAAACAGGGTCGCATCTACCACAGCAGCGAGCGTGTATTTTCCTAGCTCTGCTAAAAAGTAATAAACATCTGTCAACTATTACAATAACGTAGAGACAATTAATGTCAAGCCAATACAAGTCGTATAATAATTATTTTGAAATATTTGTGTTTAATAGCTCCAAGGATCAAGTCAAGCATGGAATAAGCCAATTTCCATTATGAGAGCTAAGAACATCGTTTTTCCATATTAGAAACACATTTTGAGCATCTTCAAGTCTCAAGCTGCAGCGAGGCCTCATGGGTAAAACACTCAGCGTGAGGATTATGGGAGTTGTCTGTAAAGAGCAGCTTAGGCAGCGTGTACCTGTGGTGTTCAGCAGTGATCCTTTGGGATTGGGGAGAGACATGCCTTCTGAGATTTCCCTGCGCAGGAATAATGGACAACTGTTAGAAGATAAAGCCTTTGGAAAGCCCTCAAGTCCCTGCAGCTCCCGTACGTCTCTACCTGATGTTTCGATCTTCAAAGAATTTGGACCGGCATTTCTGAACAATGTGATCCACCAAGTCATTCTCAGGGATTCTCTTCTCAGATTGTCTGTCCTTCTCAAAGGATTTCACCTGCAGAGACAAAACTAATTTTACAGGCTGTGCCATCTACGTACAGTACTAGTGCGGATGGAGAGACATAAATACATTTCCCAAAAATTAATATATCAAACTACTGGCTACTTTGGGCTAGAGTTAGCAAGATATGTGCAGGTTTGTAGCAACAATAGATTTAATAAATGAAGTAAAACATGTCAATATTGGCCGCGCTAAAGTTTGACAGAATGAGTGGAAGCGGCAAGTTCCAAAGTTTTCTCAAATCCAATTTCTTGTTTTTTGTTCATCTTCAAATGAATTTACACTATCAAAACTTCTGTGTGCCGTACCTTCACGTAGTTGCCTTCCTTGTCAGAGACCATGGCCATACAGGTGGCACCAGACAGTCTGCATTGATCCATCAAAGTTTCCTGAGACTAAACACACATTATAATACAATCTAACCGGTGCAAAGAAGCTCGTACTGCTTCATTACCTGAAAACACAATGAACTATTCCCGTTTATATTCAAATCCAATGTACATTGTGGATATACAGTCCAACATTAGCAACATGGAGAGTGATAAATCAGAAATGCACTAAGTCCATGTAATTGAGTGGAAGACATCTAAAAGTTACTCATGCCCACGAGTAAAGACAATGTTGCCATATATGGAAGATAAACGTTTGAATTAAAGCTCAGGCTGATCTCTCCAAGACGAACGTTGGTGAAAGGTGTTAAACCCAAAAGTTCTTCTATCAGACTTTGCACTGCATATTCCACAGTAGCCACAAAGTATCAATAAACAACAGTCAGCTCCTCCAGCTAATCCACTTACGTCACATTTTCAGAACAAAGAAGAAAGAGGCTGATTATTTGACATAGGGCCACTAGCAAGCCACTAGAACGATTGTTTACTTTCCATTATAATCTGCCCAACTGACACGTGGCTAAACACAGATTGATTGCTGATTGCATAACAAGGACCTGTTTATTTCAAATCCTTCTTGGTCTTACAAACAAGTTTTTAACTACTGTGAAACACAATGTTCAATGTGTTTCAGCCTCAAATGAAAACTTCACGTCAGAGGAAGCATCTTGAGGCTTTCGTGTGGGAGAGAGAGGAGGAGGAATCATGTGTTGCACAAACAATCAAAGATATTTGTCCCACCACCGCTGCGGAGGTCACTGCAAGTGCCTTGTGGTCCCTGACACGGCCCCTGCTTCCTCAACATGAGCTATATTTAGTCTAGAGCCAGTGAGTTGAGACACTGCAACAATGTTTATTCTATCTTCTTTTGCATTTCCATCCATATGTGTGTCAGTTTTTGTTTATCCTCACACAGCACAGCTATAGAAAGAGTGTGGTCTTGTTTGAGTCCTAAAACAGACCCAGAACAGCGCTGTGAGACCTGCGTTTGGTCTGGTGGTACTTGTGAGGTAAACATATTTTATAAAGGGAACCAGTGACTACATAGTGTTTACTTTGCCAAAGGCAGTGTATCAAAACAATATTTTAAAACTAGCTAAAATCACCACAAAAAGAAGATATTTCGGGCAATGGCTCGTTAGGATTATTTCAGGTAACTACTCAATAATAAAAAAACAGGAAATTATATTCCATAGAACAGAAGTATATGAAAATAAATCTCCACTCCAGAAAAGTGACTCATCATATGTACAGACAAGCTAGAAACTATTTAAGTTCATTTATATAATGACTTAAAACCACGTGAAACAGAATTTCTCACAGCATGTGGTGCCTATTTAACCCAGAGCAACATAATCATTTTTCTTTGATCATGACATTTCAGACACTGTTTTAACCATCATCATGCATTTAAGGATGTTTTTGTCAAAAGCGTAAACGTTAAGAGATATGGTAATAATCCACAGCTGTAGTCCTAGTTACATTATCAATACTTCCCAGATTTGAACAACATTGATGTATTACAAGAAAATGTCTGGTCTTGAATCTGTATTTTGAATAATTAAACAATAACGAGAATTTTGAGGGCTATAACAAGTTAATTGATCAACCTTAGAAGTATCTTACAGTTATTTATTTACGTATTTATGTTTCACTGACCTATCAGGATATAATTGAATTTAGCGTTATCCCAAAGTCCGAAATAATGACCACCAGGAAGTCGTGAACATGTTGTAATAATTGAGGCACAAAACTCACCTGGGAGACGTCGTAGATTAGGTCTGCGGACACGCCCGTGCTCCACAGCTTTTGGACAACGCTGATGGCTTTGGATAATGACGAGTGACCAACTGGAACCACCAGCGCATCGCAGGAGCTTATAGGGGGCTATGGCAGAAAACCAAACGACGACAGAAGTCAAAATATATTAGCGGATTGTTTGTATCAGCAGAAAATCTAAAATGTAAATGTTTATTACAACTCCATGGCGTCAAAAGGCAGTGATCACAGTCATTACCCCCTGAAACTAGCAATGGCACATGGCTGCTTGTCTAAGGCGTCATTAAATATAAAATGTCTGCCTGCTGGCTCCTCCATTACAATAATTACTGTCAAATATCACGCCCTGGGAGTGTGTGCGCGCTTACCGGATCCTCCATGCTGGCCAAAGCCGCACACACTTTGTCCAGAGCCACGCTGGCCCCCACTGCGGAGGTGACTGGGGCTGTGGACGCTGGGCTTTGAAACTCCACAATCTGCGAGCGAGAAAGAAAAACAAAGCGTATAATAAAACGATACCATGGAGATGGCGTTAGTGAACAGTGCTTGAAGTGAGAGAACACAGAGGAGAGTTATGGTTGGTTTGGGATGGAAAACATGTGGTTTGCGTGCGTTCTTAAGACTATATTTATTAGTTTTAATATCGGGAATGTGGATGAGTAATGCTTTACAGTGCAACGTACCAAATGATCATAGCGGCCTCCAGCAGCCACTATATCTGGAACTGTTCTTTTGCGTTTCCTAATGAACGCAACAAACTGGAAAATGATCCCTGAGTGATGCTGGACTTTGTACACCAGTCCCAAGTTGATCACAACCTATAAAACAAATAAATTAATGTATGCCATGGAAAATTCTATATCATTTGTAAAATAAGACAAACACCAGTACCGGTAATTTAACTCCCAGCCTGTTGAGCAGAACGGTAAGCTCCTCCAGGTCCTTGAGACCCTGCTTGGCGAGCTGTGTGACCGCAGTTTTCTGTTTGGTGAGAAAAGCCAGTATTGGAGCCAGGTCCTGCAGACTGCCCTTCTGTTCTATGAACTTGTACAGCGTCTGCAGCTGTAGAGACAACATGAGCACATGTCACTGCAGGTTCCACTGAGGGCTCATGTTCAGACTTCTTGCACTCACACTGTTGGTGGACAGAGAGAAGTTGCAGAATTTGGCCTCAACCTCTCGTTTGGTCAGCTTCTCAGACTGAAGAAGAAGCAGTGTCATTAGTACAGATAATCACAGGCACATGGCAGGTGTGACTGGCACTGACCATAGCGTCGCACAGAATGTTAGAGGCCTGGCTCAGTTTGTCTTCTGGGATTCCGCTGTGGAGCAGGATGGCCTTCAAGAGGCTTGTGTGGTTTACGTAGATGTTGTAGTTCCTTTCCTGTGGTCACAAAAATGCAGTTAAAAGGAAACCGCTTTATCGGACCCTAAACACTATTCGCTCTTGAGCCTAATGAATTCTCGTGTTTTCTCTTAAAAAACATGGTGTTTGACAAGGGAAGGAGCCAGAGGCCATGCTCCCGTTTAACTAGGTTCATAAGACAGACAAAACTGTCCTGGGAGCATGTTTGCAGCTCTCAGGATCCAACTGTGGTACAGGGGAAGGAAATGAACAAAGCTGTGAATAACAGATTTACAAAGTAAATATCAAGTGCACTGGAACGCTGTGAGGGAGTGGGGACACTTTTGGCAATGGAATGTGTCCATTTATACAAGGAAGAAAAACAAGTTGACAGGATATTTCCGTAATGGCACAATAATTCATCTTGTCTAAAGAAATTCTTTGTCTGAACATCAGTGTAAACGTAGCTTCAGAAGAATTCTTCACTGTAATTAAAGAACTACATTCACAAGATGGCTTAAAAGTCAACATCATGACATAGACATTGATGTAGAGAAAACAAATGAATGAAACCATAAGTACAGTCTTTTAAAAGAAAGGCTACCTGAAGAGCAGGGAACTCTTGAATAATTTCATAAATGGTGTAGATTGTCTCTGCATCAGGGAGCAGACTGTTTGTGACAGTAGTGATGATGTCAAAAGCACACTCCAGAAGTTCTCTCGGGTGGGCACGGTCCAGCTTTCTGGGCCGAAACACTCTTTCGATGCTATACCTAGGGAAAGAATAAAAGCCTTAAAATAATTTTGTGTAAGGTTCCACAACAACGGTTCATACACACATTGATATCGTTTACCTCTTGAGCTGAGTGACATTGTTGCGTGCCACAAACCGTGCAAATGCCATCTAAAGTAAAAGAGCAGAGAGAAAGGTGTAGGTCAACATGTGCAGAGCCTGTGAACGCTGAATTAGCCTGCAATCATTCAAAGACTGGAAACAACCATTTAGACCTGAGGCTTTCCTGCGGCAGCCCGGTGTGTGAGCTGCTGCTGATTGCTCTCTGGCAGCGTGTGTGGAAGTGCTAATATATTGAGCTCAAACAGGACCGGGCCCGATTTTGTTTGTTATTTGCAAGCGCGTGCCGGACTCACCCGCAGGTCGAAGGGCAGCGTGACCAGCATTCCGCTATGGTCCATGAAACAGGCCGGCTCGCAGCCCTCGTACAACTTTCTGTTTCGCGGCAGAAGCAGGGGAGTTTGGAGACGTACCGCCCCTGAGAATAACAGAACAAATCTATCCATACAGACTGTTGATCCACCGTAAACATTGCGTACACAGATACAATGCAAGCCCAGACTGATGCCAACAGCTGGACACGATCAGGAGTGTGGTTCACAGCCTCTGCAGGGCCTGTGTGCTACCCAACAGTGCGCGTATTGTTGAAAACACCACTCACTGAAGCAGATGTGGGGATGTATCTTTAAATTAGGCTTACAGTAAGGTCAGGAGTCAAGGTGTGTACAGTTACAAACAGCAGATGACTGACCGTGCTTCTTGAAGATCCGGGTGATGGTTTCGTACACATGCTGCTGCCATTTGGCCCCGGTGTGGCTGAAGCTGCCCTGGAGGGAAAACAAACAAATGCACTGTTAGAAATCAGGAGGTATTGATTAAGCTATAACTGAGGCTGTGAGTGGGCAAGAGGGGCTGCTAAAAGGGGACTTGGAAGCTGGGGAAGGTAAGTGTTGAAGCAGAGTGACATCTACAGGTGGGGAAAGAAACTCTCTTTTTGACAATACAACAGCCTACAGACATATCTATGTGTGTTAAAAAGTCTTATTGTGGTTCTGCGGTTTAAGAATGGGAAGAAAAATACTTGGCACAAAAGTAACATTTTAACCATACTTGTTTTATATATATTTTTTGCAAGCTTTGCAATGCTTGCTAAATGGCACAAAGAGGCATACAATTTCAATGTATTGAATATCTGTTGAATTGTGATGTGATTCAATGATCTATGGATTCAACACGTGTGCTCTTCTATTTCATTCACCTGTAATCAGAACATGTTTGTGCATGTACAGATGCACCTGGATGTCACAGTGATGAAGTCAGACTACAATCCACATTTTGTCTCTTTAACTGCCTAGAATTCAAGATTGTCTTGTGTACTCCTGCTTGGTAGAAGTGAAAACATGCATCCAGAAAGCCCTTTGAGAACCGGTTCAAAAGACCCCTGTACGCTCAGGTCAGAGTGTGTGCTCTGAAGGGAACTATAAACATGTCTACAAAGTCTACAGCGTTAGCGTGTATTGTACCTTATGCAGATCAATATCATAGGTGTAATCCATGACGGGGGACATGTTCTGGGCGAACAGCTGGCCCACCATGGTGCGGTAGGCCTTTCCATTCACATTAGCCATGGTGTGCTGCAGAACCTCGTGCAGTTCCGACTCTTCCATCTGAGGGGGTGGCAGGAGTTCACTTTTGAGCAGCTCTTGAGCAGTAGGCCGAAAGGCAGGGTCATGGTTTAACAGCCACTCTATCACGTCCCTCTGATTTGAAGAGCAAAACCAAATAATGATCAAACAACAAACAAATAAAATAGTTTAAATATTAGATTTAAATATTAGATTTTTCTTTACCTGTGTTCCTTGATTATTCAGATTGAAGTCCTCTGGAAATGTAATGGGTTCCTGCCAGAGTGAATAGAGAGAATAGTAAACCATAATAAAGGATTAAAACAAACCCCTGAGCTACTCATGTGCCTACCACACGCAGCTGGCTTAACACAGTGATACGCTCTGCTCCAGTGGTCATTGGACGGTAGGACATCTCAAACAGGATGATGCCCAGGCTAAACAGATCCACTTTCTAAAACACAAACAGAGGAAATCTTAGTAAACAAACCCCCACAGACTAAGAAACAGCGTGTAAACATAAGGAGTTTGGGATTATACAGTGCGTCTAAGTGGCCCTCTTGAATAATTGATATATTCCTCTGGGCCCATAAACAAACGACATGTTATTCAGGAGATGTCTCTCATTTTAAATAAAGTCAAAACACAGTGAACACATAGGAACATTTTAACTTACAAAATCAGTAATCTTTTTGATTGTTGTCCCAGGGAAGGCCTCGGATCCTACTGATATAGTTCAAACCATGGCTCAGTGATCAGGGGGAATGACTGTCAATTTGATTTTTCTAATAAAAGTTTATATACACAGAATACTAGGGGTGCAACGGTTTGAAAAAAATCACGGTTCGGTTCGTACCTCGGTTCATTTTTCAAAAAAAAAGTTTTGTCTTTTTATTAAACACAGCTTATGTGGACTCGGCACCTGCTCTGACTTGTGTCAGTACCTGCGCTGTGTGACGGTGTGACTGTCGTAGAGGGGGCGTGTCTGCAGCGCCAGACTTTTCATCTCCCAGTCTGCTGTGATGAAGTTCTCCATTCCGCTCATGGGTCTATTATAGGTTCCGCGGGACGTCCAAGCGTCAGTCGTGAGCGCAGCTGAGGAAGCGCAGGCGAGTTGACTTTAGACCGGTCTGACTGTGCGTAAAAGAGCTGCTTAAATGCCGCGACAATAAGCGGCCGTTGAGACGCTTTTTTTCACTCTTTTCTTTCTTGTGCCACAGTATTTACACATCGTGACAGCTTTGTCAAATATTAATTATCAGTGTAGTTACAGTGAAGCCAAAATGCTCTCATACTGGGGATTTAAATGACGCGGGGCTTTCAAGCATCTCCATTCCTACGCTCGCCGTGACCGCGCTGTGTGTGGACTAAACAACGTGTGCACAACTTTTTTTTCATAAATCAAACCGCGGATCACGTCTGTACCAAACCGAAGACGTTGAACCGAACGGATCACGGATCAGTGATGAACCGTTGAACCTCTACAGAATACTATGGTCCGTTTGCCTCATACAAAAAACATGTTTGTGAAAAGTGTAAATCCATTAAGAAATGTTCAAGGGGGGCGCCCATGTTCGAGGGGGGCAGTGTTCCGGGGCAGCTGCGGCCGCTTTGTAATGAGAGGTTCCCGCGTCCAGCCGTGTTGTGGCCACGTGTTGTTGCTGCGCGTGTTGTGAACATGCGGGAACCTCTCATTACAAAGCGGCCGCAGCTGCCCCGGAACACTGCCCCCCTCGAACATGTACCCAAGACCATAAACACGCACAAGACCATGCGTGTCTTTGCACGCAGTTACAGATTAACGGATATATTGCAACCGTCCTGTTTAGATATATTGCATGTTAACCTCAAAAAGGATGGATATGAATGTCTTACTTGGTTGTAGGTGGCTCTAGTGTTTCCTTGGACCTCTGGGCTCACATACAGGGCAGTGCCGACCATGCCAGTCATATTACCTACGTCCAAGCAGCCAGAGGAAATGATCAAATGAGCAGGGACAGCTCAAACACACAACAGTAATTCTGAATCTTACCACTGGGGTCTGATTTGGGTGCCATCGCCACCTCGTCTCCTTTGCAACTAACTGCAGCCTGAAAGAACATTAAGTCAACGGTGCATAAACACATCATCTATAAACACAAGACAGCAATATGTGACAGACATACTGCATTAGCTGGATGACCAGTCGCAAGTCCAAAGTCCCCAATCTTCACGTGATCTTGAGAGTCCAGGAAAATGTTGACAGGCTTCAGGTCTCTGTGGATCATACCCTGAGAGGCAGGCAGGTCGATAAGCCAGAATCAAAATGAGTGCAGAAATATCGATCAAAACCAAATCTCAAACTACACACCTGCTCATGAATATATGCCAAACCATCCAGGATTTCCCTGAACAATCTCCAAAGCCGAGTTTGGTCCATGTAAAGCTCATGGTCTATTGTGTCTCTTAAGGTACTCTTTTCACAGTATTCCATCTAAATAACACAGTAATAATAGATTATGCATTCATTTATTAAAATAATACATACATAATGGAGAGGGGTACCTGTATGTACAAGTAATGTGCTACTAATGATCGCTCTGAATCTGTACTCTCCATCGTGTCAACCCCGTGCTTTTTGCTTTGCTCCATCTGACAAACGTAACAGCGGTTTTAGTTACATACATTATGAAAATATCAAGGAGAAATATAATAATATGGAGAATAATGCAAACCTGAGACAGCTCATCTATGCTGTCATCCCCGTTGTCAAAGATGATGTCACTCGTGGAGCTACTGTCTGATGGCCTAATTATAAGAAAAAATGAAAACAGGTTTGCTCAAATGCAAGTTCCTTTTAAGGCTTTTGTATTTCTCTTTAGTGTTAATTAAAAGCTAAAAGAAGCACAAGATTAAGATTATTATTGTTATTATTCAATCATTACTAAACTGGGTGGAAAGCCAAAGCTTCAGATCTTCCAGGAGGGAGCACAACTGGAAAACTTATTTCCTCATGGACTCTGAACATTAAATATATGACATGATGGACTTTATGTTTTTGTATTTATTTTAACGATTTCATATTTTCCAGAATGGGCTGGAGTGACACTAGGGTGTGGGTTAGGCTGAGACCCACGTCACTCCACTGGGAAGGCTGTCTCCTGGGTTATTTTATTATCAAGATAAAGACATTTTGGCGTACGTTACTTTTTATCTGAAACGTAATAACATAGTGTATGTGTAGCTCCATACACAGGATTTTTCTCTATGATTGTCACAGGTTTTCAAATGACTGTAATGAATGTATTTGTACGTGTCATGTATAAATGCAGAAGACCCTATATATTGTATTTTATAGCACTGTATCGGGTATTGAAAAAATATATATATTTCTAAAAGGATTTGTCTTAAAAGAGACACAGAATACAAAATAGACATCACACTCCTTTGTTCTACCTTTTAAAACAGTATTGCCCTTAGTCTTTTCAAGTTTGAAAGAAACCCAAAACCAGTTCAACTCCTTCCTCCGGTAGCGGCAAAGGGAGTAACAGGTAGAAATCATTAGCGCTTCAAACTTGTTTCCCCATATACAGTGGGGCAAAAAAGTATTTAGTCAGCCACCGATTGTGCAAGTTCTCCCACTTAAAATTATGACAGGTCTGTAATTTTCATCATACTGTATCCTCTACTTAAAGTGGACATATAGTGTTTTCAAATAATAGATTTTTACATCTAAATAATTAATTTGTGACCTATATAAAGCGTAACTGCAATGCCTGGGTCTGAGTCTCATTATTTGTAGCTCCACGGGCCTTTCTTCTACACCTGTTTTTGAGGTGCGTCTGAGAGCAACCTGTTTTGGTGCTGTCTCTTTAAATGCAAATGAGGCGCTTTTGACCACGCCCCCATCCAGGTGACATAGGTTCAAATCCACCCCGAGCGGCCATTTTTGTAGTTACTAAGCACAGATACAATTATCTCATAGAAACTTCTCATTACATCGCAAACATGAAGCAGGCCTTCCTCATTGACTGAAAGCAAATGTTAAGTTTCACTCTTAGTCCAGTCTTAAAATCGATTTCTTTTTTTAGCTTTGGGATCCATGCGCACAGTCTATGATGCTCACACGCCGGTTTGTTTACAACAGCGGCCGCCTGGTGCGGGCCTACGTTGCAGGACATGACACACTACGTTGACAGAAATGTTTAAATTGAATATTACTTATGCACAATTTTACAGCATTTAAAAACGTTAAGAACGTTTTTCCTTCTACAGAAGGAAAGAGACGCATGCGCCTCCGAAGCCGCAGGTTGCCGACTCCTAGTTTATACAGTATGTGGAAGCAAAAACTGTAGAGGATCAGGATATGTGCAGTTTCAACAATAAAATAAAATGCAATAGTCTACATTACAAGAGAGTAATAAACATGTCTCAGAGTGAGGGAGGTGGACACAGACAACACTATTGTTTGTTACAGGGATGAGAATTGGTCAAAAAAAAGACTGAAATGCATATTGTCAGCCATTTGCTGGCTCTAAATCTGTTTAATTTGTTCACAACATATTACTTTTGGGCTCAAACATGAACTTTTAATGCAATGCAAAATGTAGGTATCAGAGCTTTATTTAGGGCGTTTAATTGCGCTTCGAGAGGAGAGGGGAGACGCGGACTGTTTCCTGCAGCAGTGTATTTATTGGGTGCACAGATTACTCAAAGACACGCATGGTCCTGTGCGCGTTTATGGGGTTGGGTACATGGCCACGTTGAGGCTGCGCTCTCAGCCACAACACGGTGGAGCGGCTGGACGCGGAAGCTGCTCATTACAAAGTGGCCGCAGATGCCCCGGAACACTGCGGCCGCTGAGGTGGCGGAATCCCGTTCGAGTACATACAGCAGGTGCCCTGCGGATACGCGCGCCCCGCTCGTTTTTAATTAAATAAAAACATATTTTATCATACGTCTCCTTTAGACTCTTGCTACTCTGTTGTAAAAGTATGTCCAATTTGTAACATTATCTTAATACTTACAAAAAGGAGGCACCAAACACATCTTCCTCATCATCCTCATCGTCTTCATCACTGGACGCCGGGCCACTGCACTTGGCACTTGAAGACTTCACAATGGATGTGGACCATTCGACGGCGCTGGACAGAGCAGGAGGGGGCGCCAGGTCCTCCACGTTGTCCAGGAGTCCAAACTTGTTCTTTGTTGGAGGCCTCTTTTCTGGAGAGTTTTTCTCCGGCGTCTGTGGCTCCGAGCTGTCAGTGTTGCTCAGTGCGCCCACAGAAGGCTTTTCGTGTTTCTCAATCCACGCGTTATAGTAGCGAACAATGTTTTCATGATTTAAGCGAGACAGCAGCGTCACCTCGCCCTTTATCCTTCTGAAATGTTTGCTGGCTGGATTCACCTGGATACGCTTCACGGCATAGTAGCAACCATCCAGTTTGTTTTGAACCTTATAAAGAACATTGTGAGAGACTAAAAATACTGAATTAATGTAATGATTCTTAGAGTTGACTTTAATTACCTTTATAACAGCACCAAAGGCACCTTTTCCAAGTAGCTGGAGCTCCTCAAACTCATTAAAATAGCGGGAAAACTGCCTCTGCACCACTGAGCTAAAGGGAGCATTTAGGATGTGGCTCTGCGGTATAACCGATGATGCAAAGACCACAAGATCTGGAAGCATATTGTTTGTTCAAAATGGCACACTGTATGCATTAGGTCCATTACAACAGATTACCTTCGGGGCTGGCGTCCTGGCAGTGTGGAGGTGATTTAGGAAATGGAGGCTTTAGAAAAGTGTGTTCCAAGAGCTGCTGAGGTGTCCACCTGTCGCCATCATTCAAACACATACACCTGCACAAAGACAAAGACGAAATAACACAAAACCACCACTTCATACTGAACCCTTGTGCTATCCTCGGGTCAAATTGTTTTGCCACAGAGTTACAAAAAAACCCTAAATGAGAAATAAAATGTAACTGAATTTGACCTAACTTGACCAGCCCTGGGTCATTTAGACCATTTTATACCCTAAATCTAGTTCAGGGTACTCTTTTCTACTTTTGGGGCGGGTTATTATGACCCCTGGTTTACTTGTCACCCAGACAGTTAATAAAGATAAAGGCTATTTACTTACCAGATATCGGTTTGCATGAATAAATACGTATTGCTATTATTGCAACAGCCGGGAACGACTGATTTGTGGTTTTTCACATCAATAAAACATCATGTTTGTCAGTTCTTTTCTTTGATCTTAGCCACAAACACATTGCATTTAAACCCAGTAAATAAAAATAAAAAAGTTCATTGGTAGTGAACCGATTGGTAATGAATTTACTTGATTGATCCGAAGTTGACTGAATGATTGATTTTCTTGTAATATGAGCGGTGAATACTGCACAATCTGATCTTTAAAAATAGATTTAACATTTCTTTATTTCTGCACTCCATGTGAGACAAGGCCATAGAGTGCAGCGGTGCAGTTACTGTTATAAAAGGTCTTGGTATTTATAAGAACTCACTTTTGAAGGAAGTCTTGAAAGTCCGCAGGCAGACTTGAGGGCACAGTCACAGGATACTCCGTCACCTCTCGGCCCTGACTCAGACTGAGCAGCATCAGACCAAAGTTCCAGACGTCCCCCTTTTTACCCGTCTTGGTGGGCATGGCAGTGGCCTCGGAGAAACGCACATGTGATTGCTCAAAAATGTCTTCTTTACAAATGTCTGCAAATCTCTTAGACAAACTATAATCGGTCAAGCGCACGTTTCCTTCTGAGTCTAAAATCACGCTTGATGCCCCCAGCTGCTTGTGAACCACAGAGTTACAGTGGAGGTATTCCAGAGCGGACAGCAGCTGCCCTGTGTAATGGCAGAGCTTATCTAAAGGCAAAGGTGTCTGTGTTTTTAAATGTTGGTTTAAACTGGTCCCGGATACATGTTCCACTAGGAGGGTGATAATAATACAGTCGTCCTTTTCACTGGAGCTCAGAGCCATATAATGCACCAGGTTTGGGTGCTCCAGCCGCAGGAGAGAGTTCAGCTCATTTTCTGCACCATGGATCTGCGCAGAAAATACAGCACTTGATTGGCCATGCTTTTCAAAATCACCCATCTCCTGCAGTGAAGGCCCTTTATATACCTGTTTTTTACAGTTTTCGATCTTTCCTTTCTCTTGACTGGTGAAAAACTTGCCCATTTTCTTGCTCCACGTCAAAGACCACTCATAGATCACCACAAAGTCCCCAGAGTTCCCCTCAAACCCGTAGTGAACGCTGCGACCGAGCCTCTCACTCAGTCCTAAAAACAAAAACATATAGATGAAACTCGCAAAATCAGAATATTGTTCAAAAGCTAAGATTTTACGAGATGTTTTATTTGGGGTTAATACATTCTGTGAGCCATTTATCTACATAATTAAATGTAATGAGTCTATAATATATTAGAATCAGAATCTATTATTGTATTGCCATTGTATGTTACAGGAAGTCATGTTACCAAACTAGGAATTTGTTTGATACATGGTGCAAATATGTGATTTAATAGTAAAATACACATACAAAGAAATGCATTAAAAAAAACGCTTAACAGAATTATAATAAATTAAATTAAACAAATCAGATTATCAACAACTGTCCAGAGTTATTATATTATCAAGTGGCATTAGTTTCACATTAAATTACTGAAGACTTTTGAATAATATCCTAATTTTCCGAGTTTCACATGTAGTGAGATTTCGTATTAACTTTCAAGGATTGGACCAATTGTTCTGAACTTACCCAAATTTTTGCCTTTGTGGACGAGAAGTTCTCCAAATGTTGTGCTGCTGAAATGAATGAGTTCTTGTGATCTGTTGTTATCTTCATTAAACGTATCCCGCCTGAACAAAAGATCAATGTTTATTAATATTATTCTGTGCTGATATTAAGTCCTTGTTGTCTAGTATTGAGCAGTTACCGGTGACGGGAGTTTGAGGTAGTTCGACGGCGATTGGCAATGCTTTTCTTGATTTCTGACAGATCCGGAGGGGATGAGACAGGGCTTGAAGGACTTTTATCTGAGTTTGTTTGCTCAATGGATTCTAACAGCTCCTTCACAACAGGAAATGACAACATAACCAAGGTAGATCATACAAAACAGTGAAATCATTAGTATACCAGTTTGGCCATTTCTTTTCTTCTCTTTTCCTCTCGTTTCTGATCCTCTCTCATTTGAATCACAGCCATTATTTCTTTTTCCTACAATATTTCACATCAAGTAAGCGCTTATAAAAAGGACTTTTTTGCCCCATCCTATTTCTTCACCATTTCTTCCTCTTGTCTCCGCTGTAGGTCCATCTTCTGCTGCTCTTCCAGGGCTCTCTTCTCCTGCTGTTTTCGCTGGTTTTTAAGCATCTCCTCATGAAAGGAGCGAGATGGAGGTTTGTTGTATTTGCTCAGAAAGCCCTGGATGTGGTCTGCCAATTCATAAATTATCACCTTGTGGGAACAGAGAACAGAAACACATTTATCAAGAACTGGTTCAGTAACTGCTGAGCATAACCTACGAGTACAGTTTAGTGACATTACAATTACATTACAAAAAATAAATAAAGGTATGTTTGCAAATGTGAGCAGTCATACCTCGCCACATCGGGTAGATGCTAACTTGGTGATTTCATGCTGAAGGTTTTGGAGGATGTCGTGTGAGAGACCTTTGGCATTTTTAAGCTCCAGCTCTGGAGGCCTGTTACCAAAGATAATCATTTTCATGTGTCTATTACATTACAAAAGCCGATTATTGTTTATTTTGTAGTTGTTTAGCTTGGTTAATCATGAACATATCAGTCAATACAGTGAAGCTGTAAAAAGTGACACCAATGTGCATCCTGATGTTTGGTCTCTAGTGCAGAGGGTTCACAGCTTACAGATCTGGGTATGTTGCTGGGCACTTGACCAGCAGGTCCACTGTCACGTAGCATTCCTGTTTGTGATTTAACCCGTTGGGACGAAGGCAGAGGTATACTTCTGGAGGTCTTTTAACCTGAACAGACAGACATATTTAAATGTATAGAAATCCTCAATTATAAGAGGAGACGTATCAAAGACTACCTTCCACGGGTCTTTACTACGGAGGTCCTGAAAGTCATCTCCAAATATGGAGGCGAGTGCTTCCAGCTCATTCTCCTGCTGCACAGAGTAGTCTTCTGTCCCATCTGTGGTGGTCTCCTGCTGCCTGCTCATATTGAACTACATGGCACTGCTGCGGCGCCTCACGCACGCACGACGTGGGCACAGGAAATATGAGGAAGAGCAGCAGCTAGCTTCTCCACGGCTCTACACTGCTCTACAGTGGCGTAAATGATTCAAATCCTGTTTATAATAGCTTGATTAATATCCTACCATCCGTGCGCCAGCGCACAACTTCCACCATAGAAGTATACGGCCACTGTCACGTGGCTGTCGCAAATAGGGTACAGTGGCGCGTGCAACGTCATCACGTTTCCAAAAGAAACCAGCAGAGGGCAGCAAACACGCAAGAACAGAAAGCATGGGTCGTGGGAGAAAAATGGCTTGGAATATTTCCCATTGAGTTAGGGTTTCTTTCTGCTCTTGAATTTACAGAAATAATTTGAGTTATATAAACTTTCATCATCATGACATAACATTTGGTGTTGCACTGGAGGACAAAGACAAGGAATGTATTATTAATAATCTATATAAGATAAAATGAGATACACTTTATTGATCTCACAATGGAGAAATTAGCAATGGTTGTGTTTATTGTAAAGCCTGTCTTTTCAGATCTAAGAAATTTGAAATACTGTAAGTCAAAGAAAGTACGCTGACTGTATGAAAAGATTTGACACTATCTCTACTTCTTGTGGCATCTTCATTTTGGCTTGTGTGCATGTTTACCTTATTGTTGATGTTTTGTTGTATTTATCTATTTTAATGAATATGCTTGAAATTGCATTGCCCTGTTTGATTTGAAGTTTCATTTTTCATTAAATCCCTTTGGGCTTTTATTTAAATCTAGACCTTAGTATAGTTATTTTAGACTTTATTTAAATTTGTGCGCTTATTGTAGATTTCCAAAAGAATTTGCAAAAAATAGTTTATAACTAGGAGAGTAATAATACAATGAAAGGTCAGCCACCCCAATCGCTGGTAACAATATACAAGGCAAGGCAAGTTTATTTGTATAGCAAAAATACATGAGGGAACTCCACGATAGAAACATAATCATACTCATACACATTCAAATTTATAATCACATACTTTAAAAAGAGTGGAGAGACAATCCTTCACTTATATTCACAGCTAAAAAGAACATTTATTTTTTACCTAGATTTGAACATTGTAAGACTAAAAGCTCGTCTCACATATTCAGGATGACTGTTCCAGATTTTAGCTGCATAAATCCCCTTGTTTAACACACCTCATAGTTATACACAGGCAATCATACAACTCCACACCTCCTGTTATTGGGCCAACACAATCAATAAGTTTAAAATTATAACACAGTAGATAATCTGTTCTCAGATTAAGTTAACATTACTGAATAGTGAACTAACTGCTGCTTATCTCATTTATGTTGTCTCCTATGAAGGCAATGCGATGCTTTATCTGCCTCCAGCCCCTGTATCTTACATCCTTGAGCAACTATTAATAGAGTGGCTATCTGGTGAGGCCAAAACAGAAGAATGCAGTTACATACCTTCATAAATGTCACTCAAAAACAGATTACTGTATATAACAAATTGTTGATATTAGTGCAGCAAAAACTGTGACTCAAGAATGTTTGGATTACTTTCCTCTGTGTCACTGTTTCTTTGTACAGTCATACATTGTGTTTGCATTGACTGAGTTTGACATCATCCAAGTCTAGGGCTTATGGGGAATATATGGTTGTAGAAAGGGGGTTAGGACAAATATGGGCCTCCTGTCTGAGCTCCCTCTCCAGGAGCTCCAGGGGCCGCCTGCTCACCATAGCCCTACAAGGAGACAGCTGGGCCAATCAGCAGCGAGCACTGACGCTGCCATCAGCTGCTGCAGGCGCTAAGGAGGCTCGTCTATGTTCAGGGGGCATACCAGTGGCACGCTTCACACTCCTCTTCTTCTCATTTCCTTAACTAGATTCATGGTCAGTGCGAGTTTGTGAGGTCACCCTTTGGTTCTTTAATGCCTGTGATTATCCATGGAAGAACATATAAATAAATGATAGTACATACAATTATGAATATTTTAATTATTATGAATGTGTCAAAGCAATAGTTGTATCCTGTATTATTCAGGGCCAGTATGTTGTTAGCTTCTCTTTCATATAAAGTATTAAACTGTATTATGCATAAAATATACATTGACATACTTTCAGTGCTATAATCATGGATCTATATTTCATAAAATACTTCAGATCCTGTTTGACCACATGGTCATGGACTGAAACACTGCAGTAGAGAGAAGGGTTGATTGATTTGACTTTAAATCCCTTTTCTCCATCTATGTAAAACACATTTGTGATTTCAGTTGCCAGCTCTTATTTGGACTTGTGTGAACCCCTTAGTCCCGCCCCCGGTCCCCAGGCCCAGCCAGCGTCTTATTTAAGCCGCTGATCCACTCCAGGCTGGTGTCCCAGTGGAAGCATCCATCTGCCTGTGTTCACCTTGGTAAGTTCCACTTCCAAGTTTTGGCCTTCCATTACTTCTATCCCTGGGTTTCTTCCTGATTCATGCAATATTTTGAGGACCATTATCCCATTCAATAATATTTGCTTTAGATTTGTTTTCTATTTCTATTTCTATTGCAACAGTTCTCATTTGTCATTATTCTGAAACCCATGGATATATGTACAGTATATTCTTTTTGTCACTTTATGCAAATACTGTGGTAGACGTATAGGTAGTTTATTGCTGCTTTTGTGAATGGATTTTTTTAAAGCAATCTTAAAACTCCCTCTTATTCTTGTAAACTTCTCATACACAGTATGAATATATACTGGAAATTGAAGATGCTTCTGTTGTAGTATAATACATCCTTAAACCAATTGCAAATGTTTGCGTTGCCTATTTGATGCTGTCAAAAGAAATAAAATAACTGATTTTCTTGAATTACTGTATACTAAACACTGAGCTGAGTTTATTACTAACTGCATCAGACAACTTTGAATATTTTCTCTGTAGACTCCAATATAAGAATATAAGTGACCTGAAATAGTTGATGACAGTCTGCATGTTATGCCCCTTTTTGGTGCTACCTCAGCAACTCTGAGCTCTCATGAAACAATCAACTTTGAAGATAAGATATCAGGAGTTGTACTGCAGGATGGGACAGAAATAGTGTGCAAAGGCATTGGCAATTAGCACTCCCCATACAGCTCCTATTCAGGCAAGCGTCATTGTGAGAGAACATTGTCCGACAGAAGATTGGTTTTTAAAGCACTATTACTTTTACATTATATTGTTTAGACAAGATTAGATAATTGTTTGTTAGATCTTCTTTGTAACATGGGAATTTGTCTTTCGCTAATCTAGACCATTTAGACCAGACAAAAGCCCAACCATGTGCGACGACGACGAGACCACCGCCCTCGTGTGCGACAATGGCTCTGGCCTGGTCAAGGCTGGATTCGCTGGAGATGATGCTCCCCGTGCTGTCTTCCCCTCCATTGTGGGAAGGCCCCGCCACCAGGTAAACCTCTTCCTCAGATTCCACGTGTGTGTATGTATGTGGAGGATCGTCAGAGTAAGTTATGGGAGGGAGTTGTGGGGTCAGAGAGTGTTTGGGCCTGTATGTTGTCTGAGTGCGCAGCACGATGGCGCAGCAGCAAGCTCTTGTATGTTACATGGTTCAACTCCACCTCCAGACGGGGCCTTTTGCATGTTCTCCCTGTGTTCTCCGTATTCCCCTACCACTAGTAAAAGTGTACAATATGGTGTAATGGACGGTGATGGTCGGAGGCTTCGATGTACAAGAGTGTTTGGGGTCTTGCTTCAGTCATCACCGTGTGTATAGAGAATGGAAAAATAATGGTACTCCAAAACCACTGTAAAGCGCTTTGTGAGACCTTTGTCTGTGAAATGCACTATATACAGTACCATATATAAAGATTACGTACTTACTGAGTGTGTGTGTGCCATGTGCTTTTTATCATGTTGTATGAGTGAGAGTGGCCTGTTTCTTGTTCTTTGTCTTTTGTACCTACAAAATCCATAAATTACTACTACTACGACTTCTTTTTTTTACACCGGCTAACACTTTTCTTGACTTTGCCAGGGTGTGATGGTGGGTATGGGTCAGAAAGACAGCTATGTGGGAGACGAGGCCCAGAGCAAGAGGGGTATCCTGACTCTCAAGTACCCCATCGAGCACGGCATCATCACCAACTGGGACGACATGGAGAAGGTGAGTGGGCGATGACGAGGGCCTCCATTTACAACATTCACAGCAGCTGACCGTACACATGCCACAGACCTCATAGGCTGTTAGTATAACGGGCTTATTTTTAGTTTTTCAAAGCCGTATTGTTGAACATATTTGCGTTGATCCTGGTGTTAAGTGTTATTTCAGACGCCTCATCAGCTGTCGTGTCTTTCCTTCTCCTGCTGATAGATCTGGCACCACACCTTTTACAATGAGCTGCGCGTGGCCCCTGAAGAGCACCCCACCCTGCTCACCGAGGCCCCCCTCAACCCCAAAGCCAACAGAGAGAAGATGACCCAGGTATAAATCTACTTTTATTCATTATCTACTACATAATTCATGCTATTAAAGAGGATTCAGTGATAAGTCGAGAGTTATACAAATGTTAATTTCAGGTGAAGTTCAAAATGTTTCATTATCATTCAAAAGTCCATTTACTTTTTTTGTTCAAATTTGAATTTAACACTGAAAGATCAAGGCTATGCTCACACTCAGAGAGCAGCCGTCCTCCTGTGGACTCACCACCTGCAGAGGGTCAGTGAGGGGCTGGTGCTATGAGACTTGGGTGGCATCTCTGATTGCCACCCCCCTGACCCAGAAATGAATTAAAGGGTAGAAAATGGATGGATGGATGGATGGATGAATTTAACACATGAACGACTCTCTACACGCAAAGTGACATATATTTAATTTTTTTATTTTTCATTTCGTACATGCCAAGTTACAAGACTTAACCAAACAAGATACTCAGACAAATTGTATACAGAAGTACACAACAAAAGCACCAAAATAAATAGTTATAATGTTCAGTTTAACATAGAAGTATACGTAAATAGAATAATCGTAATAATAATAATAATACAAATAATACATTGTCTTGTTTCATGTACGAAAGGGAGTGGGATGAAGTAAAAACTATGAAGCATTTTTTTTTTTAAATAATGTTTATAAATATGGCTCAAAACTGTTGTAACTCTTGTAACTATTATAATTGTCAAAATTATGACAAACAAAAGCTTGACATGTTTTTCTTCTTATTTGCATCCTTTCTTTTGCTTTTTATATTGAATTTGAATCTGTTGCACTTTGAGGTTTCATGGAAATGTAAGGTGCATTATACATAAAATATTATTATTATTATTATCATTATCATTATTATTATGTCACTTTTCATGCAATGAGTCTTTATTACACATTGGATTCATAGTATTGAAGTAAATGAACTTCCCGTGTGTCTAAGGCAAGATTATGTCAACCACATTCTCCCGTGTGATACTTCTCAATGACCGGGTTGTAATTGACTTTATAGATCATGTTCGAGACCTTCAACGTCCCTGCAATGTACGTGGCTATCCAGGCTGTTCTGTCCCTGTACGCTTCCGGACGTACCACCGGTCAGTATCTTTGCTAATGCGATACAACCTAAATTTACACCGCTCGTTGTAAAGCTGCCGCCTCTTTGATTCCTTTCACATTGTCAAGTCAAAGTGCTAATCCTGTCCCCCCACATAGCAAGAGCAACAGTTGTGTACCGCATAGCTAAATAGAGTGGATTATGTGGTGAACTCTAAGCACTGAAAGTATGTCTGGTCTTCCTGCCTGCCAAAGGTATTGTGCTGGACTCTGGAGACGGTGTGACCCACAATGTGCCCATCTATGAGGGTTATGCTCTGCCCCATGCCATCATGCGCTTGGATCTGGCTGGTCGTGACCTGACTGACTATCTGATGAAGATCCTGACTGAGCGTGGCTACTCTTTTGTCACAACTGGTAAATAATTTTTCTATTCAACTTTTTTTGTACATGTTAGATTGTTTTCACTGAAATATCAACTTTTGCGGTCCATAGCTGAGCGTGAGATTGTGCGTGACATCAAGGAGAAGCTGTGTTATGTTGCTCTGGACTTTGAGAATGAGATGGCCACCGCTGCTTCCTCCTCCTCTCTGGAGAAGAGCTACGAGCTGCCTGACGGTCAGGTCATCACCATTGGTAATGAGCGTTTCCGTTGCCCCGAGACCCTTTTCCAGCCCTCCTTCATCGGTGAGCCGCATTAAGAAATTATGACTTTTCATATCTATTGGATTGTGTTGTATTTGCTCTAAAACACCACTCTTTTTGTGCCACAGGTATGGAGTCTGCTGGTATCCATGAGACTGCCTACAACAGCATCATGAAGTGTGACATTGACATTCGTAAGGACCTGTACGCCAACAATGTTCTGTCTGGTGGAACCACCATGTACCCAGGTATTGCTGACCGTATGCAGAAGGAGATCACCGCTCTGGCCCCCAGCACCATGAAGATCAAGGTGAGATAATCTTTATCAGTAAACATGAAATACAATATATTCAACAGGTTATCAGAACACACAAATAAATGGCATTGTGACTCTGTTTATTCTATAGATCATTGCTCCCCCTGAGAGGAAGTACTCTGTCTGGATTGGCGGCTCCATCCTGGCATCTCTGTCCACCTTCCAGCAGATGTGGATTAGCAAACAGGAGTATGATGAGGCCGGTCCCTCTATTGTCCACAGGAAATGTTTCTAAATGCTACCAACCTCTTTACATTCATGTATTTATACATACTTGTCCGTTGTATATATGTGTGCATATACTTGTTGTAATAAAGTGAAGCCCATGCGAGAGTATTTCCTATACTTTAGCGTCTTTTTTCATTATAAGGCATGTACTGGATGTTTCATGTGCCATTTCTCATTCACTCCATAATTATTCCCATTTGATATAATTTGACACAAATAAATGTAGGCCTGAATTTTACAACTTCATGAAATTTGTAAAGGCTCAGCTTTTTGACTTGGAGCTAAATTATGTTTTCACTGGAATGCTCCACACTGGAAACAAGCAAGTGACTGCACTGAGCTAAGTTACAAGTAATTTCTGCGGAGAGGAGAGGCAAGGCAAGGCAAGGCAAGGCAAGGCAAGGCAAGGCATGTTTATTTGTATAGCACAATTCATACACAAGACAACTCAAAGTGCTGAACAAGATAGCATTAAAATCATAAATAATCACAGAACATTGAAAAGAAAGATAAAAATATAAAATCCCTCAGTTGTATGCACAGCTAAACAGCACAGTTTTTAACTTGGTTTTAAACATAGTCAGAGAGGAGGCCTGTCTCACATCTTCAGGAAGAATGTTCCAGATTTTAGCAGCATGAATCTGAAAAGCAGCCTCCCCATGTTTAGTTCTGACTCTGGGCACTAACAGGAGTCCAGTCCCTGTGCTCCTCAGAGTCCGGGCTGGTTCGTATTGTACTAACATGTCACTAATATATTTTGGTGCGAGGCCATGGAGAGACTTGTACACAAGCAAAGCTGTTTTAAAGTCTATTCTCTGAGCCACAGGAAGCCAGTGCAGAGACCTGAGGACTGGACTAATATGGTCGTACTTCCTGGTTCTAGTCAGGACTCGAGCTGCTGCATTTTGAATGTACTGCAGCTGTTTTACAGCCTGTTTGGACAGACCTGTGAGCAGGCCATTGCAGTAGTCTAACCTACTGGAGACAAATGCATGGATAAGAATCTCAAAGTCTGCTTTAGACACTATGTTTTTGATCCTGGAAATGTTTTTAGATGGTAAAAAGCTGCTGATGTTACTGATTTGATGTGGCTATTAAAATTTAAGTCTGAGTCCAGTATTACCCCTAGATTTCTCACCTTGTTTGAAGGTTTTAGGGAGAGAGACTGTAGATGACAGATGACGCACAGATGAGAGCTGGCCCAGTATGTAATTTAGGGTATTTGCTCAGTAAAAACATATGTAATGAACTAATGTACGTACAAGAAAGTGATATGTCCATGGCAATACATGGCTAGCATCTGAAAAGTTACGTTATGCATGCATCAGGAATTGATTATACATAGTATACATGTATATATCCGTTTTAAAATATTTAACTTCTTCAAGATTATTTTCAAATCACACACCACTGTCTCTGATAAATATGGCTACTGCGACCGCCCGACGGAGAAAAGCTTTCAGAATTAATATGTATCCGCCCGGGCGGGAGAACTCTTGTAGTAAATCATTCACACTAGAAAATGCTGTTCTAACCTCTCTCGACCAATCAGAGCGCGTGTGTCAGAAGCGCTGTTGTTTGAAAACTGCGGAAACGTATCTTGCGTGACACGGAAAGAATGGGGTTTTGAGGAGAAGTTTAGCTGTTAAACGGTACAGAGTTTGTAGATGTGCTTAGTATCTTCACATGCGGAGGATTATTCAAAACTAGTTAAGTTAGTAGAAGACTACATGGAGCGGTGTATTGAGATTGTCACATCAGAAGAAGATGTTAGCTGGTTAGCTTGCTAGTTTGTTGGACGCTAGCAACTGCAACACAATGAAGCTGAGCATAGGGAAAGTTGCATGAATGTGTTAAAGTTAGATTACGTTATCGTGGACTTAGTGGCTAGATATTTAAGTGACTTCGATTTTATTTGGTTGTTGGGAAAGTGTATTTTCACAAGTAGGACAGTTTTTTCGTTTGCGTCGTGTATTTGCTCAAAATGAAGACTATTATGGAAAGAAATGTGATGCGACTTGTGGCTGTGCAGCACCTCCGCACAGTTTACGGCATAAAAGCTAAAAACTGGAATAAAAACAAAACATCACGGACATCCACAAGCATCACGGTAAGAAGCTCACTCAAATGTACGTAATGCTTCCTGCAGAAGGACTGCTTTATTGTCCTGACATTTTTGTTGTGAAAACGAAAGTTTGTGTTTAATTATTGTCCCTCCTTTTCATTGATTCTCTTATACTTTCTCCTGCTCAGTTATGTCTATTTTGGCTAACTGGTTTATTTATTGTCCCTCATTTAAATTAAGAAAGTAAGTAATCTTTATTTATATAGCACCTTTCTCAGACCAGAGTCACAAAGCGCTTTACAATTGTTTTTTGGGCATTTGTCTCTCACTCCACACTAAGTGCGAAGACAAACGACAAACTTTATTTAAAGTTACGTAATTTGGTTTTGTTTGTACACACAATTCTTTGTTTACAACTATTAGCTATATTTACCTGTGCATACAACTGTATCTTCACTCTTTTTAAAATACTGTGATTTTTACGTTTCTATCTTGTTTTGTTTAACACTTTGAGTTGCATACAAATCAATTTGCTTTACTTTTTTTCAGAAAAAAGTATTTGGTGTAGCTCTTGATAACCTACCATGCGTTAATATGGATTATGGGATTGTGCCAAGGCAAGTATTGTATTAATATTGTTATTATTGGGGATAAAGTTTTTACCTAGCCTGGGAATTCCCATGATGTGCTCAAAAGTTGTAATATTTGATATGGTGTTACCCCGGCTAATGTTTCACATCCAAGAATTGAGTAAATTTGAGTTTGTTTCCATTCAGGTTTCTTGTTGACGCTTGTATGTATCTAACGACTCATGTCGACACAGAGGGCCTATTCAGAAAGTCAGGGTCCGTTCTTCGCCTCAAAGCTCTCCGGGTGAGTGATGGGGGAATTTTCCCTGGCTCTTGTTGACCTTCAACTTTGTGGGCTGAAGACAATGCTCTTTTGTTGGTGCAGGTCAAGTTGGATGCAGGAGAAGACTGTCTGTCCACAGCTCTTCCCTGCGATGTGGCCGGCCTGGTGAAGCAGTTCTTTAGAGAGCTGCCGGAGCCGGTGCTTCCAACAGAGCTGCATGAAGCCTTTCTCAAAGCCCAGCAGCTAAACTCAGACGAGGAGAGGACTGCAGCCACCATGCTGCTCTCCTGTGTGCTCCCGGAGAGAAACCAGAACACCCTCCGCCACTTCTTTGAGTTCCTTCACAGTGTATCTTTAAGGTGATTGGAAAACTTGACATTTTGTTCTTCAATACAAATACAACATTTGCGTGTATTTAATGTTTATTGGAATTTATGTTTGATTACAGGAGTGGAGAAAATAAGATGGACAGCAATAATTTGTCTGTAATCTTGGCTCCTAATCTCCTCCACTCTGGAGACGTCACAGAAAAGATGAATGCAAACACAGAAAAACGCCTCAAACTCCAGTCAGCGGTTGTCCACTGTTTCATTACAAATGCTCACAGCTTTGGTAAAAAACTTTTATTTTCTGACAATATTTAATCTGAATATATTATTAATGGAGTAAATATTGCATATCAGGTGTGCTGCCACAGTTTCTTCAAGAGAAGATACCTGTTATGATGGGCAGTGATTCTAGCGCTCAGTCACCGGCTCAAGACGAGCTACAAGAACTTGAACTAAACTCGGGCATAAAGAGGAGGCCGAGGCGAAGCTTTGGAGGTAACCAGAAAATGTTCTTTTTGAACTGGAGTAGTACACGGTTTGTGTCATGGCACATTCATTAAGAATGTGGCAGCAAAAGGGTTGGTTATAATCCACTCTAATCCTATATTCTGACAGCAGCTTTTGCTGAAGTACATTTACATGCTTTGATGTGTCTCACGTTGCAGATTTGGTCAGTGGTGCTCTGAATAAGATCAAAACAAATAGAACCCCCACAAATAACCCCCTGTCAGACAGTATTGGTAGGTAATGACATCACAGATTGAATGCCCTTGCTGCATCTTTCCTTTGCACAGAAATTGGAGAGATGTCATTTTATTTTTTTCATAAAGCATGAACATTGAATTTTTACAAATGGTGTGACATCTCCTTTCCGTTTTTGCTTGGGCCGTCCTGTACATGAATCTTGCTTATTGAGTGAACTGCAATTTCATTTCCAGCTTGATTTGAACATGTCATTATGATCTTTGACTAATACCATGTTCCTTTGCTTGCTCTTATTTCCTTACAGTATTTTCTTCGGCAACTCCTGTTATTGCAACCCCCAACTCTAAGCGAAAACTACCTCTGGAATCTGGCCACAGTTTTGGATTCTCAAATAAGAAGCGCAGGTCAATGAAGAAGACCCTGGGCATAGACTTACTCCCTGATCCCATGTTAAGCGGCACTTGTACTCCTGGATCCGGTACTGATCGCTTTATTAAAATTATGTTCTAAGATACTCTGCTGTATATTGAATTTCATGAATTGTTTATATATTCAAAGCTCGGAGTGCTTCTGGAGTCCTTGATTCGAACACCTGTTCCTCTGGAGGTCAGTCTCGCAGGCGCTCTGTCACTTCTGTGCGGAGAAAAAGCCGAAGACTGAGCAGCCGACATGCAGTAAACAGGTGCACGTTGTCCTCAGCAGAAAAAATATATAACATCATGACTATGACTATAGTTGTTTACTGAAGTTGTCCTCATGTATTTATTCCAGGGTGGAGTCTGGTCGAGCCGGTTGCTTTTCACCCAAAGTCAAAAAGGATGCACCACGCAAATCTCTGCGCATGCGCTTCAGCCTGGGTAAAAGCAGCAAAGAAGCTGTAAGTGTAGCTGCTTCATAAAACCCTCTGATTAACACCATGTTAATCTAAGTGCATGCAGACACTTTTGTACTTTAAAATAGAATTGAATTGATGAACCTGTTATTATTGTTTGGGTTTTACGTAAATAATGAATAGATATATCGTTTTTTTGCTATTATAAGTAAGGATTAATCCCTCTCTGAGTGGTTTAATTTGCTCATACTGTGCAGTGCACTTTTATGATTCCTGCTCACTGCGGGTTAGATCCTTCAATTAACAGCTAATTTGTTTACTGGTTTCCATGGTGAAGGCCTTATGTATAGAACAGTGGTTCCCAAAGTGGGTTGGGCGCAAGGTACTTTCTTAGGGATAAGATTATATTTTTATAACGCAGTATTCTTCAAATAAATATTAAATCCAAGGTTTAATTTGGGGGTTATTTGCCTAAATGTTTGAGAACCCCTGGTATTAAACAGTGATGTCAGACATTCCTGTGCAGTTAATGGTTACACAAAAATGACCCTGTATGTTTAAAATCATGAAAATTGTGGAAAAAAAGATTCCTAGTTTTGAGCTAAACACAAATGCATGCTTTTTTCTGCACAATGACAGTTTTATTGATGCGTCCTTTTCCTGTTTATATTATATTTAAGTGATTGGGCTCGGATAATACTTGAATGTGTGTTGTAAATCTTGAATGCTGCATGTTTGACACAGAAATGCTTCTGACATAAACAATAAAATGATGATAATTCCTGTGGAAATGAAGTTCCTTCTGAGTTATTTGAACATGCTCTGAAGAACTAACCACATAACACATTAACACCACACACTGGTGCACTTCTATGGGTTTCATTTTAACAAAATAACATCACTAATATTCTTGGATGGTTTTTCATTTCATGTTGGTGTGATAAGGGATCTGAGTCCATTGGCTGGAGACTTGCCTCTCAGGAAAGCACGTCCAGCTTTTGTTTCACCAAAGAAATGGAGTTCGCCAGTCCATCCGTGTTGCCCAGGATCAACGAGTCGAACGGTATGTCTAATATTACACAAATGACAATGCTAACAGATTTCACAGCTTAAAGTGATAGAGTGTGTTATTTTTTGAAGGCACCAAATACATCAGTAAGTCCGAGGACAACTTGTCGACGCCTCAGCCACACTGGAGCGACCGCCGGGCTGTTTGGGCCACCGAGACTCCGGTAACATCTCAGGACTTTAGCCGAGGTTCTTTTTCCGATACTCCTTTGAACATGTGCCTGAAGAACAAGGGCACTTTCTCCTCTGAGCCCATCATAGTCCTGTCCAAGCCTTCGCCTGCATCCAACCGGCCCCTCAAGTTTTGTTGCGCTTCGAGTGCTGACAGTTTGGAGAGCGAGGGAGCAGCAGCAGCTGAAGCCCAGAGTCAAATGGGGCCCACCCTGATTAAGATTAACAAGGTCTTTACAGAACTGAGGAGTGACTGGCGACCTGCAGAAACATCACAAGCAAACCGTTCCTGTGTCTTTCATCCAGAAACACCATCTTCCTTCATGGCCCCATCTCAATCTTTTCTGGCGAATTACGACCATAACTTTACTTTTGGTCAAATGGAGCTAGCGTGCCTGTCTCCTTTGCATATCGACAGCGCAGTGTTCGACTGCGATACGAACGGTAGTCTCTTGTTAAAGCGTTCTATAGAAACTCCCGCCAGGAACACGCCGGACGTCTTCACGTTGGACGATGGAGAAAAGCATGAGCTGGTGGATTGCAGCAGACTGATCGACGCCCTGGACATTCAGAGTCCCGCTCATTTCAAGCCAGGGCTGCTGTCCGGGCTTCAGTCCACGCCGTACAGATCCGAATTTGAACCTTGTGCAGAAATCTGTACTCCCCCGAGGGCAGAGGGCGATTTGAGTGTTGCGGGAGACGCCTGCGGTCGCGGTGCTAAAGATGGTGATCAGGAGATGGCCTTGTCTCCTGACGATCTGCAGGCGCAAAAGTGCAAAGTCTCCGAGCATATCCAGCACTTCAACAGGCTCACGCTGCGCTATACAGAAGGAAATCAGGGCAAGAGCAGGTCCCCTCTCAGCTTCCAGCGCACGCCAGTCCGCCAGACCGTACGAAGGATCAACTCTCTACTGGGGGACAACCGGAGACTCACCAGAAGCACCGTTCGCCAGGGTATGCCCAAGTCTGTAAGCCTAGAATCGGGCATCTCTCCGCACCCGCAAGCCCGCACAAACCTGGACAAAGCTGCGGTTACAAGTGCAAGGTCAGCGAAGAAGCCGCCTCCTCCTCCTGTGCCTCCCAAAACCAGGACCCTGAACCGGAAGGCCAAGCAGAGTGCCCTCGGAGACGTGACCAACAAGCTCGAGCCTGTCACCAAAATGAACACTTCTGGCTCCAGGTGCCACCAAGAGCAGCCCAGACCCCAGAATTCCTTTGTGCAGTTTGAAAAGGAGATGCATCATTACAGGGGCTCTCCCAGAAACCCCCTCAACCAGACACGACTTCTCTCGGCGACGAAACCTGTTGATTTATAGTCGTCATCGTGACAGGTCTGATTTTATGCAAGTCTTTTTAAGGATATAGTGATGCAGACTATGCGTTTAAGGTTGGCTAATTTATTCGGCTTCCATGTTTACGGTCTTGGTTTTTTACTGGTGGGAGATTTTGCCTTATGTTTGCATAGGATAGTTAGATTTTAGTATAGTTTAGTGGTTGTAGTAGTGTGTAAGCCAAATTATGTGAGCGATCTGTAGATGTATTTATATGAATATGGGAAGATGAAGACGAATCTTTAGGGAGATGTCTTTGAAACATTTTAATTGTCAACTGCACCTTCTATTGTTCCAAATATGCCAAGCAGTATTGATCCGATCAAGTCTTGAGTGATTTATTTGTAAAACTGCCAGAAAAGTGCTCTTTGTAAACCGCTGCAGAAAAATAAATTCTGAATCTGTTCCAGCAAGGTCTCAACTTTTATCTTAAGTTTATTACTTACTTACTTACTTACTTATCTCTTTCACATTTTTATAATCGGTCATGATGTGGACAATAGTCATTCAGCCTGAGCCTGTCCATATGCTGCTTTATACATAAGCAGGTGCATTAGCTGTCTTACTGATGCCTCAGAGTAAGAATGTCCTGGGTTCTATTCCACCAACAGGCTTTTCTGTGTGTAGTTTGCATGTTCTCCCCGTGTCTGCGTAGGTTTCCTCCAGGTGCTTTCAACTACCATTACAAATATGTACCACAACAATTGTAAAGCGCTTTGGTGAAAGGTGCAAAATAAGTAAAAATAAAACATTCTTATGCACAGTGTACTTTACCAAAGGACTCAAAATTAGAATATTGACTCATTGAATGCAAAGGGACTTCACATATTCTATATAAGTTGGTCTAAGTCTATTTAAGTTTCTTTTTCTATCTAATACTGTAAACCACTGTGTCACACACATTCATCCACAATCACATCCCTAAACCCCCATCCAAGCAAGCATCTAATTAAGATTAAGATGTCCGCTATTCCAGGTATTACCACTATTCACTTAGCTTGTAATGATTTCCCGAGTTTAATCTATATATGCTCGATGTTCCCCCTTTAGTTGCAATGGTATTTTCCTTCTCAAACACCTAACATGCCCTTATATTCTAGAGCCACACGAGGGCGCCATATGACACTAAACGAGGGAAGGTTAGTTTAGGCCTCAACGACACAAAGGCGCATCATAAATCAGAAATATTCAACTTAAATAAAACTACAAGCCCTACCAGCTCTTTACCCGACGTTACATTTCTTCAAATCAAACATACATTAGTTGATAGCGCAACAGTTATCATAAAAGCGAGACAATGTGGAGGTGGGGGGACCTCAGACGTGAATATTCACTTTGACCAGAGGCTATTCCAGGCGCGCTCCTCCAGGCCAAATGGGACTTGGGTTTATTGAGATGATTCCAGTAAGAACAGATATAAGGACTGCAGCTCGAGTCCTGACTAGAACCAGGAAGTGCGATCACATTAGTCCAGTTCTCAGGTCTCTGCACTGGCTTCCTGTGGCTCAGAGAATAGACTTTAAAACAGCTCTGCTTGTTTCAAGTCTCTCCATGGCCTCGCACCACACTACATCTGTGACGTGTTAGTGCCATATGAACCAACTTGGACTCTGAGGAGCACAGGGACTGGCCTCCTGCTGGGTACCAGCGTAGGGACTAAACATTTAGAATTATGCATTTAAAATCTGGAACAGTCTTCCTGAAAATGTTGTTCAATTGTTTTTTTTTAATGCCTTGAATGACTTTAATGTTTATTTTCCTGTTTTGTTCAGCACTTTGAGTTTCCGTGGTTTTGTAACTGTTCTATACAAATATATTTGCTTTGCCCTTTTCAAAGCAATAACCAATGTTGCGGAGTATACTATTTTTGGCCTAAAGGAAAACACAATAAGAAAAGTGACTACTTCAAAAGCATTTTTTCCGACCTGGAAATAGCCTGTTAGACCATGTTTTCATTTCAAGTCTCGCTCCTGGCGTTGCTCCTGATCTAACAGTTTTTCCCTCTATGTAAATGAAACTTGTGCGTAATTCCATGTGCGCACCGTGCTGTCTGAGCTCCTCCGCGAGTTCAAGTGTCGAGGGGGCGGGTAGTTTTGATTTTCTTGACTCCGCTCTTAGCCAATAATGTCGGGGGAGCTGCTATGCACATCTCAGCTGGCAGACATTTAAAAGGGAGACAGTGCGGCGCTGGAGTAATTTGTATTAAACCCCCTGGCCCCTTTTCTATGGAGCGCACGGTCTCCCACCCAGCAGAGCAGTCCCGCCGCTGAAGAGTCGACGCGAGAGGGTGCCTACCTTCTGTGGATGAACCTCAGACATCTCCCCATCACTGGAAGACAGGACAAACATGTGAGTGAGCGCTGCTAATAATATGCGCAACAGAGTGTGCGTTATTATCGGATTTACGATTGATGTCTGAGTGGTAGGATTAAATTGCCATCATTCTCAATTTAAAAGTCATAGGGATACCTTTGAGCCTTTTGCTTTCGTGCATGCGTAAAGACTGGTTAATTCTTGACTTGATTGGTAATCTTAACATGGCAACAAGTTATGTTCTTATTTCTTATGTTCTATTTACTCTGTTCTGTGCATAGTAAGTCAATAATAATGGTTCCACAAATGTCTCTGCTTCTTCCACAGGATGGCCAGCTCAGCGCGTGTTCTCTGGAGTATGGTTTTCATCATCGGCTTGATCTCCTCTCCCGCGGCCTCAAAAAGAAACCGTGGATCACAAGGCGCCATTCCTCATCCGGACAAGAACAACCCAAACGAATCGGAGCAGCAGCCTCCGCCTGCTCCTGCAGCGGGTTCAGGCACCCGTCAGAGGCAGAGCTCTTCCTCTCCCGCGGACGAGGTGCTGGAGTCCAGCCAAGAGGCGCTGCACGTCACCGAGCGTCAGTATTTGAAGCGCGACTGGTGCAAGACGCAGCCGCTCAAACAGACCATCCACGAGGAGGGCTGCGTGAGCCGCACCATCATCAACAGGTTCTGCTATGGACAATGCAACTCCTTCTACATCCCCAGACACATCCGCCGGGAGGAGGGCGCGTTCCAGTCCTGCTCCTTCTGCAAACCCAAGCGCTTCACCACAATGACGTTCACGTTGAACTGTCCCGACCAGCAGCCGCCCACCAAGAAGAAGCGCATCCAGCGCGTCAAGCAGTGCCGCTGCATATCCATAGACTTGGACTAGATAGCACTGGCGGACAGGACACGTCGGATTTCATTTGTTTGTAACTGCAGCATCAGACTTTCACAGCTCTGCACGGGAACGCGGATTGGAATGATTTTACGCACGGCTTTGATTCCGATAGAACTGCACGTCCCATGCTTTATATAATGCTGTGATAAGAACACTGACTACAGGACGTTTCTGTGATTTATATATATACTGTATATTGTTCTAAATGTGTTTCCACTGTGTGGAATAAGACGGACTAGTTTTACGCAGAATGTCATTTTAACCTGAGCGAAACCTCCCGCCGTAACCTACTGCCATCTCCATTATGTTCATTATATATAGATTTGTAAGTCATCAGTTCATGGTGACGGAGTTTAAACTTGTTTTGTTCTCCTGCATTTCAACTGTATAGTCCTCTGTGTGAATAGAGAATGTTGGGATTAAATTATCTTCTAAACACGTTTTGCATATTGTGAATAACTTGACTTAAACACTAAACATTATTGTTAATGAAGTGTAAAAATAGCTATAACCAATAATACCCTTTACCATATTGACTAAATATAAGAATTTCCCCCACTTGATCACTCCTGTGTGCGCGCGCTTTCCTAAATATACCTAAAAATGAAAGCACAGAATCAAACGAAAACCACATGCCCTATTATAATTCACATTCCTAAAAACAAAGTCAACTTTATATAAACTTCCAGGAACTGATTTTACTGTCTCCAACACAACCTTGTAGAATGACTCAGGGTTTATGGAAGAGTGGATGTTTAATATGAATCATCTGATCACCATAAATTAACACTGAGCTCTTGGCTTCCTGGACTTGGGCCTAACGAACACTCTTTCAAAAGGAAGAGAGAAAACACAACCACTTATAGAAGTCCAGGAGTTTATTATTGAAATTTAAAACAATTCCATAAAAGTACAGAGCACCTATTTGACTGAGGGTTGTCTACAGTGGTCAGAACCATTACATCATCCCTGTATATTAGCAATAAATTAATGTGTTTATAATATTATAGCTTGAATATACCGCTGTGTGATCTGAATAAAAGTGCTCAAATCATGGTGAGGCAAACCTGCGTCTTCCCTTGAGTAAATTGGCCAAAAAATACGTTTATTCAAAAATAAATACATCCAGGCTAAAAATAGAACGGCTTCATTAAACGTGAATAAAAATAGCTTTTCGAGTTCACCAGCAGCATCAACATTATCCATCCCATAAAAAACATGGAACTCTTGACATTCTCAGGCAAAAAATAAAATCTTTCTGTACAAATGAGTCAGGCATTATTTCATATTTGTTCAAAGAAAATAACACACAAACTAAAGTACTTCTCTGAGCCTCTGGGAGATTTTTACGAAAACAAAAGTGTATAGAGGCTTGCATAGGAAAGAGGTGCTAACAGTGCTAATGTATACATCTATGCGTACAGGCTGCATAACCGGGGAGATTCAGTGAGCAACAGCTTTACTGCAAGCAAAATGTGCAAAACTGTGATGGGACACGTCAACACCGGGAATAAAAGTTTTGTATTTTAAACACGAGATTGAGAAGCAAAAGGCTTTTTTTTCCTGTTTCTACTACAACCGTCTGTAAAGTCACGACACATTTACTATCAAGGCGAAACTCTGAAAACTAGAATGTCGTTCAAAAGTGAATTCATTTCTGTGATTTGACTTCAACAAGTGAATCCAAAATATGATATAGATTCACTACATGCAAAGGGACATATGCAAAGATTTTTTTTTTTTTGTTGTGTTGATGATTTTGGCTTACAGTCCAAATAATCAATTTTTTAATTTTTTTAACATAAGCTAGGAGCCAAGTATCAACATTATAAACAAATAGTCCTGGGACATGTTAGCTGCACATTTTAAGCTAAAGTACACAGAAGTAAATGGACTTTTGAACGCTACTAATCTTTTGAGTTTCATCTGTATTTACTGGTCAGTGGTCAATAACATTCGCTACGCAGTGGTGAAAGAGTTAGGCCATATTGTTTTATACACAAGAAATGACGGCTGCAACTAGTCGTTAGTGAAATACTAATTTAGTTATCGATCATTCCTTCATTTTGAACTCCAACATGCTGAGAAGAAGACGTACAGGTGAAACTTGAGTTGAGTTAAAATTAGAATATTGTTAAAAAGTTCATTTATAATGTGACACTAGTATACGACAGGAATCCTAGTAACGGGTTTGTAAAAAAAAAAAAAAAAAAACAACAAATAAAAAATCTCAAAAATTACAATGTTTTGAAAATGGACTGTAAGCCAAAATCATTTCAAAAACAAAGGCGATATTCTATCTTTCCCAGTTTCACCGGTATGACTCTTCTATAAGGACTAAAATGGACTAACAATGTGTTTACCGAGTATTTCCAATCAAACAACCCAAATTGTAACAAATCTGTGCGATATTCTCCAGCGCCATCACTCTGCATTGGTCAAATGTATACACACTGAAAATACCATATTCACTGTCTTTCGGGGATCACTGACCTTATTAACCTTCCATTAATCGGAAGATTTTTTTTTGCCAACTAATCGATTAACCAAAATTGTTGTTATTTACAACCTTTCAAGCAGTGGTTCTCATACTGGTGACTGATTACTGATGAATCCAGTGACGTCCATACACTGGCCACTCCACGGTCTGCAGACTTTCTCCGATGGTTTCACTTTTATCCGAACATGGAAGCTGGTATCCAAAGTGATGCGTTACCACGGAAAAGGGCAGTCGATGTGGCGTGAGCGGACTCCGGAGTGAGGCAGGTAGTAAGTGTAAACGTAGAATTATCCTACATACAGTAAATGAGATCAACACAAGAGCTCAGCTGGACGACACGCCGGCTTCCTTCTGCCGCAGACGCTCTTTCTGTTGTGGGAAAAAACATGTAAAGTCTCATCAGGTCACAGAGCAATGCCATGGAGTGGTTTGTGTTTTCACAGGGACAGTGTAAAAGTTATGGAAGATTCTGCTCTGCCCACTCCGTTTCAAGTCTCGGCTTAAGACCCCGTTTTAATCTCTGGCTTTTTAACATCACGCAAGCTGTATGGTCCATGTATTTTATTTTATCATTATTATTATTATCATTATTGTTATTAATATTATCACTTTTAGTAAGTAAGTAATCTTTATTTATATACCGCCTTTCTCAGACCAGAGTCACAAAGCGGTTTACAATTGTTTTTGGGCATTTATCACTCACTCCACACAGAGATGGGAGCGGGGTCGCCAGTACAGGAGGCACATAGGCCAGACCTTGTACATGTTTTTAGTGGTAGGGGAAACCGGAGCACCCGGAGGAAACCTACGCAGACACGGAGAGAACATGCAAACTCCACTCAGAAAGGCCCTGTTCTGACCTGGATTCGAACCCAGGACCTTCTTTTATTATTTTTATCAGTATCATTGTCATTATTATCAATATTATCATTACTATCATTGTAACTTATCATAATTAGTATCATCATCATTATTATTGTCATCGTTTAAATTGTATTGACTGATTTTATTGTTTTAAACCAGTGGCTACAGAGAGGGCATTTTAGTTAATTTTGTCTGCTGTTGGTGCCCATTTTCTTTTCTTTTCGTTACTGTCTGAAAAGTAGATGGATGCATGACATACATCACAAACAATATCAGACAACAGTTTTTATTATTGAATTTAACATATAAACACAAGACAGAACTTACCAGGCTGTTAGCGTTGACCTTTTTGGTTTCAACATGCTTATCTGCTGTTATCTTCTTTATGTTTTCTTGAGCTTCCTTTAACCTGTCGAGAAAAAATGATAATACACATGAGAGAAGGGGGACAAAAAAAAACTCTGACATTTTACAAAGCATGTCTATACAACACAATATCTCCCACCTCTCCCACTATTTTCACGTGATATAAAACTAAAGAAGGACAAAATTCATGACTCTTGTGAAATGTGGTGGCCTGAAAGATCTCAGACACCCAATATTTGTATTATCAAATAAAAAAATTACATTCGTTGATTCAAAGTGTTTGTTACTATCAGAAACAACTTGATAGATACGAATAAAAACATCTTTAAATCTGTTACCATAGAGGTATAAGGTCAGAGAGTGTTTGGGCCTGTGTCTTGTCAGGTTGTAATGAGAAGTCTGAGAAGTTAGAGCCAAATATGGGTTTGCTTCGTCCAACTTCATTTACAAACTGTTTATTTATCTGTTTGTTTTTTATTGTTTAAAGTTCTATACATTTGAAATAAAAAGTATACTACCTACTGCTACTTTTCTTCTAATAAATCAACTTTCCATGCTGCAAGGGGTCACACTTATAGAAGTTGTGAAAGCCAAGTTATTGGATTTATTCAAGTAAATTTCGCAATTTACTTCAATACATACATAAATCCAGTTCCACGTCCTGTGGAGATACAGTAAGAAGCAGACACAACAGTTTGAGCAGCTCTGGGCCCCTCCCTCCTCATCCCAGTGTTTATCAGCTCTCCCATTACGTTGAGAGTCTCATCAGAGGGCAGTAAAGGTAGCCGGCCGGTCGGGAGGTCTGCAGAGCTCAGAGGAATGTCTGCCCAAACACACGGCCCGGGTCAAAGGCAGCACATAAATCCAGGCCCCGGGCTGAGGCCTCAGGACCTCTGCTCCAAGGGCCTCCTGCTCACGCTTCATTAGAAAGGAGCTTCTGTGCAGTCATTACACTTACACACTGCAGGCGGCTGGAGGAGCCGACTCACTCTCAATCAGACGCACTTCCATTCCAATCAACAAGAACTCCCAGAGCAGTCGCTTTGACGGCTTTTAATTTAAGAAGTATTATTGCTCGGCTTATGTTTGTTTTCGGTCGTCAAAATGTTGGGCCTTTTTCAGTATATTTTTTGCAATTATGCTCAAGACAAAATTAACCGTTTTGAAACTTTATGCAATTATGTTTATGAAATGATCTTAACCCTAGACTGGTCCTGAACTGGTCCTGAACTGGTCCTGGACTGGTCCTGGACTGGTCCTGGACTGGTTCGGCAATCTCAGCTTGGAGAAAGTGCTAGTTACCCTAGCTAGCAACGCACTCTTTTACTTGCTGTATTAAATTATATCAACCAGTTTTAGCATGAATTAAAGATTAGAAAATGTAAGAATTACTTAATAAAAATAAAAAACAGTGACAAAAAGAAAACAGAATTCAATAAAATTGAATGGGAGCCATCAAAATGACTGCTTTGAGAGTTCCAGCAGTTTCAGAATTCTGGAGGTCCTCGTTTCACAACAACCATTTAATTAAGGAATAATTTTACAAACAAAAAAACCCAACATATTTACATAATTTTAAAGCAGGAAACAGAAAAAAAGATTGTAAAACCTTGTTGTTTAATGAGCCACCGTAGTCCTCGGGTTATTGAGCGCAACTTTAGTCAAATTACTCAAAACCTCAAAACTGTGGTTATTAGAAAAAAAGCAACATTTTAAGGATTGGGCCATTACCAAACTGTTCCACTTCTGTGTGAAGAGAATAACCCAGATTAGTATCCAATCCAATAAACTGGTGACAAGCGTGATTTCATCCTCACTAATTTAATATCAGTTCATTTTGAGTATGTTTTCAGAGTATTTCTAAAATGCCTGGATTTTTTACCTTTACAATATGCTTTGGTTTTTGCCCTTAGTCTTAAAGTCCCTCAATAAACCCTGTCATCCTTTTAAAACAACACTTAAATTATACACCAATACCACTTTTTTAAAACCAATTTGAGTAAGAGTACTTTCATTTGAGCACTTGCCGATACGGAAAACCGATACGAGTACTACATTGTCCACTATTATCCCCGGGAATTCATAAAACTAATACAAATTCAATTTAGAATGTTTTTCTCATTCCTACAATAGGAAAATGCCTTCAACATTTCAACAATTGTCTTTAACAGTCAACAATCAGAGCTATTGTCACATTCCACTCATACAAATGCTGTGTTGTAGAGTTGGTTGTGTTTCTGGTGTTATATGTGTTTGTTTTGGACCCACCTTATGACAGTTATGCCTTACACAACGTACAGTCTGCTTTACTCTTGCCACTCGTTTACTCTAAAAACTGCTGTACGGCCGACATCCGCTTGCCGCTAAGCTGCCGCTAATCGGGTCCAAGCCTACGGTATCGGTGCATCCCTAACTAAACCTTTCCACAGTTCGTATTTTAGTATCAGGGTATTGTAAATAGATGTGTCTGTGTGAGTGCAGCACATGGCACAAAGCTCACCTCTCCTTGGAGATGTTCTTGCTCTGTTTCTTCCAGGTGTTTTTAAAGTCGTTGCAGAACTCGAACCACAGCATGAAGATGTAGTTGGCAGTCACCTCCTTGTCACCTGATTTGGGCTTCAGCCCAAAGTAGTTCACCATGTCCGTGAAACTGAAGGAAACAGGGAGAAATCAACATGGACCACAGCATTAAAGGGTGAGGAGTAAGAGGTGAGAACCAGAATCCCAATTTTTGCATTGCCATTGTGAGTTACAAGAAGTCACAAGTGAGGCTTTGGCTCTGGTGCAAACAAGTTAAAAAGTAAAACTAGAATAAAAACTGAAATGGAGACATGTTACACAAAGTCTGAACTCTCTACTAATTCTATTAAATAAGCTCCAATATGTCATAAGGTAGATAAGAAAATAAAAACATTACAATTGAAAATTGGTTTTGCATCGAATATATATATGAATACAAAATGTAATCCTGGTCTGCTCCCTCTTCTTTTATGATGCAAATTGATTTGCAAAAGGTTTTAACAAAACCTTTATGTTTTTGTACATTTGTGTACAAACGTTTGTGTGTGTGTGTGTGTGTGTGTGTGTGTGTAATATGCGTGTGTGTGTAATATGCGTGTGTGTTGTTTATGTTAATAAATATTCAAAAAGCAGTCATGATTTTGCGGTTACCCCTCACTTCAGTGGCTAAAGGGGATCTTGATAAACCAAACTAAAATACATGTCACAACGTCTTCTGTAACCAAGCAGCATAAGGACGAGGTCAAACATGTCAATACAAAAAGAGATTAAATGCCTTTCAAAAAAGAGTGAACACATATGAAAACCCCAATTTATATGGTGAGATACAGTACAGTCCCATTTCCACAAAGCACAAGAATGACAAGACAAGATGTTGTTTGATAAACTGGAGTCCATCACATGATCACATATTCATTTCCCTGTCATTGAAAGAAAGGAATCGCAGCAGAGATCCTTTTTGTCCAAACGTGAATCATGTAATCACTGTCAGTGTGTGCAGGATCTCAGCACGGAATCAAACTTTGTCCATCTCGGCATTTGAATCGGCTAAGCCACTCCGAAACGATAGACTCTCATCAGGTCACACCTAAAAGCTACAATTCTAGTTCTACTAGTTCTATTTTATTATCTTGGTAAACTATTGCATTTACTTTTTTATTTACATTTTGCACTGACCAACTAATTGAGAGTAACATGTTGTTTATACAAGACATACAAAATGAACAATATGCTGGCCAGACGCTTGAACCATAGCCTGCTTCCCATTTCCTAGAGATGCCGTCATTTCGCTTGGACGCTTGAAGAGTGCAGTCGATCATTCCTCCAGGAGAAAAGGCCTTTGGATTCAGCAGGTACGGATCTGTCTACGACACGACCAGCTCCTCTCTATCAGCTCTCCTCTCAAACCCGGGTCGTGGGGTCAAACCTTGCACAAATCAAATGCTTTCACTTCAATTCTTGAAGAGACTCACGCGAAACAGATGCGAAGGAAAGCTAAACAAAATCAGGAGGAAATGGCTTCGTTTGTGAGCGGTGGACAGTACAAACAGGTCCACACTTCGCTAATGCCCCTATGATGTCGTTGGGTTTACTGCGGTCAGAATTCCTCACTGACAGTGAGAGAGAGAAAAAAAAGAAGAAGAGTCATGGCAAAAGCAGAAGCGGCCGGGAGAGGGAGGCGAGTCTGTGGGCATGCGTCTGCTTCTTCAGTCAAAAGAGAGTGGACTGGATGGATGATACGTGAACGTGCCAAGTTGGGGAAGGTCAAGAAGGAGTTTGGATGCAGACCGACAAGAGCTGGAGTCTGGATGCTCACAAACATGAGACAAAACAGGGATAACTTGCGATAAATAAATCAGGTTGCCTTAGTGGTATTTGAAGCACGAGTCCAATGCAAAACACAGTGAAATTGCATCTTCCCATCATCGATAAAAGTCAAAACATGATAACCCATTTCAGATTTATACTGTTGCAGCAAATATGTCATAATACTACAATAATGTTTATGCTCAGCCTCATTTTTAAACGGCCCATTTATTGAATACTTTTGGTTAATACTTTAAAAGAACCAGTGCAGCAGATTACCGTCAAACAAAAAATCATGAATTGTGGCAATGTGGCTGTGGAAGAGCTTGTGAATAATTAACTTTTTTCTACTTGTTCACAAATACATGAGCTAATTGTCTATATATACCGTACATTTTGTGTTCTACTTGTGTGTGTTCCTACTACTGTCCTGTGCGTGCATTTTTAATTTGATAAACGGTAAATATTTGAAATGGTACGTGGTAAGTGGTGGGTATTTTATACGCCTTTGCATCTCCCCACACAAAACATTGGTGCTTTGCTTTTGCCGGCTCAGGAATCGAACCCGAGACCTTCTTGCTGTGAAGCCTGAGGGCTACCCGGTCAGACACCGCGTTGCCAAAAATATTGTCGTTTGTGAGAGTGGTTGTTACGTAAAACAGCCTCCTCCTCCGCTCCTCACTTTGACGTAGTGGCCTGTAAAGACGGTGCATCCTCTGGAGACTAAGGAGGACATGTTCAGGAGCTCTAAGTACGTGATGTCTAGTTCCTCATTAAAACTGGACACTGAGGTCGGAGCCGCTGCTGCCACTGGACCTTCTGCAGCTGATTTGTCATCCGCACAGATGTGAGAGCCCACCCAGCGCCCGAGAGCCCGCTGACGCCCATATTCATCAACAGCGTGTCACTTTTATGAGGTGACTCGGTGGGAAATGCCCCCTCTCCCCTGTTTGGCCTGCTCCAGCCAGCGCCAGTCGGCCAGTCCTCTTCACATTCAATTAAAGTAAAGTTCATTAAAGCTAAAAGGTGCTATCGGCCCCAGGTTACATTGGATTGATATTTACCTCAAAGTTCAATGGCATTTGTACACAGTGGTGTCAACTATGTACATGTATGCCTTAGCCTTTACAATGGGTGCACTTAAAAAGCTCTAGTGAGAACCGGATCCAACACCTACTTCACTTTCATTTGATTGAATAAGGCTTTTTTTGCTGCCTATTTGCTAGCATGTAACAAACAATCCAGATCCTATTGAGGCACGGCGAGCAAATGCATTTAAGAGTGCAAGGAATATATGCGTTTATTAGAACTGTCTGAATTTGGACGCTTATCGCCGACTCATTTGATCATTGTGATGAAGTGCACAGTCCCTCACGCGTTTCATTGTTTTGTTGTTACGTGAGGCAAAAGCATGAAACATGTGGTCTTTAATTGCCCTGCGGAAATTAAATTACTTGCGGCGAGAGTTGAGCAAGTGTGAAAATCGAATGCTCCACGTAAACAAGATGTCGTGTGATTACGTTTGCCAAAAATGTGTTTACGACGTATATCTAATAGAATCTTTATTGTTCGAAAGTGCTAAGGCAAAGATACGAGATGTCTTTGAAAGCGTCACAAGGCTCGGCAGGGCTCACGGACAGAGGTCAAGTTTGAAAATATAGCCCAATAAATTCTGTTTTTGACTTCATGTAAGCTCCCAACGTGACCCATTCTGGCATTTGTTTTTAACCGAAACTAGGTAAAAATAACAAAATGCATTAGTAAAATCTCAAAGGGCTACACTTTCAGCTGGAGCACACAAATCGGCACATTTTAACTATTTTAACGGTAAGCGTTAATGAAGAAATACAACGTAATAATTTTTACCCATCAAACATGAAACTATTTACTTTGTCATTTCATGTTTTAGAAGGTGGAATTAATGACTTAAGTGCAAAATATATAGTGAAACAAGTATGAAGGGTAAAACTGTAATGTGCTGTGTACGAACAGAGAGAGGATCAAATGGCTGTTCTTGTCCTAATATGAAAATTACTTTCTGTAACTGCAGCCATGTGATTAAAAATAAATGTCTGAAGTGAAGGTAATTTCACTTCAGACATTTCCAAAACTAATTTAGGGGCAGTACTTCTGTTTTAAAGGTAGAAATACATACGACTATTACAGGACTAACTCAGGGGCTTTTAGATAGAAGGTGCGGCGTTACATGTATTTGCTAATATTAAGAACTAAATACGTTCATAATACTAGTGTTGATGGATCTAAAACAACTCCAGGTCTGTCTTTGATGTGGGAACAATGTTGTAACAAAGTCAAAATTTGCATAATATGTCTCCTTTAATAAATGATCAACACTCAAATGTCAACATAAGACCATAACACAATAATATAAAGTGTCATCCCGAGCGACTCCTTTGGCCTAAAACACCACCTTGAAACAAACTGGAACCTTCTCCAAAACTGAATTATGGTATTGTCCAGAATAATCATCTTCCAAATTGTTTATAGTTCCCATTTTCTTGTGTCCGGCCTTGTTCGCTTTCTCCTTTATGTGCTTTCGGTGATTTATTTTGGAGCGCTACAATTTAAAGCAAACAATTCCACTCCCTGTCCAAACAAGGCGAAAAAAAATAATCGTCTGGCTTTGTTTGTGCGTTACACCATCTTTTTCCAATATGAAATGTTCCAGATATGATTTGGTTTGAACACAAGCGCAGCGGCTGCCAGTGTGTCTCGCGCTCATAAATCAGACGGGCTGGAGGACTTTAGAGAGGCCCGAGCATAAAACATGGCAGATAAGAGACATCGGATGAGGGGGAGGAAGCACAGGGTGTCCGGCCCTAAACGCTCCGCACCACATGTGGTGGGCGCGCGGGGGATAGGGGCAATTTATCTTCACGGCTAAGCGCTCGGCGAGAAGATTTCACTTGCAATCAAAGCAACGCTAAGTACTGTACAATTTGAGCCTAGTGGTCATCATAAAGTGCACATGGTAGATTCCAAACAAGATTCTGCCCCCTAGTGGTAAGTGTAAGCAAAGCACAAGCCAGTTATAAAGCAAGAGCGTGGGAATAGTTGTAAGTTTGAGGTTTCCAAGACAAAAATACAAGAGTGGATTTTGTTAAAAAGGACATGACGTTCAAATTAGACTTTTCACAGCTTTTGAACGTACAAAAGCTGGGCGGCACGGTGGCTGAGTGGATAGCACTCGCTTCTCAGCAAGGACGTCCTGGGTTCGAATCCCAGTCGGAACAGGGCCTTTCTGAGTGGAGTTTGCATGTTCTCCCTGTGTCTGCGTAGGGGTGCTCTGGTTTCCCCTACCACTAAAAAAGTGGTAGGGGATGTTCATTGCGAATACTCTGACCAAATATTTGTAGTCATTTAGGCAGTAATAAAACTGTTTTCTAGGCCTTTGTTTACATGTGGGTCAGGTGGAGAAGGTCATAAAACTAGTCACACGATGAACAATACTTTGCATAACAACAGTGTTAGCGAAACGAGCCGTGGAGCCGTGTTTGGGTGAGTGAAGCCCTTATAGTCTGATTTTGGGCTGCACGTGCTGCTCTTGCCTTTAAAACAACTTTTCAATGTCTTTCTATTGCTCCATGCGGATGAAACACTTGCTGTAGTATATCATATTGAGATTCCCTGAATGCAGTGTGCGACGACTTTAGAAGACTTTGAAGATTTTGAAAGTCTGGCGTTTGTTATATTCTATTTTTGTCTGATATTTTGACACCTTCCTGTCTTCTTTGTGGTGAAAAGTCTAAAAAACTTGCCAAACCTTTCCCACAGTTGTCCTGGGTCGATACACTGGAAAAACAACATGCATGTTTGAGTCATTTATATTCTCCCATAGCAGACACCACTTCTTCTGACTCCTCTGACCACAGCAAACCACCCACAGTTTTACTTGCTGATTTTATTTTCCTGAGTCTATCATATGAAGTTGAATAATTCTAGCTGGAAGGGGAAGCACATCTGCTGATCACTAAGTGTTTTATGTCTCCAGTTTAATTGTGTGGATGATTTGTGTGATGATCTTTTGTCTTTTAAATGTCGTATATTAGTCTTTGTATTTTCTTGATCTGCCAGGGACTACAGATGGAAAGTAGCCATTGGCTAATTCTGGCATATTTACATTTACATGTTCATTAATATGCATTGTCCCTTTAAATAAATAAATAAATAAAAAATAAATAAGTTAAGAAGAGCGATTAATCTGATGTGACCACCTTTCCACAGAGCGAGACTGTTTCTTTTATGACATTGTTTTAGATAAATATTGTGATTTTAAATGTACAATTTTATTTTTACTGTCACTATATAGAAAGTTGAATATCACAAACTAAGAGGAAACAAAGTGCACGATAGAACAGTAACTAATCATTAATGCAATAATTTCCAAAACTATATGACCTATTTATTTATTTATTTTGTATCTTGAACCTATTATTTATTATGATGCTGATTTTGACCAAACAGACTTACTTACTTTCCTACTTATGTTTTTTTCCTGTAATGTTCCTTTTTGTTTTTATTCATTTTTGCAGATCTGTGTAGCATTGTATTTTATAAACTTTATCTTATCTTAACTGCTTTAAAATCAATGTGTATCTCAAGGCATGGAGTATCTCTTTGGGATGGATCAGCAGATGATTTATAAAATGTTCATACCTGATTGGATAAAAAAAAAAACTGTTTAAAACTAATTATGTGGAGGAAAGAACGATGCCTTCAGCACAGAGCGAGTGCTGTGGGAGGGGTGTAGGGCCGGAGAGTGTTTTGGCCCCTAGAATTATTCTTGACGTTTTAATACAAATAAGGCCCATGAGTGAAAAAATAAAATTGTTGACATTACCTTTTCAGTGCTGAGTTGAGTCTGTCCTCCTCAGTCAGATGGTCTTTCTGGGCTGTGAGAAGAAAAACACTATTCTTTAGATACGGCAGCTAAGATCCACAAACATAACTCTTATTTACACTCTGGTCCCGTCCGTCTGGGGGCGCTGTCTGCAGTACTGAGGTGGGCTCAGGGGTCACAGAGGGAAACATGACCCTCAGTGAATGCATTGACACATGGAGAGAGTGGATGTGTCTAGATACATGTAAGAATCATAGGTTTGTGAAGGCTTCTGTTGCTGCTACCATGTAAAAGTGTCCAAATGCAAGGCAGATGTGAGCGCTGGGCCAGACTGAGGTGCAAGAATTTATCTAGGGCCAGAGTGAGCCTGTGATCTCAGATTTATTGCATTTTTCCAGATTCATCCTTTTTACAATGATGGGGGACCTTTTTCTGCTTTAAGATTTAAGAGGTGGAAGTCTCAAAAATGGTTCAAAGGCAGGTTTTGGGGGTCTATTGGGAGAAGGTGAGCTTAAACCACTGAGCGTCTTGGATGATTTTTTTCTTCTCTTTTTTTTTTTTACATGTGAGGTAATGATGTCTGGCCATTCAGAGGGAGGGGTAGTGGCCAGTGGCGTTGGTCCCAGCGGGGGTGGGCCTGGCGCCTGGGGTCCCCTCTGGTGGGACTGAGGTGGGACATCGGCCCACCGCTCCACGGAGGGGCTGAGGATGTGTGAAGTTTCTCTCCCCCGCGCGCACCATGTAAACATGAAACCAGTAGTCGCTAACTAGAAAGTTATGAGACGTGCATGCTGAGCGGGACAATAAATTAGGGCTTTAAAACTCTCACACACTTTTCCAAACGCCAGCTTGTACCGAGCAGCCAGATCACAAAGTCTATGTACAGAAATAAGCATTGGGGTCACTGTCTAATATTATACTGCATTTGGAAAGATCTACACCTGAAAGTAAACAAACAAACACACAAACAGGGCAAACATCTGAGCTCCAGGGCATGTAAAACAACATATCCATGTCTAATTAGTTAGGGTTAGAGTGATATTAACTTTTCTGCAAAGAAGGGTGAGTTTTTACACCAATCAAATGTTACAAAATACACAAACCTGTTTCATGTCAAATGGATTCATTAATTATTTCATTTTAGTATGTTGAGGCTTCAGCTTAGAAATGCCAGCTTAATAGAAATGCCCTCTCCATTTGTTTCAATTAGATCATGAAGATTAGGTGACGCTAATCTTCTATTATCTCTGAATTTTATTTTAAAAAATTGTATACATTTATTTTGATTTAGATAAAAATGGATCTTCAATAAATGAAATATAAGTGCATCAACAGTGTTGTATTTTAAAATAGGGTGCAGCATTAGATCAGGATCCAAAGGCATTTCTTTTTTTACTGAATCGTATCGTTTAGGAATATTGTGTATCAAATATTATTCAAAGTCCTGTGTATCTAGATATGTATCTTATTCTGTTATGCGTTGGGAATGAGCAGGTTCTGTAAGATACAGTCCCAATTAACACGTGAATGTGAACAATGGTTCACTTCACGATTTAAAAAGTCTGTAAATCTAAACATTGCTCAGACACAACTTGTCAGACATAACTGCTCTTCAGATGTGGGATCTGAAAACTGATTATTCTGTGTTCATCTGTTGTTGGTAGTGCAGTAAAACACACTGCCAGCCGTTTTAATTTGGAATAATTCTATTCAGCCGTTTGAGGGAAAATGAAAAAAAAGGTTTTTAGGATAGAGCCAATAACATTGGGCCTCATTCACGAATAACTTCGTAAGAAACTACTCAACTTTCTTCTCAAGTTGTCCTTAAGTAGATTTCTAAGAAGTCCCCACGTGGGATTCATCAACGCACTCGTAAGCCGCTGAATTGTTCGCAGCTGTTCTCTCAGATTGATGAATCCCATTTCCTCTTAAGTACAGCGCGCGTGCCCGGTGCTTCATTACCATAGGTACTTAGCATAGGTAACCGCCCACTAATGCCCATATAAGGGACTGCAGGGCCGTGTGCAGACGCCAGAGGAAACAGCAACAGGCCTAAAGCAGGCTTTTGCCAGACTGAGAATAAAGTTATAAAATGTTGACTTAAAAGTCGAAATATTATGATTATAAAGTCGAACTAGCAAAATTATGAGATTAATCTAAGAATATGATGAGATTAATCTCAAAATGTTATGAGCTTAATTTAAAAATATATTATGTATTATTTTAAAGATGAATCTCAAAATGTTTTGAGATTAATCTCAAAATATTTTGGACCCTGGGAGGAGATCCAGCGCGGACCAGCGCTGAGACCAATGCAGACCCGAGGAGAGACTGGAGTGACCAGCACACAGAAACCAGCGCGGACAGGAGAGACCGCATAGACTGGAGACACCTGACTGGAGAGACCGGTGCGCAGAGACCAGCGCGGACCGAAGAGAGACCGCATAGACCAGACTTGAGAGACCAGCGCGGACCCGTATGGATCCATGGGAGAGACCAGCGCAGACCCGTATAGATCCATGGGAGACACCAGCGCAGACCCGTATAGATCCATGGGAGAGACCAGTGCAGACCCGTATACAGTAGATCCATAGGAGAGACCAGCGCAGAGACTCAGCGCGGACCCAGTAACCTCCTGCAGCAGCAGTATATATGCCGTTGTTCTGTGGCCCGTGGATAAAGAAATGCCCCCTATAAATAGGAAGGGGTCACTAATACACGGCAAGATTTCCAATGTATTTGATAAAGCGTTGGCACATTTCATTTCAAAATGAATTAAAAAGTAGGCCAGATCTGCAGTGAAAAAGGCGGTATATAAATAAAGATTACTAATAAAGATTACTACAAATAAATAAATACATACATCGATATGACGGACATATCACTGGAATGTTGTATTTTTATTCAACTTCACCAAAGAGGACAACCCCGGCGTGTCGGCACTGAATGCGTACGAGTGCTCCTGAGGACTCGTAGGATTTGTACTTGCCCAAGTGAAATTCTGGTTACGAGAAATATTCGTGAATGCCACTTTCTTCGTAAAAACCGCGTAAGTAGGATTTACGTACAAATCTGTTCCTAAGAACCGTTCGTGAATGAGGCCCATTGAGTCCATCAGGATGACATTAGAACATACAGAAAAATTGCTGTCGAGCTAAATTTATGTGGAATTGTTTGATGAATTGTTGTAGAACAAATAGTTGTGCAGCGATAGTTGTCTGTAATTTACAGCCACGTATATGCAAGTACTTATCCATTCTATTCCAGCCAAAAATGTTAAAGCAGAACACTGGATTCAAGCCTGGGGCAGTCTTTGTGAATCTGTGCTCTCCTTTTGCAGGAAACAATCATTAACAACATCCGATTATTAGTCCAGCGACTGGACGTCACTGACCTCCGCCTGGAAGAGGGGCAGCCTATAAGTCTGAGTCACCGACAGCCCACACACTAATCTCCAAACATCACACACTATTCCTTTTCAATTAGCCATGATCTGCTCCCCACAAAGAGAAAGCTGTCAGCCAGTACATCCCTGCAGTCTACAAAACTATGAAAGATAGTTGATTAAACATTGCAACATGGAGATTCTTTGTCTTAATGGCTAAAAATAGAAATACTTTCCGACAATCCATTCAACAAATTGGATTAAAAAAAAGGTCTAAAATATGTGGGAAAGCTTGAAACGGAACAAAAGCCAACAGACAACATTATGGCTGAATGGTTTTTAGACGTGGGAGGGGTCACACTCTGTTCAGGGGGTATAGGGCCGTTTAGGTTCACCTGAGACACTTCACAGGACAGATATGGGTCAGTGGAGTTTGCAAACGTAGATGGCTTTGTATGATTACCGATGTACTGCACAAGGATAAAGCTGATCAACGAATCAAGCCGTAAGTATTGCACATGGTCTGATTGGTATGTTTTTCATTTTCTATTATATGAACAAGTTTATATTTTCTCCCAAATTCCAGACAGAAGTCTAGTGTAAGTGCATGGCACATGTTGGGACGAATTTTCTAGATCCTCTCCGTGTGGGGGCCACCAATGAGTCCTGGCTGACCCCCCTAACTGACCAATCAAAAGCGACGTGTGTGACATAATTAGGGCTGATATATATTAATATTGGGATGTCTCTGATTGGGCTCTGATTCCGTATGTGTTCTGTGGTGTATGTTCTTTTTGGAATGTCTCTGTATATACTGTATCTTATACCTTTGTTTTGTTTAGTGTCACTGAATGTCCTCTTTTCATCTATTTGGTTTATACTTTGAATATTAAACCACAAGTATAGTATCGTTAAAGTATCCATCCATCCATCCATCCATTTTCTTCTGCTTTATCCGTTGCCGGGTCGCGGGGGCAGCAGTCTAAGCAGAGACGCCCAGACTTCCCTATCCACACACACCTCCTCCAGCTCGTCTGGGGGGACCCCAAGGCGTTCCCAGGCCAGCTGAGAGACATAGTCCCTCCAGCGTGTCCTAGGTCTTCCCCGGGGCCTCGTCCCGGTGGGACGTACCCGGAACACCTCCCCTGGGAGGCGTCCAGAAGGCATCCGGAACAGATACCCGAGCCACCTCAACTGGTTCCTCTCGACGTGGAGAAGCAGCGGCTCTACTCCGAGCTCCTCCCGTGTGACTGAGCTCCTCACCCTATCTCTAAGGGAGCGCCTAGCCACTCTGCGGAGGAAGCTCATTTCGACCGCTTGTATCCGCGATCTCGTTCTTTCGGTCATTACCCAAAGCTCATGACCATAGGTGAGGGAGGGAACGAAGATTGACCGGTAAATCAAAAGCTTTGCCTTTCGGCTCAGCTCCCTCTTTACCACAACGGTCCGATACAGCGACCGCATCACTGCGCACGCTGCACCGATCCGCCTGTCAATCTCACGCTCCATCCTTCCCTCACTCGTGAACAAGACACGAGATACTTGAACTCCTCCACTTGAGGAAGGGCCACCTGTAGAGGGCACGGCACCTTTTTCCGGTCGAGCATCATCGTTAAAGTACTTAAAGCCAAAACTATCAAAATCCAGGAAAGCCAGATTGTTTGAGCGATAGCACTCTTGCTTCTCAGCAAGAAGGTCCTGGGTTTGAATCCTGGACGGAACAGGGCCTTTCTAAGAGGAGTTTGCATGTTCTCCCCGTGTCTGCGTAGGTTTCCTCCGGGTGCTCCGGTTTCCCCTACCTCTAAAAACATGCAAAATAGGTATTTTTATTTATTTATTTATTTGAATTAGGACAGTGCACATTAATCAACACGTCAGCCAAAAGCATCAATGTAAATGTACCAGAATTAGCGTGAGAGCTAAATTGCATCCGTTGTCCTAAGGCAGGAAAAGAAACATTGACAGAAGGAAAATACAAACATAGTACAGAGAACAGCACAAAGTTACAGTCACAGTTACAAGGACAGACACAGGTAAGATAACATAACACGCCCAAGAATTGATTAAGCATTGAACTTTAATTAAACTACCTGTGAGGGCAAGATTGATTTGAATATTGAGTGAATGAATGAAATGGATGTTGCTGGTTGGGGGCTTTGATGGGCCAGTGTGTTTGGTGTCTCGCTTCAGTCATAACCGTGAACTCTGAACATTGCAAAGTGCTTTGGATGACCTTGGTCACTGTTTGGAGCCTATAATGGACTTCTCATGAGATACTGATTGCAAAGGTGAAATCCCATTATTTTTGCCCTCTCTGACCTCTCTTCTGAACATCAGCAGACCAGGCCAACAGCCAGAGCAGCTATAAGTAAGTAAGTAAGTAATCTTTATTTATATAGCACCTTTCAAAGACCAGAGTCACAAAGCGCTTTACAATTGTATTTAGTTCTCTATTATCGACTCTTGTAGAGAACTGACCAAAGAAGGGCCACTCGACCATTTTTAGTGCCCCCCAAATTATTCTAAAGTAATGCTGTTAGCAATAATGGAAAGAGATTACAACCAACCTGGCCTTATATACCTAACTTTAAATGATATATTATCAAGAAGACGACCATGCCCTTTATTTCATTCCTGCTATTGTGATCCCATATCACAATAGCAATAGTTAAATACAAAAATACATAATTTGTCCGATCCTTCTATGCTTTTGGTTCAGTATTGGTTCACTCTAAATAATATTGAAATATACTCATTCTGTTCCAAAAATCTATAAGATATTCTTTGTCAAAATATATTCATAATACAAACAAATACATTTAAGAAAAACACAGATGCAAAACATGAGCTTCTAAAGTATACTTTTCACTGAGAAAGTTAAGGATTCTTTGGTGTAAAAAGTATAGCCTAAAAATATGAAAAACATGAAAAGGTTTGGCCCCTGGACCTCTTCTGCATATTCACTTTGGTCCCATGAGTCAAGGCCCCCCTGGTTAAGAACCTCTTTGCTCTGTGTACCCCTCTGCAGTGCAGGTAAGGCAGTACACCCCCTGATGTTAGGAGAAAACAATATTTCATGTTCCCTTAGGGTCAATTACATTTTGGTCGGTGGCACAACTTTTATTTAAGCTTTACTGTTACACCAAGGTCTCAAGTATTGACTCTTTTGCATCTGGTTAATAGATGTTTTCTTCCCCATTGTAGGTGTAATAAATGATTTTTATAAAACTCGAGAGAGAAAATACTCTGACTGAACCAAAACTGGACCAAAAGTAAGAAAGGCTTGTTTGTTTGTTGGCATTATTATTAATTCTATCATGAGCTAAATGTTTATAATTGAATGATGTGGTTGTTTTAAATTGATTGTCAATGTTTCTTGTTTTTAAAGTGGAGCTAGAATCTGAAAAGAAGAAATGATGAATAATACTTCATGACAATCATTTTAAGTCACCCCCCCATTGAGAAACAGAGTCTAGAAGACAGTAGCTGCAGGATCCAAACAAACACTGATTGACATAGTTGTTACTTGCCAATATCTCCCACATCTACATCTGCGTTCCCTGATCACATCTGTGTTCTAGAATCTATGATTCATGTGAGATTGTCCATGTTGCAGACATGGTGAAGTTGTTTGACTGGAACACAGTGGTCCAATATTTATCACATAACTGCCCCAATTACCTCTGTCATAATGAGATAGAAACAGGAGAAAACCCGGAGATGAATCACCAAGCAGTGAAAGATTTGAAGTCCACTTTGAGTCTAGTACTTTACTGTGTAACATGATAGAATTGTATATATTGGACTAAAGTTTGAGGACTGGAACATGTTATTCTTTATGACAGTGTCTTTGAGTTCATAAGCCATTGTAGCAAAGTCAAAGTAAACAGATCGTTACAGACGTTCCTCACTTATTATTAATAACTGTTCAATGTGTGAAGCATATGTATCTGCTCATTTACCTGAGAGGCCCGTGTCTGTGATGAGTCAGGTTTTAAGAGCTGAATGGCGCGGCTTTGAAGTGAGAAGTGTTGCTTTGTTTTGCCTTTTGAAGTCATGGAATCATCACGAACAATGATTACGCACCTCTGCACTCACCAGCGGCACCGCACCAAAGAATTCCATTTATGAAGTCCGCTTTTAAAGTATTCCCCCGGACAGTCTATGCTCAAGATGTGTCTCTGCACACAATAGTCACTGTGTGCCACTGACAGCTTATTAGACACAACACTGTGACACTAGCCATGGCTGTATAAGGATTAAAGAGAATGAATAGACAATAACGTGGCACATGGCCTTTCTAGGAAAAAACAGCACATACAAACAACTATGTAGGACTATGTAGGAATAAACGCAAAAAACAAATGTGGATTGAATTTATGGACAAAGCTGTAAAACACAAAAACTTGTGCTGCACTAATGTGGAATGAGGCAATTTAAAAATAAAGGGTGTAATATGTTAACTTTAACCCATGAGCGGACCTCAGGTCAAAATGACCCACCACAGAGATTACTCTAAAAGGGTCTAAATGACTCAGGGCTGGTCAAGTGAGGAATAATCATCAAAATTCAGCTCATAAAACATTTTTTAGGATATTTGACCCAAGGATGGCACGCGGGTTAAATGACATCTACATATTCGATACATCCCACTGTTTATCTTGGCCTTTTGTGTTTTGTGCACTTTGGAAAGGGATCAGCAGTGAGACAGTGAAAATAATGAATAAAACATTTCGTGAAGTCGGCATTGGTGTAATTTAGGTTTCAAAAAGTTGTCTTGAGTATATTTCACATGTTAAAGTGACGTGGCAGGACATGTTTGCGTAGCAAGAGGACGAACTCAAGGAGAGGAGTGACATGGTAACTTTATGACGCTCCCATGATCCAGAATGCGTTTCTAAAAGCTATGGCCGTGCAGGGGTCTCAGGTCAAAGCAAGACAGCTTGAAATAGCAGCAAACTATTTCTCAATAATTCCTGCATCCAGACGGTGCACCCGATCGCCTACAAAATGCTATCACTTGTTCATTGTGCCTTCACAAAGGTTTCCTGAAAATCCTGCCATTGACAATTCAGTATCTTTTGTCGATATACCTTTATATATATGACGTGGTGCAGAACATAATTGGAAGAAAACCTACTGGAGCTGGGGATGTCGTCTAGTCACGTATGGAACCCCTTCTTTTATGTTTGTGGTCGTAACATGACAAAATGGGCAAGAGTTCCAGCTGTCCAGACACTTTCACAAGGCTCTGTACTGTGATTACACTAGTCTAAAACACCATACAGAATGTTGCAAATGAGGCCGTGTTCTGGTATTTGGTGTAATAGTGTGGCTTGATAATACATAATAGTGTTGTAAAGTGCCTCAGAAAACACCCATGTTTAAAAGGTCACTTTCAGCGGAGCAGAACGTGAGATGGGGCTAACTCCAAACACACGGTGCAACATACAAGAGTTTTAGTAGTTCTGCAATAAGCGACGCACTCATCAGGACAGAGTATTTATGTAGGAGTAGCTTGCACATGAACTGAAATATTATGACCAATGAGAAAATGTCATGAGGGCGTGCAGACAGAAGTGTGATTGTTTGGTTCTAGTCCCTGTCCTGGTGGTCTGTGCTCTGATGGGCTGAGTCCGGAGCCTCTTTACAAGGCTCCCACTGGAGGAGTCCTGTGGGCTTTATGACCGGCCGGAGTACATGGAGGCATGTTAGGGGCAATGTGATCCCTTCTACGGGCCTGTCCTGGGCTGTCCTCATGTTGGCTTACAGCGCCAGACGCCCTCTCCCAGCGTGGACACACACACACACACACACACACACACATGCACACAGAGATCATACATGGGACAAAAACCCACACACACACAAGTACACAAGCAGGCACACTCACATACGGGCACACAAACACATACAAAATCAAATACATACACACAGACACACACTAATTCTATAGTGACTTCAGAATTAAAGGAAAAAGAATGTGTAACAACAACGTCATCTCTATGAAAATGTTATCCAGGGGCATCAACTAATACATTTATTGAAGAATTAACCAAAAGAATAATTGTCCAACTAATCAACTATCATAATAGACATTAATTAGAGCACTCACAGCCATTGTATATGTTCTGTGAGAAACTAAAACCTTTATCCAGACACTCAAAGAATAGCACTGCAGCCACAGCTTCTCTGGGGCAGATTGACAGAAGCTTGCACTAATTAAATACCATGTGAAATTTAAAAATTATATATTAGGCCTAAATGTAATGTATCAAAACAAGAACACTCACCATCACTGAGGAAGGCGTCCATCTTGGATTTGAATGGCTGAAGATGTTCCTCTGATGAGTTGCGACAAACTTTTTCCACATTCTTCTCACAGGCTGTTGGATACAGGAAATGGGACATAAAAATCAATAATTTCCTCATTCAAACTCATAACATGTGTGTTTATTTGTGTCTTGGTGATATAGTAAACAATATGGTATGCACTGCAGCCGAAAGAGCAAAGCATCATGACAACATCAACAACAGTCACACTTTTTAACTACACATCTATAACATTCCATATGCACAATATACATTTATAAGCATCTCATAAACACTGAATAAAGCTGTAGTGGAAACCAGGGTTGACACACAGGATAAGGCATTTCCATATCTCACACCTACTCATTTATAGACATCACACCACACACAATATACAACAATATTTAACACATGTTCCAGTGCTTCCATTGACATCAGCTGCTTTCTCTAGCCTCCATTTTATTAGCAAAGATCAGTTCACCTTTTTTTTTTATATGTGACTTTGCATGTTGTTATTGCTCCTATGTAATTAACGATTGCAAAAAGGCAAGCCAAGAACTCATTTAGACTGATCGGCCTGTGCCAAAAGCATTCGACGCACGAACACAGCGACAGGCCAGATCCCTGTGCACTGTAACAAGCTGCAACTCATTAATGGCAGTCATAAATACCTTCACTTTCTTATGAGTGCATAGCTAAATAGTGCAGCAACACAACAAGAGCCTCGGTCTGCTGCGTCATCACGTTGAGGAGGGAAAACCGGCTTCTCACGCTCCGAGAGGCACCTGCATCTCCACGACACGCACTTTTATGGAAATGGATGCGAATATACCGAACATAAAACAGCGGACAATATGCAACAGCTATTGGTTACTCATACAGGCACCGGTGCAGACAGGAAACACCAGTGAGACATTATTGTAGCTGTATACAAGATGACGACTTTAATAAAGGAGGATTATCTAAGCGAGGCGGGTGTTAGCCTTTTTATTTGATTAATGCATTTTCGAGCAATCCTGTAAATTTACTATAATTATCCATTGACTTGCTATCCCACTGTGGCACCTGGTGTTCAAGAGGTCTTCCATCCCACTAACCAGGCTCTGCCCTTCTTAGCTTCAGAGGTCTGACGAGATCTTGCTTTCTTATGCAGGTGACGCCACAATAATAATAATAATAATAAGTTCCAATTATTTTTGTTATTTTTTTTAGATGACGCATGAATCCTCCACATGCCAAAATAAGTAAAGGGAGGAGCGAGGTGTGCGGAGGTCAAGGGACTGAAGGGAGAGCAATGGCGGGGCGTGTGTATGAGGATATAATTGGCTCAAACATGCATGAATTGTACAAAAACAGTGTTGTGTGTGTAAATAGCAAGGGAAAACTGAAATCTGGCAAAAGACCCCTCTTTTGTCCTTAAGGCTCCTTTGGGCGAGCTGCAGTAAGCCTAGAGTAACATTGAAACCACAAAAAAAAAAACATTGAACAAATATTTACATGTCTTTTTGCGTGTTTGTGTCCTCCATTTCTACAGCGCTTTAACCTTTCATTCCCTTCTGTGGGACATTGTTACATGTATCATTGTAAACAGCAATCATCACTATACATCATATTATCATATCATTAAACAAAGTAGGAATCTAATAACAATATTTTGGAAATTTTGCAAATGTTATGTTATTATACCGATTCATAACTTGCTAATAAGAAACACATTTGTTTAAAGGGGACTTGTAGGAGCACAGTGTAATGTGCTGCTTTGACATCACAACCATAATTGTGTTATTGGGCCTTAAAAGTCAGAAGCAGAATTATGCCATTATATTATTTTACATGTCTGGGCTGTAAAAGGGCCACTTTGATGTGCCCGTGTCTGAGAGAGAATAATCTCCACGGTGGCATAACCCAAACCTCATCAGACATACACACAGGACAATGTAGTCTGGAATCAGGGCCTACGCAGGCTGTGGGGAGCCATCATCGCAGTGGAGAAGATTCTTGTGGCTGAGAAATTGGCGATAAGACACCTTTACAGACAGGAGGAGTCTGACCTTGTTAAAAGACAAACCACACACAAACTATGTTACACATTATAACACCACGCCAGCAATTAGAATTCAAGACATGTCAAGAAACTAAAAAAAATGTAGAAATTCAGCCCTGCTTTTAAAATTTGGTATTTTCTGTAATGTATATTTGTGTTAATCTTAACCAGTGAATCCATAACTAAACACCACAAGAACATTACATGTGTTCCAAGTATAACAGTCTTGTTCGGTTGTAAAACAGGGATCAGGCTAAAGGCTGTGTCTGGAGCTGACATTAAAAGGCTGTAAAAATCACTTCACTGTCCTCTGGCCGCGGTGATGGATGGCTAACTTCTGCAGCTTTTTAGATAAATCCGGTTTGATTCGAAGCAATTTCAGTAAACACTAAATGCTTTCAGGTCCCGATAGGCAGTAACGATGAGAAGACGGACCCATGGAGTTTGTAGTCTGGTGGTCTACAGTAGAGGCTGATCTCCCTTTGCCCCAAACCTGAGAAAAGCTCACACAGAGGTCACAACCCTCTCCCCAAACAGGAAGCCCCATCAAAAGAGGATCGTGTTTCTGCACAGGCCAGTGAGAGAAAGGGCAGAGGACGACCTACGGCTCCACGTTCACAGAACATGTCTGCCAACGAGCCCTTTCAATTAAAGGGGACATATTCTGCTAAATCAACTTTGTTTTTTTTTGTTTTTTTTTAAGCTTTGAACCATGTTACAATCTCTTCTCATTAATAGACCTGGTCCTATTGTCTCAGTCCCTTAATACTATGATGTCATTTTCTGACTTATACATGTATGTATATTTATATATCAGTTGGTAGAGCGTTGGCCTTTGAGCCAGAAGGTCGTGGGTTCAAGCCCCGCTCAAGACTTTCACCATCGACTCCCACTGACTACTGTCGTTGTGTCCTTGGCAAGACACTTAACCTCTGGGAACACCAGCCACAGTGGGGCGGCTGCGGCTGTAAAGTGCCAAACTGCCGTTGTGTCCTTAGGCAAGACACTTCACCCCCATTGCCTAGAATGAGTCTGTGTATGTGTGAATGGTTGGTGGTGGTCGGAGGGGCCGATGGCACATACTGGTTGCCTCGCTTCTGTCAGTGTGCCCCAGGGCAGCTGTGGCTACAGTAGTAGTTTATCACCACCGTGTTTGGAGTGAATAAATAATGACACATGTGAAGCGTCTTTGAGTTTCCAAAAAAGCGCTATATAAAACGGATGCATTATTATTATTATTATTATATATTAATAAAACAATTCTCACCTTTCGCCCTCCTCCGCGGGCGGTTATCCTCTCTAAGCTCGGGTCCTCTACCAGAGGCCTGGGAGCTTGAGGGTTCTGTGCAGTATCTTTGCTGTTCCTAGCACTGCACATTTCTGGACCGAGATGTCCGAGGTTGTTCCAGGGATCCGCTGTAACCACTCTTCTAGCTTTGGGGTCACTGCCCCGAGTGCACCGATCACCACGGCCACTACTGTCACCTTTACCCTCCAGGCCCTCTCCAGCTCCTCTCTGAGACCTTGGTATTTTTCAAGCTTTTCATTATATATATATATATATATATATATATATATATATATATATATATATATATAGGACTCAAGCTGTAGCTCAAGGACTCAAGCTGTAGATCCAGGACTGAGGCTGTAGATCCAGGACTCAAGCTGTCTCAAGCAGGACTCAAGCTGTAGATCCAGGACTCAAGCTGTAGATCCAGGACTCAAGCTGTAGATCCAGGACTCAAGCTGTAGATCCAGGACTGAGGCTGTAGATCCAGGACTGGTTCACATGCCCATAAGAATACTTTTTGAAATACAAAATTAACTACAAATGAATTAAGCCATAATAATTTAAAACGGGCAAAAGTAATGCATCATACCTCTCCATGTTTGTTTCAGAGCATAGCAAATCTATGCTTTGTTTGTTGAAATGGAGAAAAATGGGTGAATAGTCCTTAAATAATAATTAGAAGCAAACAACCACATTGAGGTCATCCTGGACACTGATTAGGAAAAGATTAGCACCGAGAATTGTTGCAGTTCTCACCACAGCGCCTGCCCTTTGACCCCGGCTGCAGGCACTGACCACTCCACATCAGATAAGCTCCACTCGCTCTGGTGCTGGTAAGTGAACGCATGACTGTGATTTTGTGCCTCACCGTTTAGATACAGCTTATAATTAAAACCAGTTGCCTTCTTTAGGGTTCAGCTTTATAATAGCTTTGTATAAATATTATTCCTGGAATGCAGAAGATAAAATGGTTGGAGTCATAGGTGGAACTCACAATACGCCCATTCCCGGCGGTCCCTGTGATGCCTTTACCCCCGAGGACTACTGTGCCAGACTGCGCCGCAACAAACATCAAATACATTGGCCATTATGTTGCATTTATTGTCCTCAAGTCTTCCATTTTTCCTAATAAATGAGTGACAGCTTGAGGTGAGTCTGGCCACTTTAGTAGACTCTTTGTATTTTGGCCTCAGGTCAGAGAGGAGCGAGCTTTAACAGCGAATATGAAACACGAAGACGAAAGCGGACTTCTTATCTAATTGCTTTCACATGCCGTATTATTGGTTGATTTAAATAACCACAGACACCAGGGCCACTGCGGGCCATCGCCTTTAACCTCAGGTTGGCCCAGACTGGCTGCATGGTTGGGTTACTCACTCAATTGGCGCCCAACGAGTTACAAGCACAAAATGTGTTCTCTGCATTCAACAGAGAAAAACTGGGCCATCAATTTTAGCAAGTCTCTGCCAGAACATTTTCACTGGAAACTTAAAAGATTTCAGAAACAGAGTAGAACGATAACCACAAGCTTTATATAGGCCCTTTGTTGTTATTGAATTTGTGGTTGGAAGAGGTTGCCTTCACGTTTTATTTTATTTCAGTTGGAGGGCGGTTGCCAGGACGTCTTTATGGGAAAGAGGCAATTTTTGAAAGAAATGTTGAAAAAGAAAATCACTGTATTTATTGTGGTTAAATTCACAAACCCACCATATCATTAATATGTGTGAAATGCCTTTCTACAGGCCAACATCATTTTTTTATTTTTATATTGTAACAGCTACTAGACAAGAAAATAATCAGCAGTTGATAAAGCTCTGACAAAGTGGACGTGGAACTTTGAGGCAGTATTTGTTTCATGTGGATTGGTCCAGGAATTACAGATAAATTAGCCAATAATCAGTCTTTTGACCATACCTTACTGTTATCGGGGAAGTTTTTTTTTTTCACAATAATACACTACAAGCTTTTTTGACTACTCTGATGTCACATGAACACAACTTATTGTGTCATATTTGGTAGGATGCATTAATAAAATAAGCTTTTGAATTTGTTACAACCAAAGCCACTGTATTTAAGATTCAATGCATTTCTCTGTTTAAAAAAGCAAACGTAAGAGTAATCTGGTTAAGTTTTAGCTACCTGTCAGATCCTTCTTGAGCTTCCTGATGTCTTTGGTGAGGTCATCAAACTTCACCTGTGCGGCCTGGAAGAAGTCCTGAGGCTCCGGCAATGGGAACACACTTTTGTCTGTGCCTGCATGCTACACACACCCACACACAAATACACACACACATATACATAACACAGACGTTCAGGACTCAAGAGGAACGATTACAATCTCCAACTTTCTGAACTTACCTTGTCAAAGTTACGAAGGTAGTACAAAACCACATAATCGATGAGGTTCATTCGATTGTCCTGTGGAAATGAGTCAAATATATTTACAATTCAATCAGTTGCACAATAAACCGTAACGGATGTGTTTACCCTGCTCTTGACATCTTTGAGTTTTGGAAGAATCTCCAGTCCAAAGCCATCGGCCTGGCCTCTCGTCCTGTTGCCCCCATTCATGTAGTTCCCAAACGCTAAAACAAGACCAAGAACATTTCGCAGACTGGTGCCCTCCAGCAGCTCCTGGTACACATCCAAAAGAAGTAGCCAGGGTCAGGTTAACATTCGTGATTGAAATATACATATATATAAAAAATTTAAAATCACATTGTTAAAGTTGTTTTTCACTGTGTAACATTTCCAGCTGTTGTCATATAATTGTTTTGTTGTTTGTTTAGACTGAACTGAATAGTACAGATGTGTCAAACTCATTTTAGTTCGGGCTGAAAGTCTAATGGTGTTTTCTAATTTTTGGAAGTTTTTTCTTTTTTGTGTTCGGACTTTTGATTCTGGTAGATTTTTTTCTGAACCTACATTAGTTCAGTTACTGATTGGACCAAATCTGAACCAAATGTAAATAAATTATGTAAATTAACACCAGGCCAATTATTTATTTTCTATACTATTCACCTTCTAATTTCATTCAGAATATACAAAAAACATAGTAAATTAGCTATTAAACGATGTTAAATGCACTAGTGGCTCTTTATCATCAACGCAGCAAGTTATTTGAAATAATTGAAAATCATTTTAGGGGCCACTGAAAGGGTCTCTGGGGCCAGAGTGAGACATGCCTGAGCTGCAGGCTTTTCGTGGCAGGTTATTATGGTTTCTTACTTTGCTAACATGGGTGACAATCTCCACCTTGCGGCGAACGGAGGCGATGGTGTCGAGGAAAGCAGCCTGGAAGATGATGCAGTGGGCGCGGGCTGTGAAGTCTGGAATCTGGGAGAGCTCGTAGAGAAACCTGGACATGGGACAGGGGCGGGGGTGGGGGGGGAATGAGGGGGTAGAGGAGGGGGAGGGGGTGTGATGTGTTATGACAGAATTAAACAAAGTGTCTAACAGGAAGCGCTATATTTGCTCTTTCCCACGTGGGCCAGCCGATTCAGTGTGGCGAGCCGTCATGAGTGGTGCTGCTTGGCTGCGTCTGAAAAGACCCACGAGGTCGACCGGAGGGAAAGGTGGCGGCGGCTAACGGGTGCTGATCAAAGCCTACTCCCGCCTGATCCGGTACGACTTTTGTAAACAGAAAGGTGTCACGGGGGACATCCTGTGATTAGCCCCCGCTGATGGAGCTATAGTGAAGATGACTCAGGCAGCCTTCTGACAGCTCTGCTCAACAGAGAGCAGCAGGCTGGGACTCGTTGCTATAATAGACCAAACTTCAAGAAATATTATGCATTATTTTGGTTAGTAAAAATGATGATGAGATTATTCACTTTAAGAATGTGAAATATTATCTCAAGTAAAAAATATATGGTAAAACAAGTATGAAGGGTATACATGCTTTCTGCCTGTAACTCCCTGTGCTACCACCAGAGGGAGATTATTTTTCCCCAAATCTGAAATTTACCAGCTGCAAACACAGCCATATGATGTAAAGTACGTCATTTTATATGAGAAAAAGCCATAACTAATTTAAGGGCACTAGCTTTGTTTTAGGTGTGATTTCATAGTGGTACAATGACATCATACTATTATAGGACTGAGAATGGAGCTTTTAGACAGTTACATGTTTGTGCCTGACATTCCTGATATTAACGCGGATGGATCGGAAAAAAAAATTTAGGTCTGTTTAGGATGAAGGAACTGTGTTGAAACATGGTTGTGGTAAGACAGTGGTTGAAGATCGGTTCGAACCCAACCAGGACTTTCTCCACCGACTCCCACTGATGTCTACTGTCGCTGTGTCCATGGTAAGACACTTCACCCCCATTGCCCAGAATGAGTCTGATGTGTGTGCGAATGGTTGGTGGGGATCATAGGGGCACATACTGGTTGCCTCGCTTCTGTCAGTGTGTCCCAGGGCAGCTGTGGTTACAGAAGTAGTTTATCACCACCGTGTATGGAGTGAATGATTAATGCCATGTGAAGTGTCTTTGAGAGTCCAAAAAGCGCTATATAAAACTGATGCAACATTATTATGGTATGGTGTATATGTCTCCCCTACGATCTACCATATTAAAAATACCCTTACTGTTCAGGTTTGTCCAACACACCGCTTTCTTCGCCTTTGGAACTCCCAAAGTGATTCTTTATCGTCTCCAACTCGTCACTGGTTCCCCTCTGAAAAATCAGGAAAGTATTTGACTTGAATGAATGAACAGACCTCACATGTGACCAATAAATATCTTTAATCTCTATGGTTAGATAAAAGTTAAACAGCATGGATTCTTCATGTTCAAAAAGGACTAAAAAGCCAGAACTGGAATTGGAAAGATAAAATGGCTCAGCATCACATTGATCATATTAATTACAGCATAAATAAATGAAAATGTGTTTGTCTTACGTTTTCAAACAGCGCCTCGATCGTCTCCAGGTCGACCACAGCGTTGTCCATGTTCAGAAGGGCTGCAACAACACATCTTTATTAAAAGCCAGTTTGTCTCACATAAATGAACCAGGTCTCAGCCAAAGCATTCAGCCTTTGAAGTGCTGCCAGTCCCACAAACACAATCTAGAGACGTAAACACATTTCAGCCGTGTAATTTCACTTAGAACTGTGGAAGGGTACGTAAAAGCGGCCAACTCACTATTTATAGGATCACATTTATATATAAGGCTGGAGAAAATGATCCAAGCAAAAAATGTCAATAAAATAATACTAAATAAATCAAAGTAAAATGTATATTATTATGTACTATGATGTATGCAATGGCCAAACATGTAGTGATAGTTAGGAGCTGCTGTAATATTTGGCTCAAGGGAAATAAATACACCTCTTGAATATAATTATAACACCAGTACTATCTATACAAACTGGTAAAAGCGTATTTTCAATTTGTCATTCTTAGGAAACATGACGTGTGTTGACAAGAGGTGACACTGGAGACAAATTGGGATCGCTAGTACTGTTTCTTTTTCCAATTGGTTTGGGGAAGAAAGGCAAGTTTATTTATATAGAACAGATCATACACAAGGCAACTCAAAGTGATGAACAAACAAGATGGAAACAACACAGCACAAAGCGTTCAAATCAGGGGTGTCAAACGTATTTTGGTTGAGGGCCGAATAAAAAAATGAAAGGGCAGGTCAGGGGCCGAAAGAATAAGTGGGTTTTGATTAAGAAATTCTTTTGGGAATATGAAGGTAAATAAATGGATGGATTGGATTGGACATTCTGTTTTGATTAGAATTAGTCCAGTTTCTGTGGACTGAACCAAAACTGGACCAAATATTGAAGTATATAGGAAGATTTTCTACTTCCCGGGGATCATCAAGACTTTTGGTCCTCCCAATTGTCAATCATTCTAGTTAATCGTGCTCGTGCAATAAGACCACAGAGTTTTGTTCAAAAAGTGGAGAGGGCGGTTCTTTCCTAAGAAAATTGGGAAATCCTCCTTCATATATTTAAGAAGAAATGTAATTGAAGACTTGTAAAAACATAACATAATAATACTAACTTCTAATTACAAGTTGGCTTAACATTTCTTATGGAATTACATTTTATGGTTGTTTCTTCAGTAATGGATAACATGCCATTGTCGCCTATTACGGACCTGGACCCCGGGCCTTGACTTTGACACCTGTGATTCAAATCATAAATAATCACAGTGCACTCAAAAGAGTGAAGATACAATCCTTCAGTTGTATACACAGCTAAACAGAACTGTTCTTAATCTGGATGTGAACACTGTCAGAGTAGAAGCCTCGCTGTTACAGAGATTATTTTTGTGTGTGCAACTTTGTGTGATTATTTTACGGCTGGCTTGTGACAGCTGCAGCAGCTTACCACAAACAAGTTTGAAATCCTTGCGATTGTACTTCAATGGTTTTGAGCAGACACAAACTAAACAGAACGTTTTTAATCTAGAAGCCTGTCTCACATTTTTTAGGAAGACTGTCCCTGATTTTAGCAGCATAAATCTGAAACGCTGCCTCCTCATGTTTAGTCCTGACTCAGGATACCAGCAGGAGTCCAGCCCCTGTGCTCCTCAGAGTAGTGTTTCATTATGTTCTGCATTTGTCATTACACATTCAAGCACAACCAATGTAAGTCTATCAGAGTGATGGTTGGGTGGAAGTGTGCGTGGGACAGAGGAGGGCGGGGGGCGGGGGGGAGGGAGGTGATTCCCGAGCTCTGTTACAGATCAGATGACACACGTCTAGTCGGTGTCACACAGGGACCAGACGTGCACCACAGTGTCTGCTGTTCTCTCTGCAGGGCCAGGGGTGGGGTCAATATCCACACCAATGAATATCTACAGTTTATTTATGGTATGAAGAACCTCAACCTAGACATAGGATGATATGGTCTAAGATTTGAAAACCCCAAAGAGGAGGGGGTCAAACTGTAAAGGTGTTTGTCATACAGGACTTGCTGGACTCAAAGCAGCTACTTTTTTCAACTTCTGTGAACTCTTACAGCCAATGCATGAATTTTTTATTTGTAAGCGTACTGCCAGAGCACTGGTACAGATTTGGACGTATACTACTCTCCATTCTTGCTTCTTAAACATAAATATAGTACACATAACTTGATAATGACTATTGTCAGAACGGAGTAAATTAAGATATTAATTTGACTTTTGAGTTTTAGGAATGGGGTACACGTTTATTGTCATTAGCTTTACTAAATATCTCTTGTGCAGGTTTTAAATAGCAACATATATTCAATTGAGTGTTTGCATAGATCCTAGTGGCCATAGCTCTGACAAACCAAAACAATGCAATCTGGCTCCCATTGCTTCCCTCTCAAAGACCTGTCAATTTGCTTCCTATGTCTGGATCACAGGGAACGCTGGAGGTCCATTTCCTACATCTTATTAGAGTGGATTATTTGCTCTCTGAGCCGTGCAGATGTCAATCACACGCACGCACACATTCAGACCAAAGGGGTGTTGGGCCGAAGCCGCACAGGAGCGCTCTGATCCAGGGGAAGCCGGATATCTCTCCACGGCCCCAGATCAAAGTCTTAGGCGCGCTTTCCCTCCACTCAGGCAACCGCACCAGCGAGTAAGAGCAACATGTGTGTGTGTGTGTGTGGCTGGCCCTTTCTCTGTCCTTGAACCATGGTGGCCCTTCAGGTCCCCCGTCCACCTCCAAACTGAACCCAGCCGGTGTGCCACCTTCCTTCTCGCTGTAGCTCTAATTGCATTACACGTCCCATGTCCTTTTAATTTGGCAACAAAGAGAATCTGGGCTGGACTAGGACCCTTAGAGAGACTTATTAAAATGCTGTCCTTTATCATCAAGATTTACACTTTCTATTAAAACACCACAAGAAAGACTCATACTGTGTGGGAGCTTGTTTTGGAAGCTAACTTCTTCAGATTGACAATGTTTCCCTGGGTAAAAAATAAAAAAACTGTAAAAGGATATAAAAAGAATCTCTTGTTGCATGGATCCAAAGTGATTCTGTGGAGAACATTGTTGAACATGGCTTCGCAAACACTGATATGCTCGTGGAAATGATCACTGGCATTGGTCACAGTCATAATATTCAGTGTCCTTTTTTGTTGAACAATAACTAGATAGATTAGATGATTTATTTCAAACCTGCTTACATTTTCACACAAACATAACAGACACACACTACAGCGGTGTCTCTCTTTCGGGGCCTTGCTGTTTCATAGATTTCTTTTGTATATGCAATTTTGTGTGCTTTTTTGTTCATCAGGCTTTTGACAGCTGCAGCAACTTACATCGAACAGGTTTGAAATCTCTCACAAACACACAAACAAGAGACAGGCCAAAACACTCTCTGAGCCTACCCCTCTCTCCCACTACATACTCTGTAGAAAAGGCATCACTCTTCCTCCTCAACATTTTAAAATAATGTTTAATAATAGCCACATTGATTTCTAGATAGATGGATAGTGAAAGTTCCCTAAGCCACAATATTTTGATACGTAAAAGTGTAGTCTATACCATTCTATACTGTATCTGATAAAGTTTTCATTTGTTTACTGGAGTGTTGTGTCTGGTTTATACTGGGGAACCTTTATATTCCCGTTTATCCAGACCACGCATCATAATAACCGTGTGCATGTCAGTGTTCCAGTAAATACTATTAAAAAGACATTTTACCTTGTTGAATGTCTTTCATGTCCAGATGCAGACTGGAGATGAGGATGCCAACAGCCTGTGAGCGCTTCCCATCCAACAACTTCACGATCTAGGAAGGAAAAGTACAAATTACAACCATCCGCCTAATCTATAGTTAAAGTGGAACATCATATTGGAAGACTTCAAAACAGGCCAAGAGAATAAGGACAACATTGTTCCAGTAGGCAGACAAGAGGATGTGTTTGACCATGTTTCAAAGACAAAAATCATAGTCATTTAAATTAATATGAATTTGTATGTTGATTTATTTATTTAGATCTAACATTGTTTTAAGTTTTTTTTTTTCAATATTTATTTTGTACAAGCCTTCTCAAGCCACTTATTGACTCCTAAAGAAAGAAACATGTGCTTTATCTAGGTCGGCAGCTTCTAGTTTCAGCAACTGTTGTGAATTATTTTGTTTAAGATAATAACTATCTTTCTATGGTGTAAATATTATTTTATTTCAATTTATTTTCAATTTATTTTAATTTACTACTAGTACTTGCACCAGTACTTGCACCAGCTACATTTTGAGAGTAAATGTTTTTCATGTACATGTAATGGCCTCACAGGACTGTCTTGCTGGGAAGTACTGTATATTAACATTATATGACAACATAACTAAGATCTGATCCAATCATTTATTTCCATGTTAAGACGATTCTAGTTCAGTGGATAATTCCACTAAACTTCCCCATTGAAAAAGACACAAAAACACTTCCGCCTTCATACATACATCCGCCTGCAAACATATGCCACATATTATGAAAAATATCAGGTGCAAGTGAAAGTACAAAGGCAGAAGTGGCACCATAAAAGGACAGTCTAGAAGAGCAAGGGCTTTTTTAGAACAAACTATAAATTCACAGGATTTTTATTTGTACCTACACATGGACACAATTACTTATGACTGAATTAGCCATAAAGAGAGAGAGAGTTTTGGCATGGTAAAGCCCTGCTCTAAAACTTAATGCGTCAGGCTTCTTCATTAGCTATAAGGCATTTGTCGGCTACTGGGCTGTCCGAAAGAGCCAGCCTTAGAAGTAGGTATAGCATTACAGGAGTGTTAGTGGGTGCCATGCTGCTTCTAGCCTCTATTACCTGATCACTAGGGATCTCCCACTCTGGGCACTCCGCGGCCAGGCCTTTTCCCAACACCTCTAATTAACCACTTTGGACGGGCCACACTAAAAGCGGCCCAGGAAACCTATACCCAGGTCGTTGTGGTTTGCAGAAGCCGCCAATTAGCCTCAACGGTTAGGTTAATGAGAAAAGACAACTGATTTGAGGCTGAAGTGGTGACAGCTTGAGGCGACGCAGCTCCCTCTTGTGGATAAACGTGAGAATAAACCATAAAGCACAATCATTTTGAATAATTGTGCATTGTATATGTTGTGTCTCTTGGTGGTGTTAAGTGTACTGTATCTAAAATGCTAATAAGCATTTTTTATGTATTCATTCTTTGCCACTCAAACCTGATGTCCCTTTGCGTCTATCCAGGAACAAGTTTTTTTGTTTTGTTTTGAAAAACGCTATGTCCAATCTCTATATTTATTGTGCAATGTCCTTGTCAACTAATATATTGTCATATATATTTGCAGACTCTAGACTTATGTTAAATCTCTTGTTAATATGTCTCACCGATATCTGCAACTTAAATTGTAATTCATTTTGTACAGATTTTCAAGATGAATGTATTGAAGCAGTCCCTCCTCTTGGAAAAATCCTGTGGGCTTTGTTTAAGGAGAATAGTTCAACCAATGGGAAAGATTGGAATGAATTTCGTCCAATCAAGAAGCTTGGGACGATGAGCAGCCGTGGGTTGAATTGGTGCTTGCTTTTCTGTCTCTCTTAAATGACATTTACTTTAATGACGATTAAGTTTCATGAACCTATATAATGTCTGGTTCATGTACAGTGTCATGGTGTGGACTTTCTGTTGCTTTCACTGTTTTTATTTTTATATAAATCTGTGCTCTGTCCTGTTGATGGTTTGCCCCGCCCTGATGTGTCTCACCTGTGTCTCCCCCTGTTCATTTAGACCCTGTTCTCCTGTCCATTGTTGTTTTTCCCCATGTCTTGTCCCTGGTTTCACTTCTTACTTATTTATTTTTTGTGGCATTTATTAAAAGGTGCCATTGTTCGCTTTTCTTCATTTTCCACAGTCCATTCCAAGCACATGTGTGTCAATAATTTGGGTGATACACCATACAAACACTCAAAACTTGTCAAATTATAGCCATTTTGTGCTACGTCACGATTTGAAAACGGCTCGTTTCTGTACCTCTCGAGAATGAACGAGAAAGATCGCTCTCTAACTAAAGCTTGAGGGAATCAATGAAAAAACTCCTCTGGGCATGTGTATGAAGGCCATATACAGTAGCTTACTTAATACTTACTAAATAGCACTGCAAGTTCTTCTTTTGATCCCCGTTTTATCCATGACACCTTCCCTCCGTCCATAGAACAAAACCTCCCCCTCGCATATACTGTACACTTTTCTATTTTAATTTGTGCTGCTGTTTTGAAATGTGTTCTTTTAACATCTCTCTAAAGTATCATTGAGTTTTAACAAAGGTCCGTGGCAGGTGGAGCATGTTAGCGGAGAGGCGCGTGCTCCGATGCTCGCCACGGTTTACATAGCGGCGCTGAGTGTGCGTCTGGAAATGCGTGCGAAATTAGTGCGGCAGATGTTACAATAACAAAGCCCGATATGAACAAGTGGATTCTGTCTGACACCCACGTCACAAGATTCTAATATGTTTTCAATAAGCGGCCTGAAAGTTAAGAGTTGATGAACAATAAAAGGAGGGATTCATCACTCTGTTTGACATTTGGGAACAACATAAAACATCTGGGCTTCAAAAGAAATGGGAAATATTCTGTACAGGTTTATAAAAAGGTGAAAACTCTTTGGGACAAAAAATGTGAAGAAAATGCATCTATACATTAGTTATCTTGATTTCTAGTAACACAGATGAACTATTTTGCCACTTTTCTTCTCTGGCCTTGTACACCACCCGAGTCATATGTTGTTTTTTTCTGTTATTTCTGCTATTTCTCTTTTTAATAATGTATATGTTATTGGTATCTATTCTCTATTTTATTTAAAAAGATATCTTAATGATGTATTGACCTTACTTCTATTTTGCATGTGTATCTACTGTATATGGGCTGACACACTTTGTTTACGATTGTTACCTCTGTCCCTGTGCAGCACTTTCGAAACTAGTTTTATAGAATGCACTATATAAATAAAATTGATTACTTACTTACTGATACAATATCAATCATCTAAAGTCTACACTGATACAAACCTGATTCTGTCCCGTCTGTTGGGCCATTTATTTACATTAAAATGTTTTTGGCAATGATTTTCCACACTATGGCATGAGTAGATACATACAGTATATGTTCGAAAAGTTTGGAGCATAGCATCACTTTCACTTATTTCAGTGCAATTTTAAATGTCCCATCCCTAGAAAGTTACATAACATTGCTTGAAAAATATAACAAAAAAAAAACATTGATTGGCTGAATACCAAATGTGTCAACACAATCTCTGCTTATGTAGAATCTAATTTATGATCATTTAAGTTCTTCCCTTTGCCTGCGCTCATAAACACATGACTGCAATTATCGCTGGGGTCCAGTCTCTTCGGACCAGAGCGCTTTCTTCAATGTCCTCTCATCAGCTTTGATATGCTAATCCACACACACACACAGACACACACACAGACAGACTCGGGAGTAAACAAGAGCTTTGATTTCTCCACGGCACACATGAGAAACATTAACTCAGTCGTGGAGTTTTTTTTTCTTCACAATGAGTCCTCAGCGTTGAATCGAGTTGTTGAGTGAGAGTGGCTCATATGCATAATGTACACACGCATTCCTCGCCCTCCCAGCTTTCTAGCGCACACAGCCGCAGGGTCCGGGTTTGCGCTCAGCGGGATCTGGCAACGCTTTCGCAGCAAGTGTATAACGACCGCGCTGTCATCGGACTCACAAAACACCAGTGCTCAGACACAAGCTCATCATCATATCAAAGAACAGAGCTGTCTGAGGAGGGGAGGGGCTAGAGCTCAGAGTCGATGCTGAATAGGGCTGTGTAATCAAGATTCTTAAATAAATGTCTATGCTGCTAACTTAGATACAGTATTGAATTTTAATGTATACTTTCAGCCATTTCCTCCCTACTTTTTCACTTATACAGTATATTCATTATTATGACTTTAATAACAATTCATCTTCAATAAATGCGGCCCTTGGGTTAGATTCCGCCTCCAGACAGGGCCTCTCTGCGTGGAGTTTGCATGTTCTCCCCATGTCTGCACACTGTATGATTCCTCCAGGTGCTCAGGTTTCCCTTACCACTAAAAACAATAGATCTGGCAGTTGCCTCCTGTGTACGGGCGACCGGCTCTTTGTGACTGTGGTCTGTGAAAGGCGCTATTTAAATAAAGATTGCATAAAAAATACATCCCTCAATCATGTTGTATTTATGTGTTAGATAAGGGTCCAGAATCCTTTCGTATTTACTGAAATATAATGAATTTGTATTGAATCAAAAGTTTTCCTATATTGAGTTATTGTGGAATTGGCAGGATCTGAAAGTGGTGACAGTGAGGTGCTTTGAATAATACGTTTATTTCCCATGGTGAGGTAAAGGTAAAGGTAAAGGTGCACTTTATTGATCCCCGTGGGGCAATTCAATCCTCTGCATTTGACCCATCCTGATGCCACTAAGGCTTACGTCAGGAGCAGTGGCCGTCATAGTAACAGCGCCCGGGAACCCATCTCCAGATATTGATGCTTGGCTTGGTCAGGACTACCAGAGCTGGAGGATTTAAGCTAGTGAGCATGTTTTCAATAGGGAAAACAGGGAAAACTCCACTCAGAAAGACGAGAGTGCTGTCCACTCAGCCACCGTGTTTCTCTTGTGTATATAATATTATAATTATGTACTATGTAAATGTAACTCAGGGTTATTTATGCACAATTTTGATATTCTGCTTTTGTTTTTTGTACACTTAATTGCTCAAAATAAACATGGCTTAGTATTTTAATTGTTCCCACAGAGAGAGCCTTGTAAAAGTAACAAATCAGACCACAACATAGTAAATATATAATCATAACATATTTAGCATCCTGGTAGGAAAGAGTCATGATTTTCATTTTTTTTCTCTCTTCTGTCCACTCTTTTCAATTGAGCTTTGTGAAAAGACATTGTTTTTCAAATGGTAAAAATGCATGGTTCCAGGCCTGGTCTGACATTCATATTATACACACGCATCAGTTTTTGTTTTAGAAAGATGTCAGCCGTTTCAAAATGATGAAAGTAAACTAATCCCTGGCTCCCATCTCCTCTGTAGTTCTAAGAAAACAATTAGTGATTCGGATTTTTCCTTTGAAACATTTTTCAAGGCTCTAACAAACGATAAAGTAAACAAGTTTGTAACAGTTCGCAGCCCTTTTCAATGAGCGGAAGTTAATATGTTTTCTTTTGAGTCTCCTGCTGGTGCCCAGAAATAAAACACATGGGCAGGGCAGCATCTCTTGATTTATGCAGCTAAAAATCTGGAACAGTCTTACTGAAAATGTGAGACTGGCTTCTCTTTTGACAAAGCTCAAATCCAGGCTAAGTTCTGTTTATCTGTGCATACAACTGAGGGATTTTATCTTCACTCTTTTTAATGCACTGTGATTATTTATGATTTGAATGTCTTGTTTTGTGTCTACCTTGTTTAGTCCGGCACTTTCAGTTTCTCTGTGTGTGAACTGTATTATACAAATAAACTTGCCTTGCCTTGCCTGCACAATGGTTCTTTATAGAAGCTGCTGAACACTGCTTTTGTTGATTAATACAGACATTCGCCGCTCGACAACATAAACATCCATTAACATGAATGGACATGTTTAATATATGTTTGTTTTTTTAAGCTCTTTAGTTTGTTATCATAATTTTATTATTATTATCCTCCTGAATTTCTCCTACGGGGGATCAATAAAGTATCTATCAATCTATCTTATTCGATTCAGCTTCTGATTCATTTGTTATTTAGTTTCCCAGAGGTAAATGTGTCTTGGAGCTTAGTAGCACCCACATTACAGACAGAACATAAAACACAGACAATACACACATTAGTATTGACACAACCGCACAATCACCTCATGTTGCAGCAGACTAAGGCACAAAATAATTCTTACCCTTGTTACTTTGCAGGCATTAGCAATTTATGTATTTATTGCCGTAATATTCTCTTCCCGTTTGATTTGTATCTGATATGTTTTGGCGAATCGACAGCTTTGTAAAGTCCTCAGCCATAACCACTGTTGAGATTTAGACCCATACACTTGATTCATCTTCAATAAATGTGATACTTGTTTTGATTCCACTTCCAGACAGGGCCTTTCTGTGTGAAGCTTGCATGTTCTCCCCATTCAAAAGTTATGTATTTATTACTGTAATATTTTCTTTCTGTTTGATTTTCTTTGATATGTTTAGGCAAATTGACAGCTTTGTAAAATCCTCAGAGATAATCTATGTTGCGATTTAGGCCCATACATAAACACATTGCATTGAATTGAATACAAAACACGTTCAGCCCCATTCCCATGCGTGTGGTCACAGTCCCTCTTGGGCCTGACTCAAGCTTAAAAAAAGCAGAGAGTTAGCAGGATTACTGTCTGGAGGTGCTTCTCGGTGACCAGACTTATCGGGCAGTTGTCAGGCTGGACAGGCTCTGGCCCGCTGGAGCAGTGGAGTCTCTGCAGATTGATCAGATGTGTATAGATTTGGACAGTCTGGGGCAGTGGCCACTTTTTAACAGCCAGAATGCTGACCGCGCTGACTCGAGCAGAGAGAGCGAGAGAGCAAGAGAGAGCGAGAGAGCGAGAGAGCAAGAGAGAGCGAGAGAGCGAAACGTCAATTGTTGCGGAGGATTGTAGATCAATTCTGCTTTTACACAATACTATTTTCTTTGGAAACTATTGACTCTTATTGCTCCCCACGAATGGAAAGGCGACATCATTCTCGCACTGGCTTGTCCAAAACTAGAAAATAAGTCGTAAAGGAAAACCGCAAATTGATCTGATGCTGGCACCGAGAGCCTGGACGAGGAGCCGAGGAGAGGAGCAATCAATGTCTTTAGGTTGACTGTTTTGGTCTGTCTGAATTGGCCACAAATCCAAATAAATAAAAAATTGAAAATAAAAATGGCTCTATTACTTTGATAATTACTGATGAACCAATAGCAGTGAAGAGAATGAATATAGTGGTTAAAAAAAGACTTTTGTTGGTTCTATTTTGGTCCTTGTTAATTGTCTTTTTATCCTTTTATCATTATTTTTTTTTAATATTATTACTATGGCTGTGGCTGTTACTACTACTACTACTACTGCTCATACAGACAGGAGCATAGGTCTTGTACTGCTGCTCAAATAAGTACAAAATAAATGATTAAACGATTGTGAGTACCTTCTTAGTTTTGGCTTTCTTCTCATAGGTGTCGGCCAGTGGCTTCTTCTTGGGTTGTACAGTGGCTTTGGAGAACAGGTCCTCAAATTCCTTAGTGGTTATATCTGGTTCTTCCAGGGAGCCCCATAATGTGTTGTTGCTGGAAAAAAAAAATCAAATGAATTAGAATCAAATAAAGCTGCTCATACTAAACTAAAATCATTGCTGTTTATGACTGTTTCACTATCTCGCATTGTGCTCACACGCAATCACGCATTTTTATTTGCCGGCTGCGGATTGGCGCGTTTGTTTGTGGATCTGGTCAGCAACGGCAATTCTTTGAGATTTTGGTGAATATAAAGCAAATGAAAAAAGGAAAAAGTGTGTGGGTCGCTGTGAGGAGGACAGAGAGGCCCTGCGGAAAACGGGAGACAGGACTTTCTGCAAAATCTTTAGCAAAAAAGTATAAAGCCGTTTTCACGTGGGCACGACCCGGCATGGCTCTGCTCAGTTTCATATTTGGATTCAGCTCATCAGAGATCGTAGATGTGATTATGTTTGCTGATCGGATGCCGTTTCTCTTGCCGTTCCTGTTCATAAACCAAAGATCTGAGTAAAGTGGAAGAATTGAAGTTTTTGCAGAAGAAGCCTGGGCCAAACTCCTGCTGCATTTCATTTCTAACTTTATCCTGAGAACTATTCCGTCCAAAAGTCCTTTAACTTCCTTCCAAACTCCACTGCAGCGTTGGAACAGTGAAAAGCAGTGTTCCAGCTCAAGTTTTAACCCCTGACAACGTTCCAGACATGCACATCATTTGTTCTTCATCGCTACGTCCAAATCTCACACCATCAGACACAAGTGAGCTGCCTCAAAGTCAACATCTAACTCGTTTCGTTTAAAGGAGACATATTACGCGTATTTGGCTGTTAAAAATGGTAATGGGGCTATTAACTTTGATTTTTATTTGAAATAGTATCTCCATTATTTACTATACTATCTATTATTTAGTTTTTCCCCCCAAATTTGCAACCACTGCCTAATCACTTAAGGAAAATGCCAAAACTATAAAACTAATGTATGGTCAGTGCTTGTCAGGGATGTCGTAGGGCTACAATGACCATAGATCTCAGTAACTCGGAATTCTAACTTTCAACTAGGAACATTGGGATTGAATGGTGTTTAAGTTGAAAATTCAACTCAAAAACTCGGGCTGGGTCAACGGTCTCCCAAGTTCCTTTAAATTTGACATGTGAACAATTGTGATTGGATGAAAGATGTTTATATCCCACTGATGGTTTTACCTAACAAAATATATATAATTAAGCCAAAGATCCATCTATAATTCTAATTAATTAATTTATGAGCACTAAATCTCAGGAAAATATATAATTGTATTTGTATAAGCACATTTATTATAGAAAGTGCATTACTCACATCAAAACAATGAGGGTTTCCGTGCCTTTTTAACAAATGTGTAAAGAGAATCCAGGTTCATTTTTGCACATTTCTGTTGCCGTTTTGTTATTGTTGCTGTTTTTGACGTGTGTGTCACCACCGTCACCAGCTCCTCGAGAACGTTACACATTTGGGAAGTCGGGAAATCACTGTACATTAGATGAGTATCTTTCAGTTTCTGACATCCCAGAAAAGCAAAATGCGACATGAGCTCTTAGACAGAAGGGAGATCCATGTTTGTGCAAAGGTTCCTGATATTAGCGTTGATGTAAAAACATGTTTAATTAGGGAACAATGCTCTAACATTGTTAAAAGCTCAAAAAGTTGTATAATATGTCTCCTTTAACTTAACTTGCCATTTAAATGGATTGAATTGTATGTAGAGCGGCTGTGAAAGTCTTCAGCCTGTGTGAGTGTGAACCACAGCCCAGGCCTCCCCACTAATCCATCCATGAGAATACAAGGCCGTAAAGCTGGAAGTCTGGCACTAAGAGGAACAAACCACAACCGCACTAAATAGGCCAGATAATTCTCTCACAATTACAGTATCTCAAGTGAGCTTCAAGAACCAGAGAGTGGATGAAGGATATTTATCTGTGATGCATACGTGGAAAAACTATGCATACAACTACAATTATTTACCTTTACATACAGTATATGTAGTACTTGCTTCAAAGAGAGACAATATGTGAATGTGTTTCAGAGCGTCACTTTGTAAACCTCAAAAGCCAATGGTGCAAATACCAAAATTACAGGACAGTGACCTCTAGTGTTTAAACACATCACACACAAGTTACAATCAGGCTGTGCTTTGTGAGCTATTATAGTTCACAATATTGATACAACTCAAATAATAACAAATAGTCTGCTTACTTTTGGTTTGACACTCGGTAGAAAAAAACCCAACAACAAACCACCATAGTTGGCAGCTCATTGCTAATGTGAAGTTTTATGTTTTGTGGAACTTTTATTACTTTAACTGTTATTACTTTAACAGTTACTACTTTTACGGTTATTACTTAAACTGTTTTTACTTTAACTGTTGTTTTCTTTCATTGTCCATCCATCCATCCATTTTCTACCCTTTAATCCATTTCTGGGTCAGGGGGGTGACAGTCAGAGATGCCACATTTCATTGTATGGAATGTAAGTGCACGGTCCTAATGCATTTGGCGTCATATGCAAGTTTTAATGTCTCGGTGAAATCAAAAGACACTTTTCCATGCCACTGAATAATAAAGCTACTCTTCATGAGGAGCACGGTTGACACTTACTTTTTGTCTTGGACCTGAATCCTGGTCCAGTACAGAGGCTTCATTGGACACGCTGGTTCTATGGCAGGCTTTCTTGGGGCTTGTGGAGCTTTCTGAAAGAAACCTCCCATCATTGGAGGAGGAGGAGGAGGACCCCCACCTGGAGGTGGTGGAGGAGGTGGAGGACCAGATCCAGGAAGAGGGGGGGGAGGGGGAGGAGGAGGTGGACCAGACCCAGGAAGAGGAGGAGGGGGAGGAGGAGGTGGTGGACCAGACCCAGGAGGAGGAGGAGGTGGAGGAGGAGGAGGCACTGCTCCAGGTAAGCCCGGTGGGAGTGGAGGGGGTGGAGGAGGGGGAGGAGGAGCACCCATGCTTCCCGGAAGAGGAGGTGGTGGAGGAGGAGGAGGTGGTGCAGAGCCTTTATCTGCCTTTCCTCCCAAACTAAAGCCTATGGAGTCCATGTTTAGTTTCTTTGGAGTGTTCTGATTGGGGCTCAGGGCACTGGTCCCGCCCTCTCCGTCAGGGCTCTTGACAAAGCACTCTCGGTCCGTCTGGATGGCCACATTGCGGCTGGTCTTTGGGCTGGGGTCGTCTGACGTGGACACTCCGATGTGACGGACAGCACAGCGCTCCTGACCCCCCACATACGACCGGTCGCTCTGCAGCCGACTGACGAGTCCCTCCAGCTGAGATATCGACACTGCATGTTCTCCTCGTAACTGAAACATCTTCAGCTCAAACTCGGACTGGATCAGGAAAAGAACAGATGTACTGTACTGAGTAAAGGAGGCGGAAGAGGTGCGACATTTGATACTATCAGCAACTAACAGAGCTGTATAAAGTTAATTGATTAATCTCAATGTATCCTTTATAAATATACCCTCCAATTAATATTTTTATAAAACCAATTAAGTTATAATTACGCACCCTGTAAATGGATCCATATACTGTACCTGACATCTGCTCTAACATTCAGAGTAAATCAAACACTAATTTGTCTTTTGAATAGATTCGTTATGTCTCTTTGAGACCAAAGTATAGGTGGACAGTTGTTGATTACATAGAGAGATGTAAACATGTAAACAAGAATACAAGGCTGGAAGTCTGGCACAAACCACAACTGTAAATTGCAGTTAGAATATCTGAGCTTCAAGTACCAGTGTGAAGTGTGGATGTGGAGAAAAAGATAAAACTGCAATTAACTATACTTAACTTTCTTGGTCATGTTTTAAATAGCTAATCAATAAATAGATTTATTGATTATATCAAATAATCAATAATTCCAGTCCAATATCATAATGACGTGTATATCACCTCCTTGTGTGGTAGATAAAAGATACACATGTAGCTGAATTGTTACTGTGACTGAACTTGACATGACCTGACAGCCAGCTCAGTTAAAAAAGTAAAACATTAATGAGTGTTTGAACAAGAACAATCGGTGGCGGAGAGCACCATCTCACTGAGAGCAAAGAATGAAGCTAGAGCAGAATGCAGCTACATGGTCAAGGTTAAATGGTCACTTTGGACTGGACATGGAGCTTCCACTTTCCACATTCCCTTCAGTTCTTCCTAAAGAAATACAAGGCAGAATATACAAAATAACACTGCCCTCTTGTGGCCTACACATGCAGCTGCAATCACAACATCACTTACATGCATCTTCTCCAAGTCTTCTTTGCACTGCCTCTTGAGCTGCAGGAGGTCAGCTTGGTGCTCTGGAGGAACAAATAACAAACATATATATAAAGTATATTCATGTCCTGTTTAAAAAAATAATAATAATAACTATTTGGTGTTGAAAACAATAACTGCAATAATTTGTCTTCCATTATATAAAATCACCAGTTGCATCCAGGCAAGGAAATTGCTTTGGCTGCTCGTGCAAAACAGTCAAAAGTAGAGAATAGAATGGGATGTAATAAAAATCTACATAAAATGGGGTGTATAAAAAATGGGATATTTTGTCAAAATTCTACAATATCTTTTTGAGACAAACAGACGCCTGTGATCACATTGCCCCCTGGAATAAGGTAATGATAATAACAACATGTAGCCCCAATCTGATTCAGACTAAAAATGTTATCAGATGCTGAATGCCTGAAGAGCAGCGATGCATGACATGTTAGCAAACACATGACATTAAGAGTAGCAGATAATCAATGACTGTTCAGCACCGAACACTTTGGGCCGTATCAAAGTCATGATGATAAATGCTGGTTCTAGCTTTAGGAAGTTATAAAGTGGACCTGTCTTTGTTAAGTAATAATCGGTCTTATAAGAGAAACCTTTTGGAATTCCGTTTGTGTATGAATTATGAACTTGTAATCATGTATGTTAGGTAATAATTTGCAACCTTAAAAACTAACTCCTCCCACTCCCTATGGACCAATGGTTCCTATGTGTTTGTTATTATTGTATTTCCTGTGAATGGTTTGATTCTCTGATCTGCTGTTGGTGAATTGACAATATCAATATTATTGTATTTTTAATTAAGCATAATTCCAGTTTAAAGTTTTGTTCAGAATGTATGGCTCCAAAGCACAGCAGTAGTGATTTTGGAAGACTTCACAGTAAAGTCCTCCAAAATACTGCTGTAACTTAGGGCCATTCTGAACAAACCTTAGGGAGTTATTTACCAATTAAAAATACAATACTATTTATACTCAAGCTTTTCAAGCCAATTATCCAATCATTTCGGTTGCCAGTTTGTTAAGTGAAATGTATCTTTTAGATTTTTAGTAATGACAAAATACACAAAAAAATTGCACCACACATTTGTTTAAATTAAATCAATATGTAATACACAGTGTAATTGTAATCGTACTGACTTTATTAAACCACTAAGAGAGTACATTACATACTGCCCTAACTAATCCTAATCATTTAACTGCAGTTTCACAGCTCTTCAAACAAGACAAGACTCTTCCTCAGTAATGTGATCAGGAGACTCTTTGTTATATTTCATCTGTTGTCAGAGAGCCCAGCAGAGTATGGCTCTGTGCCCAGACTGCAGCTGCTTGATAGATTTACTGCTTTTACTCTGAGAGTTTTTAGAAATGGTGTGGAGATAATCCGTCTGAATGGGCAGATCATTTATCTGCAGCAGCGTGCAAATACAAGCAGTTCATCATAAACAGTGTCCTCACCTGCCTCGGTGTACTTGAGCCCCACCTTCTCCTCTTCATCTCTGGGTTTGGGAGGGGGCCACACCGCCTGCAGACGCCTTGGGGTTCGGTCTTCACTGTCGGTAGGAGATATCACCTCGGCCTAAGTTGGAAAAATATGTTATAGTGATAAAAACAGTTATCAAATGCATGTAAACTCTAAACAACATACTATACAAAAACTTCATAATAGGCGTAGATAAGTCATTACCGGAAAAATCTCTTCAGGACTTTTGATATCCTTCCCTGGGGATTTCGAAGTCCTCTCAAAAATAAGCTTTAGATTTTCCTTTTCATTTTTCATTTTCTTTTTGATTGCCTCCAGATCTATCTCTTCCGTCTTGTCCTTTGTCACCGTTTTGGAACCAAACACACTCTTAAAAGTTTCGTAGGCCAAGTCTGTGGTCGTCTTTCTTTCCGTTTTTGCCGTGTTCCTCTCCTCGTCCCTTTTAGTTTCACCTTCCACTATTTGGCTTTCCTCTGGCTTTTTACCTGAGTTCAGTAGATGGCTCAGCTGGCCCATTACAGAGGTTTTAGTATCGCTCACTGGCCTTGGTTCAACTTGCTTTTTAACTGGACTGGTGCTGGCTTTCTGCTCTGGAAACAACTTGGTTTTGTTCACGGTTTTCTTGAGGCTAAGCAGTGCCAAATCTGCATCCTTTTCGCTCTGCTTGATCTCCGAAAGGGTTTCTCGTTCCTCACCTTGCGCCCCCTTTTTGAGGACCCTCAAACCGCTAAACAGAGCTGGCATTTGAAAAGAAGGGCTAGGAGTGGTGGAGGAGAAGGTTGCGCTTTTGGAAGGAGACGAACTGGGAGTGGACGACGTTGATGGAATCGATCCGGTTGCAGTGGTCTCTTTTGCAGCCTGTGATTTTAACGGTAGATTCAGGAGAGTTTTAGCCAACACTGGGCTAGATTTAGTCTCCTCAGTGGATTTTACAACCTCTTTCACCGGACTGGACCCTGCGGCAGTGATAACAGTCGGATCAGGCGTAGAACAGTCAATGCAATCATACTCTTCGTCATCTACATTAACATTGGTACCACTTATTTTCTCGCTCGCTACGTCTTTGCGTACACTTTCTCCCGCTTTCTCTTTGAGACTACCCCCACCGGCATCTTTCTCCTTTGATAGATAAAGCGACGTGGAGTTAGTCTTGCCGAACGATTTGGAATATAGAATAGCCTCGATGCGACTTCTCTCCTTGAACATGTGCGTTTTGAATACCGGGATGTCTGACTTTGAAGAATCCTCCTCTGTAACTTTGTCGGGCGATTTACAATCTTGTTTGTGCACGCCATTAGCAGAAAACGACAAATTCTCATCCTCATTGTCAACATATGTTTCTACTCTAGTGACTTGTACGAGATCTGGTTCAGTTGAAATTCCATCCTTCTTTGTATCCGTTAGAGGCTTTTGTTGTGATCGACAAGGGGTAGGCGGATCTTCTTGGGGCGTCTCATCAGTATTGTTATTAGAAGAAGACGTTTGCGGTACATCCGATGGAGTAGTTTTCTCTTTCAGCCCTTTAAAAGATGTCAGAATAGCAGTACTTGTATCCGCAGCACCAGCTCTGTCTTTGAACAAACTGCTGAAAACATTACGGAAAGAGCTCTGATCATTATCCATTTTTTACTGTCACGTTCAGCACAGCAAACGCAAAGTCATTTCAGAAGTCCTTCCAAATGTCAAATAAGGTTCTTCGCTCCTCTTGCAGTCATCCAAGTTTCCCCTATCCCGCAATTGGGACAAAAGGCCTTTGTATGGGGCAAATCTCTTCTTACCTTTTCCAGATGAGTGGCATGGGCAACAACAACATCTATATACCTGGTCATGTAGCCAGCTTCTCTCTCACTTAACTCATGATTACAGAGATTACCAGTCTACGCGCTGCCATTACTCAGACATTCCCATAATGCTGAGCTGCTCAAAGCCTGACTTCATATCCTGCCTGTGATCTGCCAAGGAGAGACTTCACCTGCTTTTCAAAACAAATCTCAACTAACTAGGAACTCCCGGTACTCCAACTCCAACAGCTGTGTGTGTCCAGTGTAAGCATGTTAAGAAATCCACAGAGCTAAAGTTGTAAAAGTTTCCCTTCTTGAGCTAGTTTCAGTTAGAGTTACAGGGCAGTCTTCTGTGCTGTGAGAAAAGCCGCAGGTGGAAAAAAAAAAAGTGCAGCACTGGTTGGCCCAGTCTGTGGTGGCCTCCTCCCCCCTCTGCTGGCCCCTCCCTGCTGCTGCTGCTGGGGGAGGAGGAGGAGGAGGAGAGCACCCACAGCTTGTCTGCAGGTGTCACTTCCTCAATATGGCTGCCGTAGTAAACAGGACAGACTAGGGGGAGAATCAATAATCCAGAAAAAAAGCACGGGAAGGAAGCAGTTTTATGAGTATCGATAGAAAGTTGCTGCTACACAATGAAGCTGTTATATAGAAGTGGTTGTACACAGCGATGAAACTGGTTCAGGATTTGGTTTTTACTCCTTGAATCATATTTTGACACTCAAGTAGATGTTGCCAGCACTTTTCCCACTATGAGTGAGTGCACAAGGACAAAAGTTATTTCAACAATATGATAATTGTTGAAATATTTTGCACTGCTCCTCTAGATATGATTCTTATTTTGGTATTATTGTATTTATATCTTATTGCATATGTTTCTTAGATCACTTTTAATTAAGTTATATTGTAAGTCATATTGTGTTAAACATTGTATGGTTAAATAGGCCTGCATGTGCACACAAAAACAATATTTTAATGATAAGAACAGTAACAATGCAGATGGAAGACTATAATTTTATAAGAGAAACCTCAAGTTCAGGACTAAACCATCCAAATAAACCTGTAATTAGAGCTGTAGGCCATACTTTACTTTAGTTAGAAAAAGAAAAGTTGCACTATTTATTCGGCTAGAGTTAGGGAAAAATACAATTCCTGAAAAACTGAAGAATACGACTAATTTCTAGTGAACAGACAGGTATTATCCACATGCTAAAAATGCTCTAAGTGAAAGTATGCGTCATAGTGGAGCTGTAAAAATTACATTAATTCATTGCAACTTTAATCAAATAGTTACAATAGCTGTAAATACTAAAGAATAACGTGACAATGCATAAGTATGCAGGCCTATATTAAACAATCAACCACATTTTAATAACTCCTCAATGAGAAGTTCCATCTTTTTAGCTTCAAATCCATTGAAAAACCCCATACTTACAGGCTTCCAAACAACTAATCAATAATCTAATAAATAATCGGCCAACTAAATCCATTTTGTGGATTACAGCCCTACATCAGAGCTAAATTTATTTTAGTTGAAAATAGTGGTATTTCAACTTCGAGTCAGTTTATGTTTTTATGTATTCGTGAAAATAACACAGGTCCTTTTGTCACGATTGCCAACAGGCCTAATGCTCCGTTTGGAACCATAGCAACACATACATTCATAACAAATATTTTGATGACGGGTGAGTATGGTACATGACTTGAATGCTAATATGACATACTTGCATTCCATACTCATTTATGACCTGGTTTTGTATAGGTATGTTTGCAGGCTTTGTGTCTTCGGAACAATAACGACTTTGCTCTCACACCCAGATAGCATGTATTGTCTTCCTCATCTGGCACTCACACTGGGCTGTTTGTCAGACCACATATCTTTCCAGCAAATGATTTTGAATAGAAAAACAAGAGTATTTCAAACTACTGCCTGTGTAAATGTAATTCCTCGTGTTCTGGTCTTGGGAGAGGGTGAAAGGAGTGTCTTGGCTCATTAAGCATGTCACCAGATTAAAATCTCTGCCATGTTAATCCATTTATGAGTATTTTTGATCAGGTGATTCTTTGCATGAGCAGAGAAAGTCCTTAATATCCCAGAGAAGAACAAAAGAGTCCCCAAACATGAAGTTGCAAATAAGATTGAGAATGAATAAAAAATAGATAAAAATATAAATAAATAAATGAATAAATAAACCTCAAGGAATTGTATATGTTCTGTCTGTATGTACTTTTCAATTTCAATTTTAATTTTGTTTTTGTCTTTTGTCTTACCTGTTTACTCTGCATTTGTCCCATCTGCAAACTTGTGGAGTTTTGTTTACTATTGCATGGAAAGTGGGTTTTTGTCATTGTGTTATGTTATGTGTGTTATGATATGTATTGTATGTTTTGTATGTATATTGAGAGTGCATGTTCGGGGACAAAATAAAATAAATAAGTAAAGTTCAGAGTTCCCCTGTGGTGTTCACCCTATAGTCCTAACCAGTCCTACTTCTCTATTGTATCAACTCCCTCAGCGTCCCTCACCGTGCATTCCAGTTTGGGATAGTAGGGAGTTTCCCCGATGATGTCATCCTCTGGTGGCGTAATACGTAAGAAGTCCAGGTGATCGGGGCGTGGGACTCGTCTGAACGGCTCCTGTGGTTCGTCCAGCATCCAAATGTCATCCTGTCGCAAGAGGGAGTCGTCTGCCAAAACAAAAACACAGACAGACGGTCAGGGCAGAGGGCTCTGGTTGTGCAAGGGACAACACAAACACCATTTCAACATGGTGTGAGTGAATTGTAGAGATGTGCAAATTAAATTAAATTAAATGATGTGCTATTTTCAATCTAGAAAATATTCTACACTACATGATTCTCTAGATCTTATATATGCGTGTCCCCAGATAAAAGGTTGTCGTGTACAATTCATAGCCAACGTTTTGCTTTTGGAGCAAGAGTTATAGTGGACTTCTTTTTTAGAAATAAATACAATGGACTTATAATTGTGATAACATTATTAGACCACCTCTGCTAAAAGAAAGCTCTAAACAAGGTTGTGCTCGCTGCTAAACCAATCAATCAATCAACTTTTATTCCCAGAGTGCCTTTCCTAAAAAATACAATTAAAATCCCACAGGGCATTAAAAAAACTATAAGATCTGAAGTAATATTAAAAATATTTAAAAATCTTAAAACATTAAAAATCACACATGGGACATACGTAGCCACATGCTATGCTAAATAAAAGTAAAGATAAAATGAAAGATAAAAATCATTCAGTTGTATGCAGAACCAAACAGAACTGTATTAACCTAGATTTGAAAACTGAAAATGAAAACGAAAGCTAAAAACAAGGTGGTGTTCCCTGCTAAGTTCTCACGGTCCTGGAGGCTCTTTATCCCCACTTAAAAAAATCTAACTTTTCAAATGATCAATGATTGTTCTGGCCACCCTTAGACAGCCATGTTCCAGCTTCTTCCCTGTGGTATGAGATTCCTTGAGCAAACAGTTTCTTTCTATAAGCTGGGATCAGACTAAACAGAGCACTTTTTAGCAAATCTAGCAATTTTTTGTCTTTAGTATGTGTTGTCTTTAGTGTTTTGTTGTCTGTTGTGCACACTGGGTATCTCTGCGCAAATATTCAATTGTGATTTTTTTGAAAATGGGGAATAAACTGAATCATGGATGTTTTTGCGAAGATGTGAGGTTAAGTCAGCCATAGATTGCGTCTGGCTCTTTTGCAGAAGGAGAGAGAAGCTGCGGAGCTATTTATATCCCCACTTAACCAAGTCCTCATCACAAACACCAGCTGCATTCATCCAATAAGAATGCCCTGATTCTCAAATAAATGGTTTGCTTGAAATCACATTTACAATTTGGTGTTGGTAGGGGAAAGATTTTATGTTTCAAACTACAGTTTCTACATGTCTTGATATATTGTTAGCAGCTACTTATTGATACGGAAACAACTCAAAACAACAACTTAGTAGATGCATAGACTTGTCCATCTCGAGTCTGTGATATATCTGTGTCAGTCATAATGTAGGAAGTGCTGCCCCCTCTTGATCAGACTCTGCAACTGCAAAACATTACATTTTCTATCACATCGGCACGTGTTTGTTCAGAGAGGTTGGCCTTTTCTGTTCTGTGCTCTTTTGCGACATTTGCAGACATTGGCAGGATCTTCCAAATGTCAAACTTAACCATAGATGACTTTCTGCACAGGGGCTTTTGAATACTTTATGTGTGTCTTATGCGGCATATAAGGGGAATCTACTATGTCCCAACCTCTGTGCCCTGTACATCACCACCTGACATATTCTATTTATTTTGGGTTGAGTCTGTTTGGTGGTCAGTTAAAAAAAAGCACTTTAAAAATGAATTATATGGTAGAATTGTTTTAAAATAAATTAAATGGCTGACTTTCTGAGGGAAAATGCTTGATTGGTTTAGTTTTGGTCATCACATCAGTAAAATTACAGTTCAAACATATACAATAATAATATAAAAAGCAACCAGAAGAGGAATAGGCAGAATCAATGATTATTCAAGCCTATCCAGTCCTCAAATAAGTTTAGATTAAAATGGCTTTAAAATTATGCATAACATGACATAGTAGCGCATACCATATGAACCTCTTACCATAAATGTTTGCATGTTTTGAAAATAATTTCAAGTCCCCCCGAAATACCAATGCATACCGCTCAGGGCCCGCGTACTGGCAGTTGAGAAACACCGTACTCTATGACACATGAGTACAGCTCCAAGAATTGCAACAGCGTGATACAGCGTGCAGCACACGTACAAACTCGATTGTGGGCTCCATGAATTATTATTAAAAATTCTTGGACATCTCAATCTCTCTCTTCTGTACTGTGACAAGTTTAACAAATGCATTTAATTAACGGAACAAGTAGCTACACGAGAGGACTGCAGATGTTATAGGCCTCTCAAATCAGCCACAGGATTAACATTGGTCTCTATAAAAGGCAAAGACAAAGCCCACACATACCCTCCACTCCTCAATTTAAAAAATGCAGGATTAGATTAAGATGAATAACTTTTCATTCCTATAATGCGTCTGGAGCTGAGCAGAGCCGCAGCGGGAAATGCTGACTGCGGCTGGGGTAGATCCAGAAGAAGTCAGCAGCACAAACTGTCCCAGAGCCAGCGTTCTGTTCTGTCTCTACTCAAGGATGAAATAAGAGCCTGGAGCATACAATAGTGTAGAGTATGACTTTATATGAATACGTTTGGGGAATAGTATTTATAGTTAGGACTCAGTAATAAAATCAAATAACTGATTGACCGACCTTACGGGAAATGTCAAAATCGTGAGATCGAGGTTAGGATAATGTTTGTTCTGGCCCCTGCTTTTCGGGGGGTCTGTAGTTTAGCTGAGGCGTGCAGCGATTGCATACAACAAGACTGATTTCAGAAATGGTAAATTTTAGATGTCAGTGTGTGTACAAAACTTTGATGATCGTTTGGGATGAAATATCAAAATATGTTGGAAATTTGAGGGGAATTGAGTTTTTAAACAGTTCCGCTACTTTGGTTATAATTGTAATCGTCCAAAGTGGGCAATAAAATCTAGATTTGATTATACTGCCATATCGCACAGCCTTAACTGTAGTTGCCCTCTGCAGACTGCACAGTACGTAGGTGAAACTCAATAAAATTAGTAAGAAAGTCATATTTAATTATAAAGCACATTTTACAGACCAAGTTTTTAGATATTGTTCCGTTCTCTCCAGACGGTGATGAAGGAAGCGAGATGCCGAACACACTGGTGCATCATAGCCCCAACCAACACCATCTATTCACTCTCTAACTGCTTTCATACCGAGCCTGGCCTTAGAAATCCGTACACTCCGGTCAATTATCATTTCCACTATGGTGTGGTACAACCCAGCTACTTTCATACCTATTGTGCATGATTTTAGTGGTAAAGAGCCTGGAGGAAGCTGGCTCTTTACCACTGAAGTCTGCTCAAAATGTTGTAATAATTCTAAATAGGGGCGGGAACCTAAGGGTACCTTACGATACGATACGATATAAAGCTCACGATAACGATATTATCACGATAACGATATTATCACGATAACGATGTTATCACGATAACGATATTATCACGATAACGATTTATCACGATAAAACGATTATCGATATATTGGTCAGAAATATACAATATGCCAATTTATGGCATAAATAAAAAAAAATACACTTTATTTCATGATTAATGGAATGGAGATGCGTAATGTAGCCATATATTAAGTATTGATACCAATTAAAAAAATATATTAACAAAAAAAAACAAAAAACTTATTTTTATTTTTTCAAAATCGATATTGATACTTGGCAAATGCATATCAATAATCGAATCGCGGGAGAAAGTATCGCCCCCTAATTCTAAATGGACAACACCGCTTCAAATAAATCCAACACATCCTGATGGCCTGATCTAGCTTACTGGATTTTAGTGCACAATATGAAAAAAAGATAAAAACGTTTCAGACCGAGGCCCTCAATCAGACATCATCTGACCTGAGGTTTATATCATATTTTGGTTTCACATTTTAAGTTGAATTGTAGGAATACTTTTGAACAATATTAAAATGAATGATCAACTCATATATTGTACATATACAGTGCAAAAACACATCTGATTTCCCGTCAGTAGATCAGCCATCTTTGTTTTGGTGGGGAACTATATCTAGAGTCTATGTGTGATAATCCAGCAACAATAAGCTGATGTGCAGATGATGTGCAGATTTGTGACAAATGGGTCAAACATCTGCTGCTTTCTCTTACAAGCAGAAAGAGATGAGCTACTCTACAGCTCTAACAGAAGGGACACGTTTTTACCAGAGGTTGTTGATAATAAGTGAACCCCAGTGGTTTATGGCAAATGTAAATGTCTTGTATATAAAAAAAAGTTCTTTGTACTACTTTGTATTAGTTATTTCAGCTCTGCGGCTTGTTTAATGACGTTGCCAGTTTATGTATTTTCATTTTTTTTAGAGCGTCTCCTGGGGCGCTGGAAGGGTATGGACACACCTCTATCAGTTTTATCTCAAATAAACAATTGTACACCATACAACAAGAAAATCTGCAGCTTATATTTAGGTGAGGTGTGTATGTGGGCCAGCATTTCTTTTCAATTTCAGCTGGTGCAGTTTATATACAGTTGCGCATGTAGTGTAATCATTTGTTCCTACAATTTCAGACGGATGATAATTATAAAGTGTGTTTTTCTTTAAATGTTATGACTTGTAAATTGTTTTTTCACTCCTGCACACTGGGTATTTTAGCACCAATATTGTGTTTTTTAGTGCAAACCTAGTGTTGTCAGCTCTATTGTGCTCTACCGACTGTACTTCCCTGCACTTACAGACGTGCAGCTTACTGACCTTGGGGATCACAGCGTACTTATTGTCATTTAATCCTCCTGCCGCTGCTCTGAAGATCCGCAGCACTGTCAATAATGGAACATGATATGATAGAATTTAGTCAGATTCTTGTGTTTAAGTCCTGTAATGTAATGGAAACCCATGTTAAGACTGAAAAGCACGACGGTCCAATGTCTTTAACGCTGTCAGGATTTCCTGCAACAGAGCATGTGGTGCAGAAAGTGGAGATTTGGGTAAAGCTGCAGATGTTGACAGATGGACAGAAGAAAGGAAATGACATTGTCAGAGTGA